GAAAAGGATACATCCAGCGGGGAGGATCAATGACTGTTCAGCAAGGGCAGGAGTCTATTCAGAACGAGGTAGTTGCGGAGCAATTGCAGAATAATGCTGAGAATATTGATTCAGCATTACTAATTGAGCAGCCAAAACGTGCTCGTACAAAAGCACCAAGCAGGTGTAGTAGATGTGGTTCATTTGAGCATAACTGTAGAACCTGTACTTTGTAATACTGGTGTCGTTATTAGTATAGCTATAATATTGTAATTGCAATAAGTCGTCAAAGGCACATTGGACGGAAACTTGACCGGCTCGGTAGTGTGACCGGCTCGGTAGTAGGGTACGTTATTATTAGTGGCACGGAACAGTCAGGATTGATCCACTTGGACCCCGGCTGGGATCCCACCGTGGAGTGAGTGTCGACGTTACGTCCGAGACAGATTGACGAAGCGAGCTTTCGAGCACAACACGCTGCGTCTGGTCACGAGCACAATCTGTTCCTCTTGTCAATAACATTCCTTGTCTTGTTAGATTGCGATCTCCCCACAACGGTAGCTTCTTCTTTGCAACACCATCACGACCCTCGAAGCACGCGAGCACATTGCGCACAGACGTGGATAAAGTGGTTGGCCGCGTTGCACACCTGCCATTGACAGGCACCTCTTCGCGACGGTCGTCCTAGACCTGCACCGTGAGCGTGCGAAATCGCTCTCGAATCATCTCCCGGGCATAGTCCGTCAACAGGAAGCGCATGAGCTGTGCCACGAATCCCACAGGCAATTCGACCTCCGTCGCAGTTCAAAGTGGGCTGGCAAGCCCTGGACCGGATAAGAAGAAGACCCGCCCATCATGTTCTGGCGCTTTGGCGGATACGCCAATATATCAACGCTTGACGCCATTCTCGACAAACCCGATGTCACACTAGAAGAATTGCTCAACGAAAGTGATCTCATCCAGGAGCTGAAACAGTCCAATAGCAAGCTGGTCGACTTCCTCCGCGATGAGGCCGTACTGAAGAAGCTCCTCTACTACGTCACCGCCGACAAGGCATCTGCGACATCTGAAGGGAAAGACAAAGCCGAAGATAAGATAGAAGATGAGAAGCCGTTGACAGGAATATCGTTCTTTGGTGGTAAAGGCAAATCAAGATCTAGGTCCAAGTCGGTGAACAAACGAGATGATGACGGACAGAGCGAGCTCGAGAAGAATGAAACCCAGCGCAAGCGCTATGCCCACGTCGCATGCGAGGTTTTGTCCTCGGAGGTATGGTCGATCATGGAGGCGCTCTTAGAGAACCCAAAGAATATGCTGGAGTTCTGGCAATATCTCTGGCGGCCAGCACCACTGGACCCGGTACAGGCTGGCTATTTCACTAAGGTCAACGAGACGCTTCTCGATAAGAAGACTGAGGAAATGCTCGTTCTATTGAAATCCATGAACGGAGTGATACCAGCCATGCTGCAGCATGTCGATTGTCCTATGATAATGGACCTACTGCTGAAGATCATTTCGCTCGAGAAGCAGGAAGGTGGACAAGGAACTGTTGATTGGTTGCAATCTCAAGGATTGATCCCTTTGCTTTTGAGCTATCTGTCGCAGAAACATGCTTCGTCCACGCAGACCTCAGCGGGCGACTTTTTAAAGGCCATCATCACAATTTCAGCCAACGCTACGACTCAAGATGCCTCCGTCATTGGGCCGAACGAACTTACTCGCGAGCTTGTGTCGGAGAAATGCATCAAATCTTTGATTGCAGACATGCTCCGCGGTGGAAACCCACTAACGGTGGGAGTGGGCATAATCATCGAGGTCATCCGCAAGAACAATTCCGATTACGACCTCGATAATCAAATGGGCCCGGAGCCGAAGACATCGGACCCTATCTATCTCGGTACACTTCTGCGACAATTTGCACTGCATATTCCCGACTTCATGCATTTAATCAGATCCCCGTCAGCGAGACGATCGCCGCTTAAAGTCGCCTTTGGTTCTAAAATTGAGCCACTTGGTTTCGACAGATTCAAGACGTGTGAACTCATGGCAGAATTGCTCCATTGCAGCAACATGGGTCTCTTGAATGAAAGTGGCGCCGAAGCGGAGGTGCAACGTCGGGACGCGACGCGCGAGAGATTGAAAGCAGAGGGCAGGCTTGCCGCATCTGCCACGGCAGACAGCCCGAGCCGCGAGCTAAGTCACGACGAATTCGGCAGCTCTGTCGATTCTGCAGGGTTTCATCATACTGCACGTCCCTTCGATGACGAGTATAATGAGAAAGGAGAGGGAGACCGGAGGCTTGATCACAACAACGCTGTCGACGAAGATGGATTTGAGAAGGTCAACGCCCCAACGGATGATTTGAGCGATGAAGTTACATTTGATGATCTGCAAGAAAAGCTCGAAAGCAAAACTCCGCAGAAACTGCACACGATTCCTCCACGTTCTGACTCTCTTCCCAAAGATCTCGAGGACGTTCCAAAACCTCTATCCCCGACCAAGAAGGCTCATTTGATCCCCGACCAGTCGCCTGCCCAGGCCGCTGAGTCGCCTACAACTGCTGGTGTCACCGATAGCATAAGGACACTAGGCGTAAAAGAAGATTCCCTTATGAGCGAATTGGACGTCGAAACCCCCGTCGAAGGTAAAACCAGGTCTGCTCTTCATATACAAAGCTTTTCTAACGTCTGAATGAATATAGGAACGTCAGATCTAGAGCAGAACCTCGCTCAACCTGGCGACAAACCAGCACCTCTCTTCGCCAAAAAGGCAGATCCAGTCTCTGACCATGACTCAGATTTGTCGGCAGCCGATAACGATCAACAGGATATCGATCAGAGCACTGCAACCATCCAGGGCCAGAACGCTCCCTCACCAGGCGTTGAAGGTGCATCATACGAGGCCGAGCTTGATGGTGCTCCAGTCGTCGGTGATCTTTTGAAGACACAATTTGTCGAGCACCAAGTTGTCCCAACCATTCTTGTAAGTTGGCATGGATGTGCTACAGCGGGATGTGCTCGACAGCCGTGCAAATTTCGCTGACGTTTTCACAACTACAGGACTTCTTCTTCCGATTCCCATGGAACAACTTCCTGCACAATGTGGTGTACGATGTCGTTCAACAAGTCTTCAATGGCACGCTGGAACGCGGGTACAATAAGACACTTGCTTTTGATTTGTTTTCAGCCGTAACCCTTCGACAAGGACAGACACTTGAGGAACTTGGCTTGGTTTCAGGCAAGGATGTCATTGACCGCATATTGGACGGACAGCACGCATCAGACCACTCGCAGGCGTCGAGAGGCATGCGATTGGGCTACATGGGACACCTCACGCTCATCGCGGAAGAGGTCTGCAAGTTCGGCAATCGACCATTCCCTGAGGGCACAGAGCATATCATACTTGACCGCATCACCCGAGACGAATGGGTGCAATATGTCGAAGGAACACTCACCGAGACCCGGGACAAGGACAATGCTGTTCTTGGAGGAGTTCGACCCGAAAACGCCGGTCATCGGGTCGCAGGGCTTGGTGGCTTGTCCAGCGGCTTCAGCGCCACTATCACTAACACTCTCGCAAATGCAGGAATTGGGAGCAGCGTGTCAGCGGAGGACAGTCTGGCAATGTCGGAGGGCACAGTTGGACAAGCATTCGAGATCAACTCGGGTATGAGCGGATTCGGAGATGGCGATGATGACGAGGACATGGAAGACGAAGCTGCGCTGCGTCAGGAGGAGCACAGGAGCCCTTTCACGGACGATGAACAGGTCGGTGAACTTTCGTTTGACATTGACATGGACTGCCGGTGATCGCTGCAGATCCCTTCCCCATTCACATGTCCCACCAACACTCCCCATTCTTCCCTGAGTGCCTCTGTTTTGCTTCCCCATGAATCGCGGAGCAACATCGGACCCGAGATCGCACGAGGCACAATGATGGCATGCATAACAGGCCAATAACACAAAGCGACGGTTGGCGCTCAGACGAGGAAGACGCCGCGCTTGAGAATGTCACGATAATATATCACTGTACGAACAGACGATGATTATCGTACTTCTCACATCGTCTCGACACGCCCTGCGAATATCTCACAAGTGATTCGCATTGTCAAAAAGAACCTTGTCCTTTGTACGCACTGATCTATTCCGATTGATCCAACCTCGTCAATTGCCGGACAGCCATGTCCAGTGGCTCCATGTCACTCTTCAAAGTGCCTCCAGCAATCCATCCACATCAAACAATATAACGAGCCACGCGCGTTGCTATTAACTCATGAAGGCCCGTTCAATCTACATCGCCATACTCGATCACCTCGATCTAGGTTCATCTCACGAAACCCCAGTTTGTTGTCCACTTTCTTGCGCGCGCCATTCGAATGCCCCACCGCCATAGGTACGCGAGCAATGACTTCTTGGAATGCAGTACTAACTAATTGCCTTCCAGCAGGCTCTCTCTACCGACACTGGTAACAGTGGGATTGCGTCGTCCATTCCGCCCCCATTGAAGATTCCTCCCTCGCGAGCCAGGATGACCCTCGCTGCTCGCTTGGAGAAGAAGAAACAGGAAAAGGAAGCCGAGGGCGATCCCGATGCTGCGGACAAGGCTGCCGTCGATGCTGCCAGCACGCTGCCGGAGGAGCCGCGTGATGTTGGCCCTGGCGTGCTAACACTTGGCGATGGAACAGCGCAAGAGGGGCTACAATTGCAACCCACTGGACTGCGAGTGCTCGGAGTTGTGTCCGGCGCCGGCCAGCATTCTGGACGTTTCTCGAATGATAGCGGCTCCGATGATTCGTCTGAGCTCGACGAGGACGATGCTGGGCGCGATCACACATCTTCGAGGCCCGAGGGCGATTATGAAGACGATGATGGCGACCAGTTCGGCGGTCTCATGATGAAGCGCCGAACCAAGGGCCGCCGCCCGAGCACGACCGAGGCCAAGGAGCGCAAGCCGTTAGACGATGATGACGACGATGAGAAGCTCGATGCTGCTATTGGCAGCCGGTATGCTCTCCACAGTAACGAGGGACCCTTCGCGGACAACCCGGAGGATGATGATGACGACGATAGCAGCGATGACGGCATCGTGGAGATTCGGACACGGCGAACGAGTTAACGGATATTATTTCGCATTCACGAACTTCGATTGAGACCACGACTATGAAATGGATTATGGGAATAGACAGGTGGGACGAGGGGAAGTCCTCGAGGCGTTTTCGTGTTTCCAACAATACCACATACTTAGGTGACTTCTGAATCGCCATTCCACACTTTCAATCCCTATGTTGATCAAGAACGAGCGTATTGATATTATAATCTGTGCCGACCGGGAAATGATGTATCACATTCCGACTAGTAAATGAGCGCCCTTCGGCCGACCCATTATTTCTATTCGGTACATATCAAATGGCCCATCCCTCCGGCGGCGTCGAGTCCCTGTGTAGGTCAGGAGGCGCGACGAGGCCAGGCCAGCGCTGTGTATATCCACGTGAGAATCTATAATTTACGGTCCATTCTTCCACCGCTCACCGGGAGCCGCAAAGTATGTGAAATAGAAATCCCGCGCCGAGCGGTGTGTACGCCCACAAATTTCGCCAAGCACGAATGGAATTGGTGTGGCAGTCACGGTAGAAATCATTCCAGTCATAGAGGCGAAGAATGGCTGGCAGAAAATGTACACTGTACTAGATAGACGAGTGTGCGCGGGTGCTCCACGTGTGCGGTATAGGTTTTCGACTCGGAGCTTCTCCTGTAAGCGCCCGTGGCATCGCAGTGGTGTGACTATCGCTCAGCTTTCCAGGGCTTTCGCGAGGTGGCGGGAACGGCCGGCGTGCATGAAGGGCGCGAGCGGGACCAATCGCTGGACAGAAGTGCCTCCTCCGAGCAACGATTTGAGCTTCGAGAAACTTGACTCCTCTCATCACCTGCATTGGTGTGTGTGTGTGCTGCCACTAGACTGCACCTTGTCTACTTCCGCCTCGTGCGCATAATATACAAAGATGGCGATGAACCCTGTCGCGCAGTCGCTGCGAGACGTACAGGCGGATCGCTGGTTTCGATTCACCGAGTCTCACTTTTGCGACAAACGTCCTCGATAATACTTCACGATGAGAGGACGAGGCGCATTCTATCTCAGCTTCACGGCTCAGATCCTGCTTTCATATGCGCAGGATTCAAGTCCGCCGGAAATCTGGATCATCGACATTGATAACAATCCGGCGCCTTCACCTGAAAATGGCCCACCACTTTCATACTACGCGACTCGCGATATGTCGCTCCTGCCATATCAGATACTCGGCATCGTAGGCGGCTATGTTCTCTTCGTCCTAATACTCGGCAGTCTGCTCCTCACCTTCGCGCGACGCCTTCGTCAGCAAGCGCGGCGAGGTTTCGACCGGGGCGTGAAAGACACCGAGATGACGAAACCGCCGGCACATGTCAAGGACCACTCGTTCATGACCTATAAGAGTCGAGATGCCTGGGGCGCCGGCAAGAAGAGCAGCGCTGGCAGCACTGTCACTGTCACGCCTGTTGCTGGCCACGGCGCGACCTTCGATGAGGGGATCATCGCGCGGGACAAGCACAAATTGCAAGCAGGATTGGCGGACATCTATGGCGCAGTATTCGCCGCCGAGGAATCAGGCCCGCGTGCAGAACAACGACCATCAGATCTACGATTGACGACAAACTTCGGATCACCATATCAAACGCCTTCACAGTTTCCGAATAGCGCCGCGTCTAGGAGTTCGAATACGCCATCGCATCAACCGCGTGGATCCATCACCAACTTTTCCAAACCCATGATGAGCCCGACCATGAGCGAAAGCCCATACGCCCCCTTTCAAGCGCATCAGCGTGTCTCTTCCGACTCACGAGCGATGCCACGTCAAACATCCCGTGCGTCTAGGAGTGCATCATTATCACAGGTTGGACATCACGCTCGAAGACAAGAAGAGGATGATGAGGATGCGTTTCCACCACAATACTATTTCGAGCCACATTCACCTGAGATTCCTCCATCACGGACGCCAGAGATTCATGGGGTTCCCCCGGCAGTGCCTGCGAATGCGCTCGACTGGAGCGATTCATACCACATGCCCGCGGAGCGCCCCCGCGCTTGGCCGCAGGCCAATCCTCAGCGCCCAGTCACCGCGCCACAACACGATATGATGCGTGTTGTTGCAGAAGAGGAACCCGGTTACTCACCTATCACGCCTTCAACGCCTGCTGGCCGAGCTGCTCCATCCGCCGGTAATGTCCACAACGTTCTCCCTTTGCGTCAAAAAAGCAGCCAGAACCTTCGCAACAATCGACTAGACACTCGATTGCCCAATGCACGCAGCCGAGAGGGTCTTCTCTCGCCGGTGTTGCCGTCGCCGGGCATGCTGTCACCAGGTCCGATCCTCAACAGGACCCTGGATATGCCTGACGACTCATTCATGCGCAGCTTCCCAACTGGTATGCGTACTCCTCTCACGGGCAGTCTTATGTCGACACAATCGCAGTTCAAGCAATACAACCATGCCGAGACTCGAGCGGAGCGTAAACAGCGAGAGCGCGAGGAGCGGACAGTCCACGGCATCGTTGAGGAGGATTTGGTACCCGATGACCAGGATGTATGGGCTTCGACTTACTAATAATATCTACAGCACGATGAAATTACAAAAACATGATGATTCTCTCTCAATTATTTGTGGTCCACACTTGGAAAGGGGATGGCATGTTACGTGAGCACCATGATGTATAATATTAGTCATGCCATAGGTACCCGTACCATCGTGTCCAGATATCGTGCGAAATCCAGCACGAGACACCGACGCTGTCCAGTTGAATATGCCTACACGCTGTTCCTACGACTGGTTTGGCCTCCTCGCCTCCATATCGGAATTCATGTACCTCGTTGTTGTTACGGGACATGGATACCCGGGCCTCAATTCCGCCAGAGTGTGACTTTGACAGGTTAGGGTTGTAGGTGGGAGTTCGTCGAGATAACCCCAACGCCAAGTCCGAGACCAGGAACCCGGATTGGCACAAATAATGTTACGATGTCTCAGGCGCAACGCTGTGACCGGAGATGAGATTGTGATCATGACTACAAGTACAGTGTTAATCATTCAATCATCGAATGGCATGCTTCAATGATTGTAGGACGCCATGAAGTGGGTGCATGTCCACCTCAAAAGATCGAAACGCACCCGTGCAGGCTCTCTCTCTCTCCAGAATCCGAATGTACGACTCCGAGTCGTTTTGATATTCGGTGAAACACGCCAAGCTTGTACACTACGAAAGATGATGCATGTGGCAGGTATCACCCTGCGCGCAGGAGTTCGCACAACGGAACACGCACGACATCACGTTGATTTTTTTTGAGATTTTTGAAGAACATTTATCACCGTGGTGGCCTTTTATTCCGGCATGCTCATTTTTTCAGTAGATACCTAGATACTACTAAGTGTATCCGTGGGGACAAGAATGTATGACTAAGGAATCCACCAGTGTTTCCCACCGTCCCTGGGTGGAAACAACTGTTGAGCGCATTGACTCAAATTTCTGGAAGGGGCCGGGAATGGTCTGCCGAGGATAATGAAATGGCCACCTACATGATGGTTTCCATGAGGTCGGTAGATTATTGTAAGGAAAATACAAGCGGAATAGCAATCGTAGTAAGCAAGTCATGATGAACAAGCTCGTCTGCCGGTGTGAATAGTGGTGTATTCATAAAGATGCAATCGTGAAACACCTGTCCATGACCTTTGGAATTCACGACGGATGCTCAATCATCTCATCGACCCGAGGTCGCGCAATATGATCGTTTACACGCACCGAAGCCGCCTCAATGCTAGACCCAGTCCATCATCTAAGCCTCCGGGATATACCTGTTGTATTCTTGGAGACAGGGCACAGTTGCCGTTCCAGCGATATGGCGAATGACGAGGCTCGCGCCAACCATGACATTTGGACCCGACAGGTGGAGTCTTCTCCTGCTCATCACCAACGATCACCGGCTTGGTTTGATGAGACGCAATATGCACCTTCGGTATTGCCTCAGGCAGACAGTAGGCCTTGAACTGAAGGCCGAGGTGAACATGTGCAACCATTGGACGGCTCGAACTTTTTATCACTAGTATCTGACCATGTCTGTTGACGCAGCATGATGTAGATAGAGACAGCTGGGAATTATCCACATCGCTCATCAGATCTGTCCGACTGCGATCATAATAGCGAATCCATATATTCAACAGATGTGCGGTGGCATGCCATTGGCATGCAAATACTGTGTTTAGACTGTCCAGGTGTACAGCTAAACATCTGTTCAAGAGCACATGGCAGCACCGATGCCGACAGCTCTCAGAGACACAACGTTGGCGACATGAACAATAGCCAATCTAGTGCCGCTACTTATTTGCCTCGATGAGACTGTTTATTTCACAGTGCACACAGCACTGGAAACAGGACGACGATCGATACAGGAGCAATAATAACAAAGTGTGGGAGTGGGAAAACGTCCGACCAGCAGTAGGGTGCTGTCATTCACGGTAGACGTAATACCGTGACGCTGTAGGGTGGATACTGTCCCGTTGAAAGTTCCACTGTCTGCCCGGACTACCACTTCGGATTGGAAGAATGTATGGGAAATGACCGACAAGATTTATCATTCACTTGGATGGGTGTCGCCCCGAGGTCAGTGCGTGTGTGCGCCCGTCCCCCGTTCCCGCCCGCTCCTCTCTCGCTCTCTCGCTCCCATTCCCTTTTCCTGTGCAAGTTTCTTACCCCGTGACATTGAACAAGCTCTCCTTCTCCAGCTCAGCTTCAATCTTCATCAACTCCACTCCATCAACTTCTTGTCCGAAGCTCATCTTTTCCATCCTTCATCAACTCACATTCCATCGCAATGGCTTCCTCTCTCCGCATGGCTGCCCCCAAGATGGCCTCGATGGCCGCCCAGAGCTCCGTCAAGGTCGCTCGCCCGATGATGAAGGTCCAGCAGCTGCAAAAGTTCTCCCGTGCCTACTCCGGTAAGCTTGCCATTGGAGCTTCATCACCCTGACGGTCCTCGAACCGCGAGAAGGCCATCAGCGAATCGATCAATGCTGACCTGTCATCTTCGGTATTTCAGCTGCCACCCGCCAGACCACCGCCTTCAACACCATGAAGCGCACCTCCACCATCATGAACTCAGCCCGCTTCGGTGCTCAGGCTACCCGTGCCTACTCCTCGGAGATGGCCAACGCCCTCGTCCAGGTCTCCCAGAACATTGGTATGGGTAACGCTGCCATCGGTCTCGGTGGTGCTGGTATCGGTATCGGTCTCGTTTTCGCCGCTCTCCTCGGCGCCGTTGCCCGCAACCCATCTCTCCGTGGCCAGCTCTTCTCCTACGCCATTTTGGGTTTCGCTTTCGTCGAAGCCATTGGTGTAAGTTGTTACCAGAATGAGATGGACACCATAGGAATCCACGAATTGATGATGACTGACACAATGCCAACTATAGCTTTTCGACCTGATGGTTGCCATGATGTGCAAGTACGTCTAAGCGAAGGTTCAGGATATCGCATTGCAGCCGGCCAGCGTTGTATCAGTATAGAACGGACACGAGTCGTTGAGGAGGTTTCAAGATGCTCATTGGCGTCAACATTATCGCCGCTGGTCGAACCAATCAGTGTCGGTGTGCCATTGTACATACTTAATCGAAGCTTTGCTTCGACCTCACACGAGGGTGAAAATTTTTCCTTTGTCGAGCAACTCCTTCTTCCCACTAATACTCAGTGCGCGTGAAACATTTCCATCAGCCAACTACCGCGCGCATGACAGTTTTGCAACGCCGAACTCAAACAAACCGAACGCAGCGAGTTACACCGCCATGTACGGGACTCACGATCGACGACTGACACCCGAGAATCGTCGCAGCTCTCTCGGTCGCATTTCGGATTGTTCACCTCGCCGAAAAGCCATCGATTTTGCGACACGAACAAGAAATTTGTCCCGGCAAGCGATTCACGCGGACCAACCTCGGCAAAGCGATGTTGTCAATTTCGCTCTTCAGTCCGACGTCGCACGTATGCTGCATGCCGCTGACAGGTTGCACTGCCGACGTACGTCACGTTCATTGTCCTCCGACTCGGATACACGTCGTCACCAGCCCTTCCCCAACACCTAAGTGTCCACCAACCAAAATGCCCCAATCTGCTGGAAAGAGTCGTATGTGAAAGACATTGCCTACTAGTAGATGTTCCTGGCAAACTACAAATACCTCGCGTGACCACTGTTATCATCTGCCTTGCTGCTCACGGCAGAGCTCGCCCATGTCTGTTACGACTGGATATCATCACTCAATTGTTTGATAGCGTTTGATGGGATCGTCTGCTATCTTGATCAAACATGCAGGTCATTGTTTACAAATGATGATTGTATGAAAGCTAGCCCGTTGCTATACAGACGATCAAGCACATCTCTTGCCAAATTTGTTCTTAAAGCAATTCTCCACGAGCGCCCGTTCACAATTTAGTTTGTAGTCATCTGTACAGCCTAGCTCGACGTGCTGTGACAGGGTCTCTCTATGTTGACAAACTTCATCTACCATTCAAGTCCCTTCAATGCGACCGAGCCTCGCCAAATGCAGCCATTGGTGGTACCAAGTGCAACCGTCTATTGATTTTTCCGACGGGAAATTCGATCAGCCGTGACATCCACAATCCTTCTCAGTCCTGCTTGCCGATCCTCCTGCTTGTTGCTCAGGAAGAGCTTCACAACAGGCCATGCATGAATCCATCCTTCCTCTTCATACTCGCTCACTTTTACGCCGGTCTTTTTCAACAAAGAGATCAAGTCCTCAGTCTCGGGCTGAAACACTTCTTCAGCGCCATACAGAAAGAACCAACCCTGACTCGGCGAGGCTCGTTTCCACCAGCTGATGTCCTTGCAAGTGCCGGGTGACACCAAAGCGTCTTTGGCCGAACCAGATTTGCCAATATACTGGCTGCCATAAAGGCGTAAGCTATCCTCGTTCAAATAATCTGAGGCGGTGTTCTTGTTCTTCTCTGAGATGATCGTTGCCCATGGCGAGATAATGATGGCCAACCCGGGCAGCTTTTTCTTTAGTGAGGAATAATCCGACAGACATAATAGCAAACTCAGGATCAACGTCGCGCCAGCAGAATCGCCACCAACACAGATTCGGGATGGGTCCTCTGCAAGCGTTAGACAATGCTTATATCCTGCGAGCGTTTCTTGCAGCTGTGTGGGATATGTTGCTTCGGGAACGAGTGTGTACTCGAGGGCGAACACCGCTGGATTTTGGTAGCCTGCGTCTTTGAGGAAGCCGATCCACGCCAAGAGAAACTCGAGGTAGAAATAAGCCGATCCCATCGAGAAGCCGCCACCTTCGATTCTTGGTCAGTATGGAAAGATCCAATTAACGTCGTGTGCGTGTGACCAACCATGACAGTAATATACGAGAATATCTGGCTTCTGAGTGTTGTCGTATGTCGCGAAAACGCCTTTAACTCCATTCTATATTTTGGAGCGTATTGTCAGCGATGTCTTGCACGAGAAACAAACGGACCTCGGTGTCGAAATTGACTGACCTCGTCGACCTCATGCCAATGCACCGGACTGCGAAAGAAACCGTTGCGAAGCATACGAAATCTCATGAACGGCAATGCCACATGCTTCGAGAAGAAGACCTTGCCAATCGATGCAGGAATATCTGCAAAGGCGTATCGGACACAACGAATGACAAAATCTTGAAACAGCGTGGCGCGCTGAACGAAGGGGGACTGTTTGGGCGCAGACGTGAAGTAGCGCTCGAAGATCAATTGCAATGGCATTCGTAATGCTACAAGACCTGTCAGCACCGAATTGCCCTTCAAACACTTTGGCCGTATCACATACCCAAAAATGGCAAGGCTTTGATGCCACATATCGCTGTGTTCACAAGACCAACATCGATGATCAGGCGTGGTGCAAGGAAGACGAGGAAAACGATTATGTCTACCCAAACGATCTGATCGAGAATCATGATTGCAACACCTAATTTACCTACAATCTGCTTGTTGAATGAGGTTGTCGACGAGATTGTCGACAAGGTCGAGCAACAAATAGTCTCAATCTCATTGTTGTTTGATGGATTCGGACGCAAGTCCGTGCCCCTACCTGACGTAGTACATTCGGGCTTTGAGTTACAAGGGAACACCAATCTGCAAACAATTTGCGTGTGTTGACGAACCCCACGGCAGCGAATATACAATCTAGACTCGCGATATTTGATGTACAGAGAAAACATTAGCTGCCAACGTTCGTTGTCCTGAAAATCTATCTTCCAGGACATCAATGCCTTCCTATGACCAATGTGCTGTCAAAGGTGAGGTTCGCATGCTCGGCTAAGTTGCTCCTTGAATGCGTCTTACTATCTTGATGACCAAATCTTGCGCGGGATCGGGGGCACGCGACAAAGCCTTTGCTTTCGTGAATATTTGATTTCTGAACGCAAGGCGCGACATTCTCATCAGTTCGCCTCTCATCATCACTAATCTTCTCGACGGGACTCATTATCCTTCCAATCAACAATATGAATGATCGACGAACCGCAAATACCCAATGATCTCTTAATACCCCGGCGCAAAGGCATCAGTCGCAGATTTGCGCAACTTGCGCCTGCCTCCCGCCAAATTTCTGAAGCACTGGTCAAAAGCACGCCACTATGTCTGGTAACATTGGCATTGAGCCGGCGCTGCTCGCAATGGCCAGGTGGGTGAAACAAAGTGTTAGGATAGGATAATATTCTGACGATCGTCGACAGAGCGATGCTGGTTGAAGCTATTCCTGAGAAGTTGCGCTGTGCAACATGTGACAAATTGGCGATCGGCGCTGTCAAAATTCCTTGTTGTGACAGCACTATCTGCACCGACTGTGAGTATTGTGCAGATGACAAGAAAGCAGAGCGCATTCTGACTGCTCGAAAGGCCACACCGATCTCCCTGATGGCGAGTGCCCAATCTGCACACACTCTCCCTTCACTGCCTCTTTGTGCTTGCCCGCAAAGGGACTGCAAGCTACTGTTAAGGCATTCATCAAGACAGAGGCCAAGAAACGTGCCACTGAGGCTGCTGCTCCCGTGAAACAGTCAGTGGACACGGCAGAAGAGCCTGTTAAGAGCATCGAGAGTGCCGCAGAAACGCTTGACACAACCGCAACTCTACCCTCGAAACAACCCGATTCAAGCAAGGCCGCAGGAAACGACAGCGAAAAGATCGAAGAGGGAGTGCCTCTGGCAGAGCCATTGGCGGCAGATAGTGGATCGGTAGGTTAAGAATCGACTATTGGTCGTACTCCCAACACTGACTGAAGATCCCATCACAGATCGATGAGCAGCAGACTTTGAATCAAGTGCAGGAAGAGGAAGAAGCCGATCAAGAAGGGGACAACGACGACGATGAAGATATTGTCATTACAACTGAGCATGCCGAGGACGAAGGCCACAACGGCCACAATGGCCAGCAAGCACAAAAGCAGGAAGATTCATCCATGCAACAAGGACAACATAACAACGGTATGGTCAACATGCCTTTCCAAGAAAACTTCAACATGATGGGCATGCATGGCATGGACATGATGCAAGCAGGTTTCATGCCAAATATGATGGGTAAGCCTCCAATCGTCCCCTCAAGCGCCTCCCATAGACTTACAGATCATACAGGTATGCCTGGGATGAATGCGGGAATGGGCATGGCAATGGGGCCCGGAATGAACCCCTCCATGATGTTCAACAACTTTGGTGGAATGGGCAACATGGGAGACATGAACATGATGGGCATGATGGGCATGGGTATGAACAACATGGGCGACATGAGCAATTTTGGCGGCATGGGTGGGCCGGGTTTCTTTCCGCAAGCGCAAGGGAACTACATGCAATCTAACTTCGGAAACCCTCGCCAACAACCATTCTTTGATAATCACGGTCAAGGCCGCCCCTATGGCCGTGGATTTGGTAGAGGTCGTGGCCAGTATGCTCCTCGTGGTCGTGGTGACTGGCATCAACAACAACAGCAGTATGGTCACCAGCAAGGTCATAGCCAAGGTGGTCATCAACAACAATCAGTCGTAAATGTTGAAATGGATATGCCAGCTCGCCGTGGCTCCCCAGTCTATGAAGGTGCAGCTGCGCCGACAGGGGACGCGCCAGCGCAAGCTGGGCCCGAGTCGAGCACGAATGGCGTACAAGAAGAGGGCGATACTGACCCAGCAGACGGAAAACCAGATTTAGCAGGTGGAAATGTGAACCAGAACGATGAACATGTCGATGAAAACGACCAATCAGTCGACACGAGTATGTACCATCCGCCCACAATGACGGGAGACTGCCTGCTGACAAACGCACAAGATGGCGTGCACGCCAATGGTGCAGACTATGCAAATGGATATCTTGGTCCCGCTAACAACGGTGGGTTTCAGGACCAAGACTGGTCTGCTATGTCGAATCAACAATATCAGGACTTCAATGGGCAATATCAAGATCAATATGGCTACCATGGAATGGGCCGAGGTGGCTTCAACAAACGAGGTGGGCAATTTCGAGGACCTGGAATGTTCGCGCGAGGTCAAGAGAGCTTTGAGCAAGGTCCGAAATCCGCGCCTCCTCTGAACGCGCCGACAGGACCGAAGGCGCTGCGTCAGGGGTTACCAAACACAGGCTGGTCCAGTCGAATGGCTACAGCGGCTGTGCAGAATGCTGCACCAGCAGTCGCGTCGATCAGCGACGAAGCCGGCACCGTCCATGCGAAGCTTGACCGCGACGACTCAGACCAACGAGGTACGAAAAAGGACAACGAGCAGACTCGAAATGGCCATTCGCGTTCGCAGTCACGTTCAAGGTCACGGCATCGCGGTGAACCCGAACGGTCTCGAAGCGCTGGTGCCGAATCGGACGGATCTCACACTCGGCGCCGGGACCGAGACCGTGAGCGACGGCAACGGAAAGACCGGAAGAGACGGCATGAACATGAAGATCGAAGCAAGAGCAAGAACGAGAACGAGTCGTCGCGTAAGAAGCCACGTTCAAGATCGCGATCTCCAGAGGACGATTCCTCACGTCGACACCGCCGCGATAAGGACGACGATCATCGTTCCTCGCGGACACACCGTGATCGCAGCCAAGAGAAGTCTCGCCGCCGTCATCGATCGAGGTCGACTCACCGAGAAGATACCGAGAAGCATGCCGATCATTCTCGTCGCAAAGATCGGTCGCAGCGTGGCGAAGAAGAAGTCAGCTTCCGCGACAAGACCTCACGCAGCAGCCGTCGCCAATCCCGCCGGGACGACGACGATCACCATGACGACGAAGGAGCGGACGACAGGAAACACCGCTCCCGTCGTTCTTCTCGCGGCGAGCGCGAACGAGACCGCGATCGCGTTCCCGTCGTGCCCCCCTCCGACGAATTGGGTTTCAAGATCAAGGGCTCTAGGTCAGCCAAGAGTAGCGCCATGCCTCCGCCTTCATCATCCACTCGTGATCGCCACCACGACAGTGAGCGTCGCTCGAGCCATCAGGATGACAACGCTGGAGACAACGCATCTTCGAGCGACCCATACGCCGAAGAGCGAGCGCGTGCACAGCAGAGTCGCGTGGCAGCCGAAGCACAACGCCGCCAATCCTCCTCCCTCGGCAAGCGCAGCCGGGGCGGCGACGACATCATCGATGCGCCTACTGGCCCGCGAGGTATGGTGTCCAACTCGGCGTCGTCGTCATCGCGCTCGAAGAAGGTGAGGAAGGAAAGCCGCCAGATCAACTACAAATATGAGGATGAGATTGCCGTGGACGAGCGGGATTCCGGCCGTTGGAGGTAGGATCGCCTTCTCTCGCTGGAAGTCCGCAGTCCTCACACTTTCAAGTCCCGCTTGTTGCATGGACGTCTATCGCCGACTGCTGCAAAGACAAGGGGCTTGACTTCGTAAATTCACACGTAGCATCTTGTATTATTACAAAGCACATGTTGCGAAACCCCTGGTCATCATTGGGCTCGCTTCACCGTCGTCATAGCAGATGGTTGTCCCAATCGTCAAATTGTCTAGTGAATGTGTCATGAGAGACATGTAACTACTCACAATCAGTAATCCCTTGCTGTATCTAGGTATGCTGTGCAACGGTTGATATACACGGGAAGGCGTGGTTTCAATGGGTGTTCGCGAACATGACGTGGAAAGGTACAACGTGAGGCACATCATTACTGTGTTGGTGCGCAACACATTGCATTTCCGGTGTATCATTCATAGCCATCATTTCAATCATTCCCTTTCATCATGAACCACATTGCATTTCCCTGAGCCTAGCGCCCAACGCATGTCAAGATTTCTTTCACGTCTTTTGCTCCTCTACACACCATTTCTCTTCATTCCAGCCAGGAGGTCGCCAGACGAACAGATCGAATGCCTCACGACTCCATGGGCCGAGATCTTCCGGTAGCGCTCCAGCCGCTTGCGTTATCGAGGTGGTGTGCTTCTTCGCTGATATTCTCGGTGGGACAGGCGCCGTTTTACTGGGAACGTTGGGTTCATTTGTACGATCGATTGACTTGACCCTACCTTGCTGCTCACCCGGCGGTGTCTCAGTGGCCTCCACCGGCCTGTCCACCGTGTCACAAAGCTCAACCTCTACTTGCTTCGGTAGGGCAACAGCTGGGACTGCGCGGCCCTTTGAAGGCGTTTTCTTGCGGTTTGAAGCCGACGAGGTTTCCCTGACCTCAGCTGCTGTCACGCGTGCTAAGCTGGCTGATGGTTTGCTGTGTGACTGATCTCTCCGAGGCTGAGCGAGGTGCACCAGAGGATTGCTTCGTTGGCGTGATGGAGCAACATCATCGTACAAATGATCGCCTCTGTCTGTATCACCATGTAGCTCCATCAGATCTTCATCGTCTATGCAGGGATCGACTCGCTCGGGCACGTGCTCTGGATCTGCAACCAGCGAAGCAGCCCGCGTACGTGCAGGTTGATGTGCTGTCACGATGGGCGCCTGGTGAGGTGAACTTGCACCGCTTGGTACATGGTTTGGTAGAAGTTGCTTTTGACACAGCAGAGCCTTTTTTCTGCGCGTCGTGGTGGCAGCTATCTTTAATGTCATTGATTGTGGACCTTTGGCTGTTGTGATTGCAGAGAGAGAGCGACGTTGCTCTGCAGTTGAGGGTGTATCGACCTTTGTCGGCACTTGCTTCCCAGAGCTCTTCTCCATACTTTGGAGTTCCTCCTCGCCCGGCTCGTTTCTGTTCGGCAAAGCATACTTCCGGGGCTCACTACCTTTCTGAGCAGACTTATCTCGCGCGTCCCTGATCTTAATCGTCCGTTGTTCAGGATGAGTTGACAATGTCCTGCATCCGCCATTCCGCAAATCAGAAAGCGGTACCACGGGGGATGTGGGAAGAATGTCGCTGGAGAAGCCTTGAAAAGTCTCGGAAGCATCGCTGAGACCGTCACATAGATCGATGACCTCGGTAGGCCCTTTGGGAGATGCGATCGATTGTCGCTCGACCGGTACGTTGCGGCGAGCGCTGATATTGAGTGCACACGATGAATTCAATCGGGAATGAATAGGAGCATTGGATATGCGCTGTTTTCCCGACACTTGTGGGCCATCCAGGCGGATACGTTTGGAAGGAGTACCTTCAGCACGTTCATAATGCGGAGTTCTCTCAAATGGGCTGCCGTGAGCTGGTAGAACAGGAACGCGTGGTCGCGAAGGTGTAGTCTGCCGATTGCTACTGAGCAGCGTGTTGAGGGATTTGTGCTTGGGCTGAGACACTGATCGATATGAAACCCCAGGCGCAGGGCTCTGTATTGCCAATGATGTTAATCGTGGAGACGCCCTTTTTTGAGCTGGACGAATCTCCGACAGGTCCGTGACCGTCTGACGCACACGCTCAGAGACATCGACCACTACACCCCATTTCTCCAACGTCACCTCATCGCCTTCCTGTAGGGCGACATTGCCATTCCAGTGGGTGTCGCCGACTTTGTTGCCGGCGACATCAAAGACCATGACGCGCTGATTGAAGGTATGATATCGTAACAAGCCATCCTGCCAGCGTTTCTGCTTCCGCTTTATGTCATGAGTATAGAGGCAGTTGTGTTCGAATACGGGCGCCGTGTTTTGTGTGGGCGGGACACAAAGGACCGGAGTGTTCCGATAAACCGCGGAGGTCATGACTGGGTTTCGCAGGCATGCGGATTTCCATAGAGTTGGTTTCGAGATTGTAGGATGAGATCATTGCGGATGGTTCATCGATGACTCAGGTGGGCGATTCTGCAAATGATGGTGGGTCGTTCCTTCCTTGCCAGGGAAGACGCGATCGAACGCGGGCATGATTAAACTGAGGCACACGTCTGGATCTCGTGAGCACGTGCGGGTGGTAAGACAGCGGCGGAAGGGCGGACTGTGGACAGCGCCGATGGCGGGCGGGGCGGAAGCAGTCAGCCCTGGGGCACATGCAGCAAGTTTATGCACACTGCACAACACAACATCTGGGCGGTGGCATCGCAGTGTGGTATTGCCTGGACCTTGGTGAACTGAACTGTTCCCCACCCATGTGCTCACCCGTTCATCACGACCACTTGCGATTGTGGAAAGGCGCGCTCTCAACGTTTCCTGCCGACAGCCCTGGAGACGTGCACAACTTGTTCGGTGCCTGTCATGATCTTTTCCGTCTGAATCACCACTAAAGTTATTATTATTTCTACACCCACTTCTCCACTTCTCACCGCAGTGATCTATGTTTCTGTTGTCTCGGCATGCATTTCCCCTCTGCTTGACACGCACGATGCTGGTTATGCGGCACAGCATGTGTTCCTTTCAGCCACCATCTCTTCTCCATCTCGTATTCCCGATCGTGTGGAGGTCTAAATCAATTGGAGAACTCTCGAGCCGTCGGTCCACACATGCCGGCCGCGCATGCAACAGCGTCCGTAGTCGCTCCTCCTCGTATTGGAGGGCCGACATCAGCCTGGAGAATGCCGAGCTTGCTTGCTTGCTTGCAACGCCAATGCTGTTGCATGGTTGTCGAGATCCTGGGCAGCAATGAAGTGGTGTCCAAACTCGAGTTTTCTTATCATCACTCACTCCATCTCCTCTTTCTCGTCTCCTGCACCGTCGTCCATGTCGTTCATGACTGGGTCGGCCTTTCTGTTCGTTATTCTTTGACTTGCTGACGCCAAACATTCATATCTGTGAGCAGCCTTCATCCAGACCTGGCATTCGGGCATGCCATAGTCTGTCCTTGACTGCCATTGAGATCTTGTTATCGCGAGTACAGGGCCTTCTATGCCTTGGTCGACCTGTTGCATTCCATGACTGTCGATTCTTCCACTGCACTGAACCAGGAAGGCGGTTCCGCGAAGTCCTTGCCATTCTGCATGTAGCATTTGCCACTCGAAATCTTGTCCATACTTTCCACCCATGATAGTCGCCTTCATCGCCCGCAGAGATGACATTCACCTCATCACTGATCACTGCGGTGCTAGTCAGCGCCAGCCTGCCTCTCGCCGCTTGCCTACAGCTCGATATCAACAACGACGCCTCAGTCAAGACAGCCTCAGCCGACTTAGCCTTCGGGCTTATGTCATGGTATCACAACAATGCTACTGGTATGGCGCCCACGGCGGTAGGTGTTTTCCCAGAGCCGCTTTACTGGTGGGAAGCTGGTGCTGTCTGGGGAGCCATGATCGACAATTGGGCCTACACTGGTGATCGGAGTTACATACCGACCATTACGCAAGGACTTCTCGCCCAAACGGGACCTGACAATAACTTCATGCCCCCGGCCTACTTTTCGTCGCTAGGAAATGACGATCAGGCTTTTTGGGCATTGGCCTCACTGTCGGCGCTGGAATACGACTTTCCCATTCCAGAGGGCAAGGCAAGCACGATATGGCTGGATTTGTCTCGAGCAGTGTTCAACTCCATGGTTCCACGATGGGACACCACTTCCTGTAATGGTGGTTTGAGATGGCAGATCTTCCCAGCCAACGCTGGTTATGATTATAAAAATGTAAGTTGACGGCACGGCTTGGTCGTGATGCGAACATGACCCATTGATTCGATTTACAGACGATCAGCAATGCGGGATTCTTTCAAATTGCCGCTCGACTGGCTCGTTATACTGGCGACACCACCTACGTCAACTGGGCGGAAAAAGCCTGGGACTGGATGATCAACATTGGTCTCATCTCCACTCCGGACTATTTTGTATTTGATGGGACAGATCCCAAGATCAATTGCTCCGCGATCGAACATACAGCTTGGAGCTACAATCCGGCAATGCTGCTGTATGGTACTGCCAACATGTACAATTTGACCAACGGATCGCCGGTCTGGGCAGACCGAACCACTGGACTCCTGACATACATTGAAAAGTTTTTCTTTTCTCCATATCAAAATGCAACAAACATGTGAGTTTCGAAGATGATATCTTCGGAAGTTCGTACAGAACCAAACTAACTCTCAAGATAGTATGTTTGAGTTCGCATGCGAACCTACTGGCGTTTGCAACAACGATCAAGTCTCATTCAAAGCTTATCTAGCACGGTGGATGGCCAAGTCTGCTATTTTGATGCCCACCATCAGCGATAAAGTCAACCGACTTCTGGCAGCTTCTGCAGTCGCAGCAGCGAGATCCTGTTCTGGCGGTGATAACAAACAGACGTGCGGCCAAAAGTGGTATACTGGCGGCTATGACGGCGCCTATGGCGTTGGCCAACAACTGTCGGCACTAGAGACCGTACAGTCGCTTCTTCTGCTCGCAAATCCTCAAGCACCGCTGCGTGAGGCCCGTGTCGTGGTCAACAATCCTACCACAACAAGCACACCGCCTTCCACGCCAATCGTGCCCGCAACTCTTCCGCCGCCCTCGACATCAATCCTGCCCGCAACTACTTCTCCGCTGCCACACTCGACCATATCGACCTCCACAACGCCTGTTCCTCAAACGCCTACCCTGAGACCCTCTACATCAAGCACGACATCTATCCAAAGAGCACTACCGACGCAACCTGCAGTAGCATCTCCTGGCATCAACGGCTCATCGCGCATTACTGCACATGATACACGACTCATGACTTCCTGGAAGTTCCTGATTACTATTATACTAGCGTTTGTTTTCGTTGACGGCGGATGTGGCATTTTACAATAGCGATGATGTTTTCGAGGGCGATGATAAAAATAGATAATGCTCCAAGAGCAATGATTGGAGAAACGAACAAAGAATTACAAAGCATCAACATCATGACCTAACGTTATTGAAGTGTTCCTCTACCCCTGTGCCGTGCTTGGTAGCACCAAATTCACTTTGTTTCACTCTAGCAACGATGTGGTACAAAGCATGTGCATTTGCTCAAAGAGACACTCGAAAGTATCTCTAGCTTCGTCACATTTCACGCACTGCCGACGAGCATTCTTATACGTGAAGAATATCAGCAGTTCTAACATTCCATCAATATCGACGATTGATTGGCCATGGAATGTCGAACACGGCTACAGCAACGATCATGAGAACCTCCTCTGAACGCAGAGCACCAAAACATAAAGTAACGACGAGTCGACCACGAAAGAAAGCGGCTAGAGCGAGCTCTCCATCAAGTACTCAGCCTTCGAGCAGCTCGATCTCAACACCAAGACTCACGCCAGATCCCACTTCATGCGACCAAGCGTCACAGTCCAAGCGATTCCTCACCAGCGAAGAATCCGGCCGGGACTTCGTCGAGGCTATGACAGCAGCGTCCGATCGATTCGATGAAATGGAGCAGATGGCGCAGATCTTGGGCGGCCCTGGAGGCGATGATTTACAATTGTATCGGATGCATGCTGAATTGATGCTTCGGGAGCCTGGGCAGCATGATGGAATGTACGTGTGAGAACCTTTTCTCGGATGGCTGACCCGAGCTGATCACACAGCAGAAACCATTGCGAGGAGTGCGTTCATCGCGGTCCAGCATCGCATCGTGGACTCGCGCTGTCGGAACTGGAAATGGAAAGGTTGAAGGCTTCTGGGTGGTCCGTTGCCAATCGGCCTCATCAAAAGGATGTTGGTGCAGAGTGAGCGGAGGAACGATACAGGCATGCAGTGGCAGTTGTGATGACTACAATTTGGTGGTATGGAATGCTTATAGCGCAAGTTTGGGTCGTGAGCGACTCAGTGTAGATTGCGTCGCAATGATTACACTGTGTGGTCAAACTTAACATCAATCCGCTCACCAAGCAAAATCACACAGCTGCGCGGCCCTGCATCATTAGCCATCATTGGCCATTGTCTCGCATTTTTAATGCCCTGTTTGCCTTTAGATGATGGAATTGAGTGATTTGTCGTAAAGTGCAATCGTCCGATGCCCAGGTTGATATAAATGCCCGGTTGCATCGAAGTTGTTTTGTAGAATTTCAAGACGTAGTTGCTTTGGGACGCAAAACAACGTCGGAAAGCCAGCGACAGCGACTGTGCATTCTGTCAATATTCACCATCATTTGCACGATCATTAACAGCAGATCTACAGTACACATGATGTTTCATCACGATCACCTGCCTTGACTATGTGATCTCGTTATGCAGGTAATTTACAAGCGCCATTGAATACCTATATATCATTGTGTGAGATAGGCGCAAGGCCGGCCAACAAACATGGGTTCTTCGGTCAACCTCAATCAGATAGGCACACTGATGCAACGACAAGACGTTCAATATCACAAGGATGCCATCGCCGACCTACTCAAGCGCAATAGTACTAATTTCCCGGGTGCTCAGCCGGTCTCATTCGCGCGCAAACATCTCCTCGAGCTTCAAAAGAATGACTATTTCTTATGCGAAAAGACGGACGGCATCCGATGTCTTTTGTACCTGACACAAATCTTCCAAGGCGCCCAGGACCCGATTGAAGCGCAGTTTCTTATCGATCGCAAGAACGACTACTACTACATTGCCCAAGGCTATCTTCATATTCCGCAGGTGAACAAACGCGGCAACGACCCTCCATTCGATATCCATTCCTTTCACAATGGCACGCTCCTCGATGGCGAGCTCGTGCGACAGCGCTTTCCAGACGGTCGGGAACAGCTTACGTATCTGATCTTCGACTGCATGCTCTTGTGCGGCGAGAACATCACAGAAAAGCGCTACGATTCGCGCATCGGCAGCCTGAAACAATTCGTCTTCGAGCCTTGGAAGGCATTCGCACGAGCATGGCCCGACGAAGCCAAGGTCCAGCCTTTCCAGCTCGGCCTCAAAGAATGGCAGGTGTCCTACGTGGCAGACTTCATGTTCGACCAGATCATCCCCAAGCTGCCTCACGGCAACGACGGTCTGATTTTCACATGCAAGTCCACACCTTACGTGACAGGTACCGACCAACACATCCTCAAGTGGAAGCCACCGCACGAAAACACCGTCGACTTCCGGCTCCAGCTCGGCGCGTTCCCTAAGTTCAAGGATGGAATGGGAAACACTCAAGAGGATTACGACCAGAAGCCCGAGATGGAGCTGCTGGTCTTCCATGGCGGCAATAACTACAAACACTTCGCCCCACTGTTCGTAACGCAAGTCGAGTGGACGGCGATGAAGGGCATGGGCCAGAAGCTCGACTGGCGCATCATCGAGTGCTACCGAGATAACACGACGGGCCAATGGCGCCCGAAAATCGAGCCGGACGGAACGCCACGCTTCCGGGACGACAAACAACACGCGAATCACTATACCGTAGTGGAGAGTGTGATTGAGAGCATCGAGGACGGGGTCACGGAACAAGATCTATTCGCGAGCAAGGACAAGATTCGGAGCGCCTGGAAGGAGCGCGAGAAGCGAGCTCGAGAAATGAGGACCGCTAGGCCTTCAAGTTGAAGCATCTTGGACTCATCGAGCCTGCTGTTGGTTGGGGTATGCATTCACACGCGTGATGATGGATGTAATTTGCGCACAAGGCTTGTGAGCCGCCTGATATATTTCCATGCCTGCACGGCAGGCTCAATGTTATACAAACGCGCCGACGTGACACGTCATGAAGCCCATTGGGAAACATTGGAGTAGGCTCATCAGCTCCTATTCAATCATACTTCTAAAAATACAGTTCTCGAAGACGAAGAATTCGCTATGGCTTAGCAGCAGGCTTGGCTGTGTCTGTGCCATGTGAGGACTTCTGTAAAGGTGCAGCATCGCCAAACCTGATCTTTCCCTCTGTGACTAGCTCGTCCTGCACCTCCCCAAGTGTCTTCAGCTCCTTCAGCATGTATGCCGTAATGGTCGCTAGATCGCCAACATCGACATCGTCGCTGGCGTTGAAGATGTTTCGCCAAACTGCCGTGGCGAGAACAGCGTCACCCTTGATAAGACCTTCGTCGTAGCTCAGAATGACGCCTCGCCACTGTGTCCACAAATCCTTGAGATACCTGTTTCGTATGCTGCGCGAGGACATCCGATGCCATGTCGCCATTCGATCCTCTGCCGCGTAGAAGAAATGATCTAGGAGGTGTTGATCCCATTGCTTGACGTACTCCTTCGGGAAGCATCGGAACCGCACAGTAAGCAGCCACATGTGTATGAACATGACCTGCGCCCATGTATTGAATGTTACCGGCAGAGCCAATCCTCCTTTTGCTTTCGGTTCGAACCACCAGCCAGTGCCGACACCAATCTCCTCGCCCTCAGTAGTCACTGGCGGCTCGGCCGGAGGTTTTTGAAGGATCGCAGGAATTGTGTAGTTACATTGTCGATTACATTCTAGGAAGAGGTCTTCAGTGCCGCCGTAGGCGATGTAAGGCTCGGTAGTGCCACGCAGAGCGGGGCTGTTTCGCAATGCTGCGGCAATATTGGCAAATCCACTTGCACGGGGCCCTGCGGCTACTGATGCTGCTTTCTCAGCGAACTTCGGAAGCGGTGGCGGTGGTCTTGAGGAATTTTGTTCTCCATCGACAGCAAGGCGCGAGGACGCCCCGAACGCTCGTCGCGCGGTAAAAGGATTCACTCTTCCGATTTGTGAATTTGATCGTATCGATTGGCGTAACATTCTCGTACATGACGAGCACACATTTGATGCTGCCATCGATGCGGCAATGTGTGGGTAATGGATGTGGTGATATGAGGAGGAATCAGATGTCTCTTAGACGTGCATCCAACCCTGTGAAGCGCGCGTGATTTTACAGCTCGAGAAATTGATGATCTCACGATTCATGAATAGCGGCAGATGCCGAAAGCATTGTCCGCGGGAATGAATGAGTCAGCGTCAAGTTCATCGGCACTCTCGTGGTGGTCCCTGGCGCGCCGCAGCGGACAAGAACCAAATTGGAATGGTCGTCATTCCCGCGCCTCGAAGCTCTACATTGCGCCTACGAATGATTGCCCCGCGCAGTGTTCCAGTGATGCAAACCGTTTCACCAAGGAAGTAGCTCCGCGTGTCAATTCTATCATCTCCAGTACCACGTTCGTGTCATACTAGACCGTAGCTTCACACCTTTTCACACCTTTCATCCTAATTGTGTCACAATGCAGTCTGGAATTTCAGGTTCGTGGTCTAATATGTAGACATCAATACAGACGTAAGTCAGCGACTGCCGCTGACACAAATGCGCAGCATCGCAGGAGTTGCAGGACGCCTTCAATCGATTCGTCTCAGCCTCGAACCAGCGTGCACTGTTTGCGACAATCGAAAACGAAAGTCTCGTTCCGGGCGCAGTAATCCCTCTACAGGCTGCCCACTTCACTGGAGATCTTCCCCAGCTTCAGCCATATGTGTCGCCTACGCAGGCCGCGTATATTCTCCTGAAGGTTGAACCGTCAGCACCCGATGGCTACATTGCAATCACCTTCGTGCCAAATGCAGCTCCAGTGCGGCAAAAGATGCTCTTCGCGTCTACACGCTTGACATTGGCTCGAGAGCTTGGTATAGAGCGATTTCGATCGACAATTTTCGCCACGGAGGCGGAAGAGCTGACCGCCGAAGGGTGGGCGAAACATGAAAAGCATGAAGCCTTGCCCGCACCCATGACGACGGAGGAAGCAGGGCTGGCGAGCGTGAAAGAGGCAGAGGCCCGGGAATCCCAAGGCACTAGCACGCGTCGTGGTCATGTGAACAGCACGGTCAATGTACCGACAGGCGACGGCGTTCTCGAAGCTCTGCAGAGTCTCAAAGAGGAGGGATGCAGGGGAACTCTGGTGCAATTGAAGTATCAATTGCCGAATGAGACATTGGCTTTGGACTCCTCCATGGATAATGTTTCCCCGGACATGGTGGGGAAATTGATTTCGCCCTCCGAGCCGCGGTACTCCTTTTATTCACTGCCCAATGCGCCGACGACACAAATCATCTTCATCTATACCTGCCCGACCCAGTCAAAGATCAAGGAGCGAATGATATACAGCACGAGCAAGAGCTGGACGCGCATTGTTGCCGAGCGAGATGCGGGCGTTGCTATCGCCAAGTCATTAGAGGCGACTGAACCTTCTGAAATCGGCGCTGAGCTGTTTGGTGACGTAGTTGCTGCCGAGCCGAGCGCGGCGGAGCCTGTGCCAAGCACGGGCTTTTCGAGACCGAAGAGACCCGGTCGTCGTTGATACTAGTAGTTGTTTTTCAAGCGGCATACACTTGCATGTTGTGGATCAGCAGGCGTGTGGTAACGAGCTTGCAAATGTGATACTAAACCCCATACTCGAATTGACCAGTGGCCAACACAAGACAAGCTTTCTCTTGTCCGTCTCAGTCGCCATCGAATAGACCGGTAGCGCTTGGCCCACCGCCAGCAGCTTGCATACCCTTTCGCACGTCTGCCACAGCAGATTCTGCTTCGGCCTTCGACTTGGCCTCAAAGTCGTATCTCTTGGTTTCGCGGTTTCTCATGACAAAGATCTTGAAGATCGCTGGATGCTTCCGACTGATTTTTGCACCAATCACGCTGCTCATCGCGACATTTGTGATTTTCCCGATAGGTGCCGCTAGACTGTCTGGTGCTGCAGGCATGATGGTCATGTACTCCGGCGTGATGATCAGGGTGCGAGGATGAGGTGCAGCAAAGCTCAGCGGTTGCTTACGAATGACATTGTATCGCTTGCCACCACCATCCTTGTTGAGTCTGTAAATTGTTTCTGTCGTAGCATTGACCTTCGTTGTAGTTGCTAACCGCGCCGCTTTCCCATAACGTGAAGGGTTGGAAGTTCCGATTCTCATGTCCACGGGTAGATCCGGAGAGATTCCACTGACAGGCGAGCTTCCATGAGGTCCGATATCCTGGAAGCGTCTCCGGACGAGATTGAGGTGCAACTTTTCGCCCAAAACTTCTACCATGCAATCGTTGGGTGCTACTGTAGACGTCCCGTGGATTTTCAAGACGTGGGAGGCCTTGTCAAGATTGAGTCGACGGCAACTTTGCTCGAAGATATCTCCAATGTAGCTGTCGGTCGTAGTTTCGAATTGCTCGTTGCGTGTCACAAAGCTCTGTGAGTCTGTGTATTGCACCGTTACTGTGCAAGGTGGACCCATCTTCGTGGCGCCGCGAGGTCCTGCAGTCTGAGGGGCATCCATGGGAGGTACAGTGGAATCCTTGCGAAGCATTGCACCAAATGGAATACCAGCCGTGATGGGATTGGTGTTTACAGTCGTTGCGGTGGTGATTGGGCCATCCGAGTGCGATCTGAAAATAGAGCCGGCGACAAGAGGTTTGCTGACCTCGAGCCTGGGTGTCATGGCTGCGACTGACTTGGTCATTGTCGTATCAGACACTTGCGGAGTTAGGGCTTCGTTCTCAGCGAATTGCTCGTCTGTTGCCTTTACCAATCCAAATTCGTCCCAAGGTTTGTCTCGAGCTCGTCGTTGTGGCGGGCGATTGTTATTCGAAGTGAAGTCTGTCACTGGTCTCGTGCGACCAAGCGCTGGAAAGTCAAAGTCCACTTCTTCGTCCTCCACAATCCTGAGTGTCCAGCGGTTGATGTTGCGCTCGTCCTGTTGTAGCGCTGGCTGGTATTCCTCTTCTTCGTAACGCCACAGGGCGAGACCAATGAGCTCAGCGACAGTGACTGGTTTGTCATCTTTTGTTTTCCGCATCGGCACCTCGATCGGCTCGGTCGGAGTAGAAGAGAACGGTGCATAGATCTTGATCCACAGAGGTGTGGCTTCTCCTTTGCCCGAAAACTCGGCAAATCTTTGGAACGGCTTCTCGTTGCCAGCACCGCCATCTTTGCCCTTGAGCAACATGCTGAGCATGGACACACCCTGCGTACTTTGCACTCGTTGGCCTGCCGGCAACTTTGGTAACTTCGGTAGGGCGTCTTTAGCGAACCTCTTGGGGGATGAATTGGCTGGCGTGATGGCGGGAATGATCACTGGAGGCGGACGTATTACCGATGATGAAAGTTCATCGCTCGCAGCAGCAACGCCCAAGACCAGCAGGGATCCTGAGCCGGCAGTGTGCTCGAACTCCTCGTCGCTCAGGTCTGAAACTTGATCACCAACATCGGTACCTTCATCGTCAAGATCCGATGCCAGAGCAATGTCAGACTCCTCCTCCTCCTTGATATCATCCTCTAGCGCGAGAACGCTGCGACCCTTGCCAGGGCGACCAGCTCGTACTGCATCAGGCGCGTACTCATTCTCCGACGACATTTCAGAGCTTGTTGTGGTATCTCTCCGTGGCCGTGTTCGGATTCTCTCAATCGCGCCTAAGCTGCCACTGCGCAGCCTCTCGGTTCCCCCAACTATCGGGCGCGCCAGACCCGTAATTGTTGCTGCCGGCCCATCAAATTCAGACTCCAGCCTTGATGTCGCAGGGCGTGTCGGGGGCGAGGATTTGGAGCGATCCCGCATGGGTATGCGGTCGAACTTCACCACTCCAGTCGGCGCCTCGGACTCGTCCTCGCTGTCATCTGTCAAATCGGAACTGTCGTCGTCTTCCAGCTGTTCCTTCCTTCTGCGTCTCTCTCTCTTCCTTTCATTTGCCTGCAGACCTGCTGGTCCTAGAGTGTCATCGCTTCCGTGAATGCCTGTGACCATTCCTCGTCCAAATTCCTCTGGGGCTACCTCATCTTCCTGGGCGGCCACAGCCCTCCGCGGTCGCTGAAAGTATTCATTATTTATATCAGAGGTGCCGGTGGGAATCGGCGGCGAATGACAACGCTTGATAGCAGCGACATCCGGCACCCAGCCTGCTGTACGAAACGCAGGGTTGTTGAGAATGGCAGGATTAAGATTGATGAGACGCTCGCCGACGCCGTCGCGTATGTTGTTCAAGTATCCCAGGCGAAGTTGATATATCGAAAAGCTAGAAACAATAAGCAAGTCAGCTCGCAATCTAATATAAAGTGCCTGATTGGCAGCGTACTCTTCATTCATAAGGAGTGACATCTTGCATGTGCGGACGTCTGGCAAGGAGGAGGTCTGGATGAGTTGGAGTCCATGTCACGCAATAGGTGTGCGCTCTTATCATGTATCATACAACATCTGGGCTTCAGTATTTCCAGACGTGGAGCATGAGGTGTTGCGATTGCAGATCTCGGATCCAGTGTGCAACATGCACAAACCAAGACTGGGCTTTGTACAGAATGACATCCGCCAATCTGCCCCACCACAAGCCCCATTGTTGGTTAACAAATCTCACGAATCACAAGAAATCTTGTTTCAGCATTCGAGGTACCATGTTTGCACTGGAAGTGATTCGATTGTACATTATCCACGTTGAAATGCCCAACCTCACAATGGCGAGGTTGTTGAAGTCCTATTGTAGTGATTTGTGATCCCCGTTTGCTCGAGTGGATAAGAATTTCATGAGCCCGGACCTCATTGACGACGGTCATGACATTAGATTCCTCTGCTCCCTTCATGTGCTTCTCTCGCCAATATCAATCTATTAAAACTTGAACATACGATCCCGAAGAAATGTCTTCACGACCGGCAGGCGCAACAAAGCGTGTATCCACTGCTACGCCGGCGGATCTCGCCCCGAAACCACCTTGCACAATTCACACATCCGCTGTGGTCTCGGAGAAGGCTCAAATCACGGGGGCACACCCCGTCGAGATTGGCGAAAATACCGTGATCCATCCGTATGCCAAAATCAGATCGGACCGTGGTAGTGTCAAGATTGGGAGAAACTGTACCGTCTGCGAAAAGGCAGTAGTTGGCATCGCGGATGGCGAAGGCACTGTTGTGATTGGCGACGGCGTCAATATCGAAACTGGCGCCTTGGTAGAGGCCGCGATCATTGGTGACGGCACATCTATCGAAGTTCGTGCCATAGTGGGCAGGGCCTCGGTTCTGGGAAAGGTACAGATTTGAAGGCTGTGTCGCACTTGAACATTGATACTGACCACTATTGCGCACAGCATTGTAAGATCACGCCTATGAACGAAGTCAAGCCGAATGAGACTTTGCCGGACTACACAGTGATTTTTGGCGACAACCAACATCGAATTGACTTGACACTGTCCGAAAATTCAAACCTTCGAATAACGAAGCAAAGAGGCCAGGAGATGCATCTTGAGCTTCTTCGGAGACTTATCCCGAATGCTTCTTCTAAATGGAGCTGATACTACTCCTGGCAACCTTGGATTGAGAACCTCGCGTCTCTTGACGCGTCAGATGATTCGAGAAACACTCGTACATGCCTCATTTAGCTCTGTGAACAGCATGTTCAGATCTGGTTCCTCGCCGGAGTGGTCGCGCACGGGCGCCGGTAATTGAAATATCTCCTGAACACACGCGATCACAAGCTGCCTAGGTTTTTATTCAGAAAGTGTCCGCACACAGACGTGCCTTCAGGATAGAAATGAGAAACGGGCCAAAGACTGAGTCAAGCCTGTGCAGCACATTCATCTGCAGCAGAAATGGAATGAATAGCTTGGACACTACCTAAGTTCTACTCGTCACCGATGTCTGATTCAATGCAACGGGTACGTCAGACTGTTTTCACGATCCTCACGATGATCGTGATCGCCGGACGGACCGTCTCCGATAGGAAACGCGGAATCGATGTGCTATGGCTGCAAGATGGATCCGGCGAGGCGAGCACGGGGAGAGCCCCAGCCTGCCCAGGTGGTTGTGGTTGCCCCTCCATGCGCCTACATAATTCAAGTTCCAATAGCAGCTGCTCGGTTCATCATTATCATAAAATCCGTGGACCGCAACAAAGCTGAGGAGGGCCCAGGGATTTCAGCGAGATTATTTACACGTAGAAGCCCCGCAATGCCGGAGTCTCCACCCAGAAATTGCCCAGCGAGAGATTGCCAGGCGCAAGACTTAAACCACCTGGCATTATCATATTGTATGGAATAACGTGCGACGGCTCATGGACATTCTATACGACGGGCTCGATTCAGATACGTCTCTCGCAAGGCTACGAATCATGTTGTAGAAGCATCGGAATTGCTGTATATGACATATAAAAAGAATAAACTTCAAGATAAGCCAAAGTGCCCCCTCCGATTTGGCGATTACCTAGGTATCTGGCTGTCATGACTTCGGAAAGCCTGATGTCAACCTACATACAGTACTGTCCACACACCTAGACATATTCTGACCGGCTTGCGAGATATTCATGGATTGCTGCAGTTCACCTGGGCAAGATTTATTATTGCCGACCGATGATGCTCTGGCTCCCCCAGATACCCCGGTACCTGCCCAGGTACGTGCCTAGCAATGTTTAGTGATGGATAGGCAGGCACAGCGTGGACCTAACGAACAAGGCGACATTCTTGGCCCAGCCCAACCCACGTGCGATGATGTCGTTGGCAGGCACTCCATTGTTCTTGCTGGCTGCTGATCGATCGTGGGCAGGAGCAGAGAGAGCTCGAGGTAAGGTCCGTACTGAGCTTGCTTGCAGAACAGGTGACGAGCACGAAAATCATTAGAACGTTTATCATGACCTTGCATACCCATCAACCTTGACGCCCTCCAATATTTCTTGTACTTTACTCTCACTACCTCCATTCTCTCTCACACCTCGAATTCATTCTCCAATTCCAACGCAAAAATGGGCAAGGTAAGAGCTTACTATTCCATTCCCGGCATCCTCGGACTTATCATTGGTGTTTGCCGACTTGCCTACTTCGACTTGTAGGTGTTGCACGCGTAGTGGTGCGCTGATAATGACAACAACAGGTCAAGTACATCCTTCTCGACTGCGACAACACCCTTTGTCAGTCCGAGCGTGTGGCATTCGCTGCCTGCGCCGAGCTGAGCAATGAGGTTCTCGCCAAATACAAAGTTGACGCCCACTACTCAATGGAAAGTCTGCTCGATGAGTTCGTCGGCCACAACTTCCGTAGCATGCTCAAGGGTCTGCAAAAGAAGCACAACTTCACTATGACCGACGAGGCCGTCGATTCCTATGTCGACCAAGAGCTGGGCCGTGTCACCGCCAAGCTGTCCGAGAAATGTGACGAATGCCCCGGCGTCACCAAGCAACTCGAATGGGCTCAGAGCCAGGGCTACCCATTGGCCGTCGTCAGCACTTCAGCCAAGCCGCGTGTCATCGCCAGCTTGAAGACCACCAACCTCATGCGATTCTTCAAGGATGAACACGTCTACTCGGCCGCCACCTCTCTGAACCCACCCTCTAGCAAGCCTGACCCGGCCGTGTATTTGTTCGCTTGTAAGGAGCTTGGTGTAAAGCCAGAGGAGACCCTCACCGTCGAGGACAGCAAGTCGGGAGCGACGGCCGGCATGCGTGCTGGTATTCCACTCATTGCTTACGTGGGCATCTACGGACTTGAGGAGGGCAAGGAGAAGGAAGACCAGATGGCCAAGCTGTTGACTGAGGAGTGCAAAGCGAAGGTTGTCATGCGTGACTGGAAGGAGTTCCCTGAGTGTGTGAAGAAGATCGAAGAATCCCTGTAAGCCTCGGTGCCCCCCCTTTCTATTCTGCCATGACGGCCCGCTCGATCGTGCTCCTATGCCATACTTTGGCTTGGAGTTGTTAGAGATTTCCACGAATGGGCGCGAACAGGTGGACTGAGTGTTGTTTATTCTTTCCTACAGACTCGAAAATGCAAAAATTTGAAGCAAGTCGTAGATCGACTGCTATGGCAAATATGATTCCATCGCCTGTTTTGACGTCCGATGCGAAGGATAGGAAGTGAGTACAAGATCAACCAAATATGTCAAAGTGGATGTTAGGAAAGACAGAGGAGGTGTTCCAAGGTTATAGTTCCATGTGACCTGAGTGATTTCGGCGTATGCGGATATTTCCTCCCGCCGACACTATACTTTGCACAATATACAATATCACCACGTTCACCGAGGGGTACGATCATCAGGAAGTTTTCTTCGCCTCACCTTGCATTGCTGTATGGCCCGACACACATGATGTCACTGTGGCGGCGGTCGTAGTTCAAAGTCTGCTCTGAGGCTTCTTTGGCTTGAACAATGATCTAGTAAAAATCATGCACATGAGTCATTGTAATTTCCTCTTATAGCTCATTGGTCATTCCATCATCCCAAGGCCGCACGGATAGAGTGGCCAGATCTAGAAGCATTCTTCTCTCGCTGGTGATTTGAAAGAAAACAAGCAATCCTCTCAACGGTGGCTCTATCTCGCCGTCCTTGTCGTACATTCATGAAAAAGAGCAGCTCACCTCTTGCGACCGTAGGCTGGGACCTCGGCCGGTTTGTTGTCCAATACGGCCTCAATTTCCTCCATGACCTCGTCTGTGAGCTTGGAAACCAGCTGGATGGCCTTGCAGTTGTCTTCAATCTGGCTGACCTTGGTCGCGCCGAGGATGACGGTGCTGACGTTCGGGTTCTTGATGCACCAGGCAAGCGCGAGCTGGCCGGCATTGCCGCCGAGACGTTCAGCGATGGTGGTCAACTTGCGGACTTTGGCGATCTTGGCTTGGCCTTCTTCGGTCTGCAGCGACTTGATGGTGCTGTCGAAGGTGCTCGCATTGGTGGCGAATCGGGAGTCCGAGGGGATTCCATCGTTGTATTTACCGGTCAGAAGACCCGATGCCAATGGTGACCAGATGGTTGTGCCATATTGGAACTGCTGGAAGAGAGGCGCATACTCAACCTCCAAGCGCTCGCGGTGGAATGCTGCAGAGTCTTTGTCAGTGTCAAGATTTGGAAGTTTCATAATCTTGACCTACCATTGTATTGGGGCTGCTCAGCGATCGGCGCTATGCAATAATTAGTGTCTGGGTCCGACTACTCAATGGCTAATATTTACCGATCAGGTTGTGCCTTTCCGCGATGAGGGTGGCTTCCATAATTTGTGCTGCCGACCACTCGCTAGTGCCCCAGTAGTAGGCCAAGTTGAGATTGCGAATGACTTGAGTGAAGCCTGCTCACTTTGTCAATCTTCTCGAAAGATGCGTTGATGAGTCTGTCGTCAAGTTTGGCGCACCTTCCACGATCTCACGCATCGGAGTTCCAACATCGGGCCGGTGCGCAAGGACAATATCAACGTATGGTTGCTGAAGTCTCTCCAAGGAACTCTTCAGGCCTTCGACGACGTGCTTGCGGGAGAGACCACGAGTATTCGGCTCCTTACGTCCGGTGCCTGTAATGCCCGCGTCAGTCCGGTAGGTGATAGCATCTAGATAGGAATTTCCTTACCAAAAAAGATCTTTGTGCTGAGCACTGTGCAGCAGAATAAATTGTTAGAATGCAATCGACATGAACTGCGAGGTACACGATTCGAGCCTTACCGTACTCATCCCTGGGCCATGCAAGCTCTTTGAGTGCTTTGCCCATCTCAACCTCGCTTTCGCCATTGGCGTAGATCTCGGCAGTATCAAAAAAGTTGATGCCGTGATTCTTGACCGGTGAATACAAATCAGCAAGTCGTTCAGCGTTCGGCAGCTGAGCAATGATCATTCTTGCTGGAGCGCTCACCCATGCAGTTTCGAGACATTCCTTCACAATGTTGCCTTTTTGCGTGCCACCATATCTGTCCAACCATCAATGACGAGAACTGCTTAACTCAGATGGGTGATTACCGTACGTGAGCCAACCTCCCAAGGATAGCACGGATACCTTGAGACCCGTGGGACCAAGGTGTCTGAACACCTGTTATTCGATCTGGTCAATGTCTGGCGAGACCGAACGCCATTTTGCACTTCACTCACCATGTCCTTGGGGTCGAACTTGCTTTCTACAGGCATTGTGATTACGGTTGGTGACTGATCGAGTGCTCAATTGTGAACAAGCAGAAATGAAGTATGGAAATAGTTATTGCAGAATTGATGGTTTGGTAGCTAGACAACGGCGTTCGTGTAGGGGAGCTCGATAAACGTGAGCTATTCAGCGCAATCGGCCCTGTAGTGTGCAAGGGTGTCGAGACCATCATCACAATGCAGTCCGGAGCAATCATTGATACTTGATTAGTGCAAACGTCATCGTTTGCAGGGCAAAATTTGGGGCCATTGCGACCAACACAACGGGCGACCTGCCCGCAAAGTTCATTGGCCGTTTTCTGTTCAGCTTCGCGGAAGACTGACAAAGAGGGGTTTCGCGTCTGCAAGTGTGGTCGATGACAGGTCCGTGGCTACTCGTCGCTGCGTACGCCAAGTGCAATGGGAAAAGAGTCCAGGGATGCGCAGGTGTTCATTGACTACAACTCCCGAAACAATGGATTCCTTCCAGCCTTGGAGGATTAGAATGACCAATCTCCATTTCAAAGCAACTTTGGACACATGGTCGCGTTTCACGGAAATGCGTCAAAGTCATCAGTACGCTTCCCTGGACAGTGAATACGCAGTGGTCATCCGCAATTAAACAATGATGCTGGAGGCATTCTTTGCATATGTATTACAACTGTTGCAGTACATGCGCAGCACTACTTCAAGCCGTGGCGCAGCCGTGTTAGCTGAGGCTGTGCTGACCACAACCTCTCTGATCCTCGACACAAAAAACTCTGCAGAATACAAAAGCTACAAGTCTGCACCATTCTCCACGTAATGTGACTCATACATTGCCATAAACAGGTGACAGCATGATGTAGAAACAATGGTGTCCGTTTCGCCTCGCGCCTCGTTCCTCGATTCAGACGATGAGCCTGAACCCGGAAGCACGGATCCTCGTTTCGCGTTCGGATTTGGGTCCATGAGCCTGACAGACGACCGCTACTCAGAACACGAGCCCGACGACTACCATCGACCACTCACAGGGTTCTCAGATCATGGCCATCGCAGGAAACAACGCTCTAGGCAAAGTAGTTCCCTGCTGAATAGTGCTTGTCCGTTCACATATGAGACTGAGGCGGATGGCCATGCGTTCCGCTTGGTCATCCTCCATCCAGGGACTGGCACGAGCACCATTCAGTGTGATCTCGTCTTGGAATCTACGAAGAATGTGCGAAGAGTCTACAACTGCCTGAGCTATGCTTGGGGCTCAATCAACCGCAACAACGCCATCTTGCTCAACGGCCGCAGATTTGCGGTCACGTCGAATCTGTACAGTGCTCTGCAAGCCTTGCGTAAACCTAAGACACCCGTGACAATATGGATCGTACGTCTATTCAATCTCCATACACCCTTATGATTCGGTTCCGTGCTAACGTTGGAAACTTAGGACATGATATGCATCGATCAGGACAACACAGGAGAAAGGGGACATCAAGTCTCAATCATGAAAACAATCTTCGTATGCAAACTTACACAACACTCGTCGCAGATGATATGATGACTAAGAGATATTGAAGAACCAAGCGACCAAGATCTATGTGTGGCTGGGTGAGGATGACGATCGAAGTGAAAGGCTTTGCGCATTCGCGAAAAGTATGCGCCGAGGTTCTGATGAATCGGCAAAGACAAACCTCAATCGTATCCTCTCACAACGTGAGCTTCGGGACGCAATCCGAAACTTGTTGCAACGTCCTTGGTTCCAGCGAGTCTGGGTGATTCAAGGTGAGTGCTGAACCTGATCTCGCTTTGGGACACAGACCTGATTAACTTTCATGTGCAGAGGTCGCCCTGGCGCGCCGAATCACCGTTGCATGTGGGCGGGCACACATGACTTGGCCAGAGCTGGTTCGATTGATCAGAGACGTCAAATGGCCAGAGAACCCCGGGTTTGATAAGAAGGCATCTCTGCTCGGCAATCCTAGGCAACGCATCGCCATTCTGACACAAATGATCGCGGGCCAGAAGGAAGCCTTGGCGCATACTGACATCACCCAATTGCTTATTTTGAGCAAGAGTAGTCAGGCCACAGATTCCCGTGACATGGTATATGCTTTTCATGGACTTACTCTACTCACAACGGTTCCAAACTATTCCGCACCTCTCGATCACTCGGATCCGGATTACCAGAGAGCATTGAAACGACTCTATATCGATACGGCTGAGCAATATATCAATTCCATCAGATGGGAGCCATCCTATTCCAATTGGCACAAGCTTGATGACGGCCAAAAGACCTTTCAGCTCATGAGCATCATCTATAGTGCTGGCGTGCTTCATCGACACCTCGAGCTGCCGTCATGGGTCCCTGATTGGACCTTTGCCTGGCACCTCGCGCCTGTATTTGCCAAAACAATTCCGAATTTTCTGCCCGCGACCGGCCGAGATGAATGGAGCAAGGGCATTCGAAGCGAATACCGAGCTGGTGGTGATCAAATGGACATCTTTGAGCTTTCGAAACATCAATTACATCTGCGCATATCGGCGCTGCTCGTGGACACCATCGTACTCGTCAATGAAATCACGCCTGCGCCAACTCCAAACGAGAGCCAAGTGTTGTCAACATCACCAATTAGTCGCTTCGAAAACGAAGATGTCACAAATCTGAGCTATGGACGGCACTTTTTCACGACAGAGCAGGGGTACATCGGTTTCACCACCCCCGGAACCATCGAAAGCGACGAAGTGGCCATCCTCGTCGGTGGTGACGTTCCGGTCGTCTTACGCCGTGTCACGGACAAATCTGGAGGCAGCACGGACACTTTCATGGTTCTGTGTGAATGCTATGTGCAATCGCCTGCTGTAATGCACGGGGACTACCTGAAGCAAAACAGGGCAGACGCCATCGAGATTACCATTGTGTGATGCTGAGCAGCAGCGTGCAGGGTCTCAGATTGATCTTGGATGTTTTAAGCCAAATGCGGTCTTCTCAGGTCTCATTCGAAGTCGCAATAACCATTCAAGTTTGTGCAGGTGTCCGTGTAAGTGATAATTGCTTCCTATATCTACTTCTCGATGATTGCTTCCTCTACCCCGGCCATGATGTTTCCGGTTTCATGACAGCGAGAAATGTCTTTTGCCAGACTATTGGTCATCACGTCGAGACCGTAAATCTTCTTGCAAGTTACGTCATTCTGCAATTCGTTGTTGAGACGCGTTTGCACGTGTCGCGACCATGCCCCGCGTCCGAGGAGGGGCTGATGAGGCCAGCAGGCACACCCGTCGTTCATGTTCGTGGAGATGACCACCTTCCCTGTGACCAGCCACAAGGCGCAGCACCACCCGACCATACTTATTACCCTTGAACGGTTGCTGACAACTGCTCAATATTTGTTCTCGATGCTCTTTCTAGCTTGAAGATCTGAGTCACCAGTATCCCTGACTCCAGCGCGCATCGGACTGTTCACCAGTGATAATAATAACCAAAATCGATACTCTAGCTTCAAATCTACTTCTTCGTTCCTAGTCATACAGCGCTTGACTCTAAGCAGATCAGAGTCGAACCTTTTTCACGCAGCAACCATGCAGAACCTCATTCACACCTTCATTGACCCTCTGCGCGACCGCTTCGCACCGTTAAATCACAACTCGAATTTCCGTGCGACTGGTCAAATCACACCGGAAGAGTTCCAGGCTGCTGGTGACTTCTTGGTCTACAAATTTCCTAGCTGGTCGTGGGCCGATGCTGCGACGCCCGATAAGCGTGTTCCATACTTCCCTGCAGGCAAGCAATATCTCATTACGCGAGGCGTTCCTTGTCGCCGACGGATTCGAAATGACGACTTTGCCGGTTCTGCTGGAGAAGATCAGCTCGTCAAAGATTTTTTGAGGGAGACAGGCGCCGAGGCAGATGGAGAGGATGATGGTTGGTTGAAGGCGGGCGGTGGCCGTGCCGAAGCCGATGCATTGAAAGACGGGACGGCAACGGACAACGATAGCAAATTTGGCGGTCAGACACAGGGCGAGGAAGACGACATTCCAGACATGGATGAGGAAGATGACGATGACGACGCTGTCATCCGTGACACGAGCAAAAAGAGCAACGAAGGGTAAAACTCCCCGTATCAGCATCGTGATAGAAAGGATTAAGCTGACATGGTCACAGACTGAGGACCTACACTTTATACATCACCTATACCCCTTACTACAGAACGCCTCGATTGTATTTACTTGGTTACGACGGCAACACAAACCAACCACTAGCGCCGTTGGAAATGATGGAAGATATTGTTGGCGATTACAAGGATAAGACTGTCACCCTGGAGGATTTCTTCTTCACGAATCCCGTCATCAAGACTGCATCTGTACATCCGTGCAAGCACGCCAGCGTTATGAAAGTCCTTCTGGATCGAGCCGACGCTGCTTTAAAGCTACGGACAGAACGATTGAAGCACGGCGAGAAGCCTCCCTCAATTGGCGTCGAGGGCTTGGTAGATCAGACAGCGGGTCTATCCGTAAAGGACAAGGACAGCAAAAAGGAAGGCGAAGCAGATTGGGAGGTCCTATCATCTGACGGCTCACAGGATGCGGAAGTACCAGCCATCCGGGTAGATCAGTACCTGGTCGTTTTCCTGAAATTCATGGCCTCCGTCACTCCTGGCATCGAACATGATTTCACCATGGGGGTCTGACTACGCTCGGGCCAGCCTTTCGACCGAGAAGCTTGGATCAAATTATACCCTGGGATAGATTTTCCACGAGAAGTCGAGTGGATGGAGATCAAGCGTCTGTTTGGAGGTGCTGTGATGGCAGTTGGCATGGATTGAAGGAAACATCATTCCGTGAGTACGACGACAAGCCAGTGAGCAGCAAGATTTCAGTCTAGCAAATGTATTATGATCGAGAATTTTCGCAATAGAGCAGGAAGTCTGCCAAAATTAAAAAAAGGATGGACTACTCCGGACGATCGTCTGCTGTGGATCTTCTAATTCTGATCGCTGGTATTTCATGCTAATGTGACATTCTGTATCGCACCATCTCTCATCTCGACCGAGACATCGATGCCCTCCCGCAGGCCTTCAGTTGCCACGCTCACTCGATGTGAAATCATGATAACAGTATGGCCTCTGTCTGTGAAATTTTCTTTGATCACTTTGTAGACCAGTGCCTCAGATTCGTCATCCAGAGACGAGGTGACCTCGTCGAGAAGAAGGATGGGCTTGGGTGTCATCTGTGCTGATTGAGCGATGCTGTGATGTTGACGGAGCACTGCACGGGACAAGGCAAGTAGCTGCAGACGTCCGGGTGTCGATATCGGAAGATTCGCCAATTTTTGGAGGAGAATGTTCGAAGTATCGTGATCCTTGCTGGTAGAACCTCTTGCGTAGTCGATCGGGAGAAGTAGCTCCCACAACGTTGTTGTCTCGAGCGCTGACACGACTTGGCCGTCTGTGAATAGATTTTCCGGATCAAGATTATATCGCAGCGTGTCCTCTGTAGCAACGATCGGTTCTTGCGGGATGGCAATGAAGCACTGACTTATTACGGTGGAGCTTGATACCTGGGAAAGGTTGAGACCGTCGACAACGATCGATCCTGCGTCTAATTCCAGGAGTCGGAGCAAGGCTAATGTCAATGTGCTCTTTCCGCTGCAATAAACATCAGTGAGTTTTATTTTGCGCAAAATGTGTCCTTAGATTTGGACCCTCGATGATACTGACCTCCCTGATCGACCGTAAATGACAACTCTTTGCCCCGGCCGAATATTGATATTGATGTCTTTCAAAGCAGGCGTACCTGATCTTAAGGGAGAAAATTAGTCGAAAGGTCTCGGAGTCTGATGAGTAAAATGCGACACTTACTCATACGAAGCTGCAACATGGTTGAACACAATTTCACCACGCGCTGGCCATCCTCGCTCTGGGGCTAAAGGGATCGCTGGACTCAGCTCAGGTCGGGCTTCGTGCTCGAAGGCTTTCAGACGTGCAACGGATTCTAAAGACGTCTCGAATGATGTCCACGATTGGACCAAACGGAGGAGTGTAGTGGTCGCGACGAGGATCATGTTCAGCGCAACCCCCATCTGCGCTCCGCTCAGAGATCTCCCCGGTCTGGTTGCAGATGCAAGAAATGCAGTGGCCAAAAGTGCAAAGAGCAAATCAAGAACAACTTTCAGCCATCGCTCGAGACACATCCGCATGAACATGGCTCGCTGCGAAGTTTCCAGTATGCGAAGATGACACTCGGTGCAGACGGTCGTCCAGCCTAGCGCCCGAATGGTACTGAGTCCTTGCAACTGTTCGCGCCTGTCAGTGAAGTTTACAGCAGACTCGGATAGTTCAATGACCGACGATATCGATAAATGATGTCACCAATGCGCCTTTTGACTCCAATTCTCGATGTCGAAGCTGTTTCGAACCACGAAGGTAGCGCCTTTGGAGGATGTATACAATGATGGCATAAAGAGGAACAATGATCGCTAGACTTGGGCGAGCGGAAAAGAGTAGGCACAGCTGTACCGCCAATTTGAATATTTCTTGTAGCAGTCAGCCACTGGTGAGCAACACCTTTCATCGAGACTCACGAGTCGAAAGCGCAGCGATAGCATTCGGGAGCTCACGGTCTACCGTGTACAAGTCTTGGCTGAAACTAGATGAAGTAAGCGTGGTGTTTCTGCGGATTGGACGGCTTGATTTACTGGTTGAAGACCGAACCAATGTCCGTGGCAAGGTACCATCTAAGACTAGCCCTGCAGCGTGGTCAGCCTGGCTCTCAAGATTAGAAATGACTGCCACCATACCTCGAGAGAGTATCAAGAAGGGAAGAGTGGAGGACAAGCCCAGATTTGGGCGCGATGCGAATCATAGTTGCCCTTGAACGGTCGATTAGTTGAAGTAGCTCTGATCGCTCAAGTTATACACACCACATCTGGCTGCTTGTCGAAAGCCAAGCCGTGACGCAAAGCATAACGTAGACAGTGATGAAGAGCGTAGATGAATTTGCATTTGGGGACTCCATCCAGAATTGTAGCCAGTACTGTGGGATTGTTGAGAAAAACGAATACGAAGCTGTGCATACGAGCATGAGGCCGAAATTCGTATAGCCTATCGCTGAGGTATAGATATATGTGATGAAGCGTTAGAAAAATCCTAAACAAGATGTAGTCACTTCATACTGAATGCTTGCATGCTTCTCCGAGGCACTTTTGGTACGACTACCCCATCGGTACTCCTAAGCCGGGCCTTGAATTTCGGTATGGTAGATGATAAAGGCGTATGAATCTTTGACACCTGGACCTCAGAGTTAGGTAGATCACTGCTTTCGGGTACGAATCTCTCAAGGACTGATTTTATGGATCGCCAAGAGCCTTGAGCGGTTATACGGCCGCGCTCAAGCAGGACGATATGCTTTGCGAAGGCACATTGAGTCACTGAACAATCGATCAGTATGCAGCCCGGTGTATAGTGCAGGATTGTTTCAAGCTACCTTGAGTGCTGGTGAGGAACACTGCCATATTTCTATCGACAGAACAAAGACCGCCAGTTCCGAATAAGTTCTCAGCTATAGCCTCCTCGGTAGCCTTATCCAGAGCGCTAAAAGGATCATCCAAGACGAGCACTCGTGGCCTGGCATAAATGGCACGAGCTAATGCCTGATATTGCTGTCAGAATCGAGGGTGTACTTTCGGCAAGCGATACTGACCACTCTTTGTCGCTGGCCGCCCGATAGGTTGCTTCCGTTGCTACCAATCTCTGTTTGATGCCCCGCGGCCATTGACATTACATCCTTGTCAAGACAGCAGACGTTTACAACTCTGTCATACCATTCGTCGGTACTGGGGGAATGTTCTGCAAACGGTCCAGTGATCGCAGCTAGAATTGTGGTTGATGGTAACCATACCAATTGGGAGCAATAACCTGTAGGTCCTTGGCACGGAGTAGCCTGGCCCGTGATAGGTGATATCTCTCCAAGTATCGCTCTTGCGAGAGTAGTTTTGCCATGCCCAATTTTGCCTATGCAGATATTCAGACCTGGGGAGAGTGATAGGCTGATATCATGAAGCACGTTGGATTTGTTTCGGCCAAGCGAGAAATTCGCATTCTCAAGGCACGAGAACATTTCGGATCCGATCTGGGATGAGGGACTTTGCGTTTCACGATGCTGCCCAATGCTACATTCGGGCTCATTCAGAAAATCTTCAATGCGTTCGGCACTTGTCCGTGCGGAAATAGCTTTTGGCAGAATGGTGAAGATCATGTTCGCAGGATGAGTGACCATGGAAAGAATGGCTACCACCGTGAACACAGTCCTGGAGCTGAGTATTTGAGGTTGCAGCATGCCCTGACTCTGAGCTGCAGCCGTAGACAAGACTAAAACGAGCATCGGTGAAAATATTCCCAATGCATTCGCTAGTGTTTGTCAGCAGAAGGCCAAAATTGAGAGGATTGGTAGCATACCGCTGGCTCCGTACGCGACCATTACCCAGCGAAGTCTCGTCGAGGCCACCATTTCTTCCTCGCGAAGACACTGAAGCTTCGCGTGAATAGCTCTAGTCCAGCTGATCATGCGGATGCTTCGAAATCCCGTGAGAAACCATACAGTGGCCGATAGTCGAGTCTGCGATGCTTCATTCCAAGCAGCCTGCCGTGGGTGGAGATGCATCGCAACATACCGACTCACTCGCGAGCAGCCTGTTTGAGTATCAGCAATTTGAATCAGTTGAAATTGTTAGCAGCCTGTTTGAGTATCAGCAATTTGAATCAGTTGAAATTGTTAGCAGCCTTACCATATATGCTCAGGAGAAGTAGCAGACTCGTCCAACCGATTGTGTACAGGAGGGACACCATTCCAACAATGACTTCAACCAGGTGGGCCCATGTTTCATGAAGCATTTCTGCCACCGGTATCAGCGCCTCGACATCCGTAGCGATGAGCGCAAGGACACGCCCATCGTCTGAAGAAGACGATGTGCTGTGCAGCTTCAGAGACTTTTCGAAGACCAGAGTGGTCAAAGAAGCCCTCGACAGGATCTTCAGCCGATCGAGCTGGTGCTGGTATATTGAGTTTAACAACTAATGGCACAGTCAGCCTCTAAGTTCCATTGCTGCTCCGACGGCCGCTCCTTACAGCTAGACTAGTATATATCACCGCAGCTGAAGCTACCACAAGGCTGGGTTGAATTTGATCTGATCGACGACCATTTACGCAATCAATAGAAATTGCAATAAGGGCAGGCTGCGCATATCTGCAAAATATGAGCAGAATTCGCGTTGGAATAGCACCGACGAAAGGGCTACGGATGGCCCAGAGTAATGACTTCACTAGATCCGGGACACGTTGGCTCATTCTGGTATTGATCTGGCCATATTTATCCCACGATGAGATGATCGACGAACGAGCGACGCGCGATCCGAGGTTTGGAGGAAGTTCAATGGGCTCAAGCTGCGTCGTATGAATGATAGGATCAATCATCCACCAGAACACTGCCCGGTTGAGAAAACCTGCCTTTTCGTAGGAAGATTGGTGGTGGTGTTGGTGTAACGCTGACGACGACCCCTTACTCCATGATTCTAGAGTCGCGGTAGCTATGAGGAGCCATATGCGGAGCGTGAGCACGCGCGATTGATGTGGTGAAGTAATGTATTCAAACGCATCTCCAAAAAGGTTCGCCGCTAGGAACCCTGATGCGAACGACGAGGGACGGAGACTACGCTTCTCTTCTACAGCCGACAGGACACAGAAGCTTATGACAGCGGGTATCTCCAATGCTGAATGAGTCTCAGTCGACATGCAGCACAGCATGGTGGTACCAAGAAGCGCATAACTCGTTAGCTTTAGCACTTCTGCATTAGCATTGACCAAGTGGGTATCAAGTGGCCGAATTTCTCACTTTCTTGAAATTACTCCGTTGGCAGGGCACGAACTTGATTTCCACAGGATGCAATTTCCAGACACGCCAAACGAAAAGTGCGATTGTAAGAAGTGAGGAGACAACTCGCAGGTCATGAAAGATATTCCTGTCATGCATATTGAGCAGCACCAAGCCGGTGGTCTCTAAGCTGCCCAGATGTTGTTGACCCGGTCAGGGACGAAAGTTGTCAAGGGCGGAAGTGTTTAAGGACGAAGACGAGGGTAGGATTCATCAACTATGTAAGTATGGTGAGCTTGAGCGCTATCTATCGGCCAGATGATGCGCAAAGTCGTGAAATGACGCTACATTGTGCTGATTTTTACGGGCTCCAGAAGTGCAGTGTAGCGATGAATCATGATGAGTAACAACACCTCCTTCATCAACGCGACGATTCAAGTGAGATTTTAAGGGTTCGTGGGCTCAGGGTGCACGGTTCGCTCACTGATAATTCATGAAACGTGCAGTAAGGCTGCAATTCGTTTCACGGTTAGACAACCGTGATTCTGTAGACTGGTCATGAGTGTAGCAAGCCAACGATCGCAAGATGTGTGTCGTTCGCTGAGGCAAAGGTTGGTGCGCGGCAAGGCTTTGATGGGGCGGCGCTGGCCTACGCCTGTTGTGAATGATGACCGGTCTTCTGGAGCCTTTCGAATCCGAACATAAAAGTACCTAGGCAAGCATTCGTGATTTATTTTGGCACAAAGAACCGTCTTGAAGATGAGCACTGATTGATGCAATAATTGGCTATGTGCTGTCTTCCCCGTCTCGAACCGTGCTTATAACTTTTCGACCAATAATAGATAAAGCCTTTGCACCATTTCATCGCTCCGAAACATGCCTCACGCAAATGGTGCTTCTAATCGCAGTGATGGACGAGATCCACCCGACAGGTCAGAGCCGGCTCCGATGAGCGGTACAATCCCGCGCAGCACTGTGATCAAGAACAGGAGAAAGACATATCTTGATCGACATGGCGACGAGTATTTCAGGAACACCGAGCTAGAGCTCGAGGGTATGTGGCGCTTCGACGTAGTCCTGTGCGAAAGACCGCAAAATGACAGCCGACTTGGGGTACAACAGATCCATTGCTGTATGACCGCTTCGTTCGGCGATTTCAGACGTCTTCGGATCGACAACAACAAAGCCTCCAACGCAGTAACGGGAGACCAACGGATCTTACGGGAGATATCCTCGAAGCCAACCTCATCCGATCAGAGGCCAAACTCGAGGCCTTGAGAAACCCAGATCCTAACAGTCCCATCGTGTACCAAAGAGCTACAGATGGGACTATCGTGGCATTCGAGCAGGACGAAGATGATCGCGCACTCGATCGCGAGGCAGGCTGGGCGCGGTGGCTAGACATCATGGGACAAAGATTTCTACGGGGAGAGGACCGCCATTTCGATTACACTTCTGTTGACGAAAATGACGAGTACGATGACCGTGGAACGCAGGACCGGGAGAGGCTGGAAGAATGGCTTGACGGGGAGGAAGTGGAACATCCGGCAGGTTATGTTCCTACGGGCGAGACTGGGATCCAAGATTACTGATCCTCAATTGTATCTTCACGCGGACACGCTGAGACTTGCGATAATAGGAGCCATGGATCTGACGCGTACCATTACCACGTGTTGGGCCAACGCTTGTTTGAGATGTGTGAGCTCTGTTCGAATGGGACACAAGGTAAATAGTGCATCGATAGAGTGCTTTGTTATTAATTCTGCGACAGCATTTGGCAGGTCACCTTTACGACAACCAGTGTGAACAGTAATGCATGTCTCTGTGCTCTCTGGGAGTTTTTCTGGCAACCTTGGAGCGATGAACGCCCAAAAGGTCGTGTGTGCACGTGCTTGACCGCTCCGTCATAAAGTAGAGGGCCGAGCGCCAGTGCGTCGGTAGCGTGTGCCAGCACTTCAGGGTCATTCACTAAGCCAATTGTGGTCACTCGAAATCTAAAGCTCGTGCCGCCAACGCGTCGTCCAGGATCGACTTTCACGAGTGTCGAGCGTCCACTCTTGATATGAGCATATATTAGGCATCCCACGATGCCAACGACCCCCGCGCCGATCAAGCGCCTTTCTTACTGTGAACGCGCCGAATATGGCGACTATCACACTCGCTAAATACCAGCACGATATCGCCGAAAAGCAGAAAGCTTACAACGACTTGTACGAGAAAGTTGCGGAGCGCGATGGTGACATTGAAGCGCAAAGGATACAAATCCAAGAATTGCAGACCGGAACGCGGGAGCTGCTGCAATGGAAGAAGGATCACCTCGCCGACGTAGGTCAGCATCAGTCACAGATTGCGGAACTCGAACATCAACTTAAAATCCTACAATCTGGAAATTCCGAGGTGCAGACCTCATGGTCAGAAGAGAGGCTTCAGCTCGCACAAGAACATCAACGACTCAAAGACGAGAAGTCACGAGCATTCCAAGATGTCGAGCGACTCGAAAGGGAGATACATGATGTTCGAACGCAGTTGGTGGCTAGTCAAAAGCACGTGGAATCTTTGGAGAGTGACTGCGTGAGCAGGAAGGAAGACTTCGATGAGTTGGAAGAGGGCACCCATGTTGTGCACGAATTTTTCCAGAGCATCAGCGATCGCTTTGCACCGGTACTCAAAGAACTGGGTCAAGATGCGACACCTGAGAACCTACGCAACCACATATGTGGATTGGGTGTCAATCCCCCATCCCTTCCCCGTCGAGGTTCTGCGAACAGCTTTGATTCTATGATCTCGAGGGATTTCCCAAACGCTTCGATTGACGGCAAAGGCTATCGGCAAGCATCTATCGGAGACGAGCTCGCGCGCCATGGCTCAGACCACGGTTACGACAGTCTGGATCACAAGTTTGGCGATGAACGTGATTTGCTTTTCGAAGACTCCATGCTGGATCTTGAGTCTTATGAACTCGATAACTCTGATGACGAAGCGGCTAGCCTCCGCGCGCAGAAATACCAACCGGCGCAAAGACGATACAGTCGGGACTCTGTCTTCAGCAATGGTGACAGTGTACCTTTGCCAAAGGTGCGAGGTCGCAAGGGTGTCTCTGCCACGAACGACGTTCGAGATTCGTCACATGATCGCAAGGTGAGGTATCAAAGCACCGGAACTCAGTGCGACTACGAACAAATTCCGCCCATCACGCCCATCGAAACGCCCACACGGTCAGATTCCGCGAGTGTACGCGAGCATGACCTGTCCAAGTTACAGCATCAAAAAATTCAGCAACTCCAAGCGGAAATCAAAGCTTTCAAACACCAGCAGGCCCTGCGGCATCAAAATGTTCGGGAGATGTCGGTAATGACTGACATCGAAATGTCTCAACTACCAGATCGGGCAGGCCATGATCTGATAGATGCCCAAACTGCGATCTCAGATCTACGAGGTCGGCTGTCTGAGCTTCAAACAAAACATGATGAGGCTCAAGAGACCATCAAGCACGTTGAGGCTGGTTCAAGAAGCATCCATTCTCAAATGAAGATCCTCAAAACCAGACATGCTGAGCTGACGAGTTCGAATGGCTTGCTCGAGACTCAGTGTAAGGAATTGGAAAGTGGAGTCGCTACGTTAGAAGCTCGCAACCGCGCTCTCGAAGACGAAAGGGTGCAGGCTTCCTTGACGCAACAAGCAATGAGTAGCAAGATCGAGACTATTGAATCCGACCTTGCCAAGCAGGCTTCCGATTTGGGCTTGGCAGAGAACAGCGTACGGCAATGGAAGCTCAAGCATGAACAGATCGTTTCAGAATGCGAGGATACCCGTCGAGTAGTCAATGACCTCCAAGCATCAAATGACGACGCTTCACAAATATCCGATGCCCTTCGCCAACAGATTGCGGCGCTGGAAGCCGAGAAGAAGGAAGCAGCGAAGACTCAGGAACTCTACCAAGTTCTCTCCGACGAACACAAAGCGTTGCGAGAAAAGACCGGGGCTCTAGAGAGATCTCTTGAAGACAACGTGCACGTGCAAGAGGAATGTGTAAGACATCGGAAAACAATCGCCGCCCTTGATTTTGAACTTGCAAAGTTCAAGGATTTACATGCCCGACATGAAGCGTTACAAACAGAGAATGCAGATTTGCTAACAGCAAAGCGAGCGTACTTCAAATTGCAAGCTGAACACAAGACCCTGGCCAGTGAGATGACGACGTTGAGGTCCGAACTTGAGGAAAAGAGTAGATTGCAAGCTCGAAGTCAAGAACTTGATGAACAAATCAGACAGCTGCAAAAGCGGGAGGAAGATGTTCTCGGCGAGCTACAGGAAGCTCGCCTCGAAAAGGTCCAGGCCCAAATTCAACTCGAGAAAAGCTTCAATGAGCTATCGATCCTTGAAACTGAAAGAATCGAGCATGATCGTGGTGTTAAGACTCAAAACACAAACTTCCAGGAAACCATCGCCGCTCTTCAGAAGGTCGTAAGCGAAATGGATGCCCTCAAAGCCAATCTCGCCGCACTTTCTGAAAGCAATGACGCGCTTCAAGCCGACAAGATCAAAAGTCAAGACATGCTCAAATCTCTTGAGACAGAATTGAGCGTCTCGCAAGGTGTCGGTGCTATGAATGTTGAGCTTCAAGCCAATGTCGATAGCCTCCGCAAGGATCTGGACGCACTCGGCGCGGAGAAGATATCCCTTAAGAGTCAATTCGATACGTTACGACAAAGTCATGAACAATTGATGGAAGTTCGAGATCAGAACAAGATAATGCGAGAAAGACTCGAATCGCTGGAGGCTACATCTGAAATCAATTCGATATTGCAAGATCAACTCGATGAGATGCACACTAAGAATGAAGAGAGCATCGCAGCGAGTGAAACTCTGAAGCAGCAGCTTAACGAAATGCAACTCAAGGACGCGAGGAGCAGTACGAGGGTGCATGATCTGGTCAAGGAGGTCCAAGAGTTACGCGCCAAGGACGCGGAGGATGCGAATCTCACTCGGCAATTACGAGATCAGCTGAACGTACACAAAAGCAGAGAAGACGCTCAAACGGTAAACGCCCAAGCATTGCAGGAACGCCTTGATACTTTGCAAGCTACAGCTACAGAACGTGCAAAAGAATTGCAAAGCGTCTACGATCAACTCGAGACTGCGAAGAGCGCAGAGGAGGCGAGCAAGACGCAGGTCCACTCGCTTCGCAACCAGCTTGAAGCATTTCGGACGGAGCACTCAAAATGTGAAAAGGCCATTGAAGAATTCACCGACGAATTGCAGATTGCACAACGCGAGAAAGCCCAACTCCAAGTTGTTGAGCAAAACAATGCAAGTTTGCATGCCAAGATCGAGGAATTACTCATCGTGGAGGCAAAGAGCATGGAAATGCAAAGTCGAATCGAAAGGCTTCGGACGGATCTAGCTGATCTTCACAAGACTCGCGAAGAGAATGCGGGCTTCCTGAACACGATCTGTCAACTTCAAGCCCAAGCCGCAGATTCTCAGTCGCTTCAAGCTGATTGCCAAAGCTTGCAGCAGAGAAATGAGGGACTGATGCTGCAAATTGCGACGATCCAGGCCGTCGAAACACGGAACGCAGACCTGAAGCGGAACATCGCGGCTCTCAAGGATGAGATAACACGACTTGAATCGACTCAAGCCGACAATGTCAAACTTAAAAGCAAATACAATGAGCTCGAACAGACTGTAGCCTCGTTGCGAATGGCTGCTGATGAACTGGCGGAACTCCAGGTCAAGTATGATGGCATTCAATCGGAATCGGGAGAGTTGTTGTCACAACACCAAAGTCTGAAGGCCAAGTACGATGAGCTCGAAGATGAGAACTATTCTCAGACCCTGGAGATTCGCAAACTCAAACTCGCGAAGCCCGATACTTCGAACCTGGAATCCCAGATCGAGGAGCAGGAGAAGACTCACGTTGAGCTGCAGGCACGCATTGTGGAGGCTGAGACACTCAACGAATACCAAGCGGATGAGATTCGCAAATTGCGCCACTACGCGGAACAGTCTGAATCTGAAGACAAGGCGCTCATCATCAAATTGGATACGGAGATCAAGTACCTGAATGGCAAAACCGTGCAACTGGAAACCGACAAAAGATTACTCAAAACACAAGCTTTGCAATCAAAGCTGCCAGAGCCTACACGTGCAGCAGCGTCGTTCTTTCGAGATCGAGGCCAAGGAAGCATGTGCATTGCTGCGCGTCAACGCTCCCCGTTGCACCAATTCTTGGACTCGCCTTGGTGGCTGCAAGCGATCGTTGGTCTCATGTTTGTGATGTGGGCGAGCATGACCTTTGCCGCATACTCAGAGCGGAAGATGTGGCTCAGCGCTAACGACGATACACATCGACATTTGCGCAACATTATGGCGAGACGAGCTTCATATACAGCGTCTTGCAGTGGGTCAAGTCGTTTCTGGGAAATCCTGTTCGATCCACTTTCATATTTTGATTAGGATCGTGGCGTTGCGGCTGTTTGGGATCTCACCCTGCTGATATGAATTGATTCCAATATTGGTGATTGTGTGACTAGGATGGTTCAGGCGAGGCGATTGGTGGCTTTCTCTTTTTATTTCTCTTTCCCGCGATGATACCCCCAGAAAGGCGAGGCACAGGGCGACATGATTTTGGGAGATGGCTCTGAAGAAAGCAGGACGTACAGCAGTGATATTGAATATTTGATGATATGAGACTTCTGCATGGCGCCACACACATAAATTGACTACTGTGATAATATGCCGGGCGCACGACAAGTACAAAAAGGCAAGTTGTACGTGGGCGGGATTGTAGATCCCGGCCTACACATTCGCCCATATTTATGTCAACAAACTCTAGTCTTCAATGAGGAGTTCTCTTCCGCCTTGGTGGTGGTTCATTCCCCCCCAAATAGGGGTCCCGAACGGGCAGTTTCCCCTCCTTTCATGTTGCCCGCTACTGCAGGTCGGACGCCGAATTCCGTTGGGGCCAATTCATGGTTCGCGCCATGATTGTCGAACAGCCGCGGTCGAAGCCGTTACATTTTGGTGTTTTCTCCAGCGATCTTAACATTAATCGTAATCCGTATCTTCTTCGGGACTCGTCGATGAGGCATTAGCCTGTCATTCACCACACGTTCACTCCTGCTGAGCTTACACAGAAATATTCGGTCGTGTGCTTTCGCATCACCACATTTGTCGCATTATCTACACCCGCGAGCAGGTCGAGCACACCCCTATTGGCGATAACACAGAAACCATCGGCCGGACGCGTCTTGTCATCCCCGACACAGCGCAGAGTCCATCCGATGCCTTCCGTCCTTTCCAATGGCCAGAGCCACACAGCCAAGGATGACATAGAGCTTGCCGATCGCGATGACACAAGCGAACACCTACCGATGCTGAGCGATGAACAGGGAGATCCGCACGAATACCGGGATGAAAGAGATGGCAGCGCACAACACAGCGAGAAATACCTTCGACGGACACCATTCACACGATTCCTCGAGGTCTTGCGCATTCGAAATAAGCCGTATGCAGCACATGTCCATCATTATGATGACGGCGCTGCCGCACCGCTGCCGCAAGGCTTCTTCGCTACCCTCAGGACAATATTCAACTATCCCGAACCCAACATCGAGCTCAGAAATACCGCATGGCTAGATGGGTTGCGCGGCCTCGCGGCTTTTGAGGTTTTCATCTTCCATTACGACGATGGTTGGGTCGACCGAACACTAGGTTGGGGGACTGGCGACTTTCTTGATCCTGCGTGGTGGCGCGCGCCATTCATCCGGACCTTTTTCGCAGCTGGCGATGCTGCAGTGTGTCTGTTTTTCGCGATCTCGGGTTACGTCCTGTCCCACCGCATTCTCACCCTCTACCGCCAGCGCCGACATGAAGAGGCCTACTCCTCTCTTTCCTCTGCGGTTTTCCGCCGCGCCATCAGACTGTACATGCCTGTCGCCATTGAGACATTCATTCTGATGTTGTTATGTCGATGGTTCAATTTCCCCAAACCTGTCGTCTACGAATCCGCCGAAACCTTTCTCGGCGAGATCAGTCAATACATCACCAGCTTCGTTCATTTGTTGCTCCCACTGCGGTACCCCGACCGATGGGATATGGTGATCAACCGCTACGATGGAGGCATTTCTTGGACCATCCCACTCGAATATTACGGCTCGATTGTCATATTTGTGGTCCTGCTCTTCGTTTCAAGGGTTCGGAACATGGCGGTGCGTCTGACACTTATCTTGGCTATGGTTTGGCAGAGCTTCATCAAAGACGATTGGATCGCTGGTCAATTCTTGCTCGGTATGGCATTCGCTGACTGGCAAATCGGGAAAGAGTTCGCAAAAAAGCGGCAGCAAGGACCTACAACAGCGAGGAAGCAATGGCTACACAACATCCTCTCCTGGATGATCTTTCTTTTCGGATTCTACATGGCGGGTCTTCCGCTATTCCATCTTAAAAATGCCGAAAACGGAGGAGTTGACGATCTTTTCTCACGGCCATTCTATAACTGGATATCTAGACCACTGGCTTATTACGGATTGTACCGGAATCGCCAGACTGATCGATACCTACAATGCCTTGCAGGTTTCGCTCTTCTCGTCGGCGTAGGTGAAACCCCTATCCTTCGTCGAATCATGGAAACCCGCTTCGTGCAATATCTCGGTCGTATCTCTTTTGGCTTGTACCTTTGTCACATTTTCCTGCATGCGCTTTTGAAGCCTCTGGACAAGTACTACGTCATGATCGTCGGCCTGGATCCTACCGTGCCCTTGCCAGAGCGCAAAGAGAGCTTACAGCTTTTCATTGCTTATCTACTCATGCTAATACCCTCTATGACGGTCAACTTCTTTGTGGGTGGCTGCTTTGAACGCTTCCTGGACAAGCCTTCAGTGAACGCGGGCAAGCGCTTTGAGAAATGGTGCTTGTCGCGAGGAAAAGACGATGCACCACCATCGTTGCCACATGGTACGTCAGCAATGCCTCCGCCAGTTATCACGATAAGTGAAGCACAGGGGAACGACGCACAGTCGGCACAATTTCCGGTCAGACAGTCTATTCGCTTGCGATGAAATGAGAACTACTCGCAGTCTTGTAACCATGTCTGTACCTCTTCACGCGAACGAGGTACATCCAAAAATTGCTCAGTCATTGAGCAAGGATAAAGAAAGCATTATCCATTCCATCGTGCTGGAAAGTCGCGGAACTCGGCCGATCTCTCATCTCATAGGCGCAACACTCCATGTTCTGCCCTTGTTGCTGGCAAACATCGCTGCGGTTGAGCTCTGCGGGCCATGGTGATCATGATCTGGTCAAACTGCGCATTCTGGGGACACTCCCCCCAATGGAAGAGGCTTACACATCGATATGCAGCCTCGCGGATGACTTGCATTGGACGTACTGGCAGTACAAGCCTCGCTCTGCATCCATGTTATACAGCGGCATGCTATCCAGTCCGGCGTTGTTGGCGGCTACTTTATCACAGCCATGAATGAGCAAGCTACGAGCCGATGGCGCATGACTTAATCAAGATACTTGTCCTCCCAAGTCTTGTTGACTCAACTCACTTGCATGTTGCAATCAACAGTATATCTGCAGACTGTACGCGGGCTTTTGGACTCGGGTGGTCATTAAATCAAAAATGGCACACTTCTATGGATGCAGATTTGCCCCTAGAATTGTGCTTTGCGGGCATCAGTACAATATTCCGGGCAAAGATACCCACTCGTTATTTTCAGAGGATTCTAGAATTATATGTTGACCATTATACATTTAGAAGGTCAATGATAATCATTTGCCGTTCTCTCCTCACCTTATCCGTGTCACGTGTTGGCATCAGGATGTGCCATTACCTCACCGTCAATCGTGACCTTCTACAACATCTCATGAGGGGCGCCATTATCGGTGCAGGTCGTTCAACATGAGGAAAAATCAACTTTGAGCATTAAAAATAATGTTTCCTGCCGATCGATCGCATCGACATCGCGGGAGAAAAAGGAGGGCTACCCGGGGATAGAAGATCTGCATCATTCGGGAATCGAACCCGAACCTGCTGCTTACAGAGAGTATCATTGTCTCTCTGTGGAAGGCAGCAATCCTAACCATTAGACCAATGATGCTGGATGTGAGATAATGGATATAGGAGAATTTTGATATCATATACAGAACATATCTTTCTGTGATTTGGCTGCGAATTGAACATCAGCAATAATATGGATTTGCGGTATCGACGACATCGTTGCTATCGTGTAATACACCGACTGCAGGTAGCCGATCATTTATCGAAGCGAGTGGCTCTGCATTACATTTTCGTCTCATGTCATTACTATCATGACAAGCAAACTCCGATCAAGCCGGACATATCATGATGCGATCGGACAATTGAACCAGTTGCAGACTGGCGCCCGAAAGGTTCAGACCGCAACTGCCGTCCTCACCCCTAGAGAGAAAGCACTGGGCTGGGCTAGATTTCTGGAACTTGACGTGCGTCTGCTCAATCGAGAACTCGGGGTATACACTCACAAGCAAGATAGGTACAAAAGCTGCCCGTCATTCATGTTGCGGGTACCAAGGGGAAAGGTACGACGTGCTTGTACACGGAAAATATCATCCAGACATATCACCGATCCAAAGAAAGCAAAAACAACAAAACCATCGGCTGTCTCGTCTCGCCTCATATTTCAAGCGTACGAGAACGCATCCGAGTCAACGGCGAGCCCATCTCGGAAGCATGCTTCGCCTCCTATTTCTGGTCCCTGTGGGATCAGATGATGCAGCGACATGAAGCCGAGACCGAGATGCCCGGGTATCCGGGTTTCTTGACGTTACTGGCGTTTTACATTTTCGTGCAAAAAGCCGTCGACATCGCCATCATTGAGACGGGCATGGGTGGAGAAACCGATACGACGAACATTATCGATGCGCCCATCGCCACAGGCATCTCGGCGCTGGGACTCGATCACACGGCTCGGCTGGGGAACACGATCCAGAGTATCGCCTGGCACAAGGCGGGGATTTTCAAACGTGGCCGGCCGGCTTGGAGCGTTCCGCAGTCGATAGAGGCGAGTGATGTGCTGCACGCTCGAGCCGTCGAGAAGGGAACCTCGGTACAATTCGTGGACGGCGGTATGCTAAAGAACATGGGCGTGGCCGTCAAGCCGGATGTCACATTTCAACGGGAGAATGCCGCGTTGGCGCTATCGCTGGCGAAGACATACGTTTCTCAACTGGATCCCCCGGGAGAGATCGATTACTCTGTCGCGCAGTGTTTGGAAACGACAGAGATGCCTATCAAATTCGAAATTCTCTCACAAGCTGGCTGGACTTGGGTCTTGAGCTCAGCTCATAATGAGATGAGTATCCGGCCTGTGACACAGGCATTTGTCGAAACTTTCAGGCAGTGAGTTGAACCCCCAATTCGACACTGAGGAAAGTAGCTCACGCATGAAGCGAAAAGTGTTCCAGAGAAAAAGCGAATCCTCGTCTACAGTCATGACTCCCAACGAGAAGTGAAACAACTCTTTGCGACGATGCACAGCTGCACCATTGACCTTCCGTTTCAAACTGTGCTATTGTGTCCGCAGATTCTCGGCCGGGACGATTCGCAAGGTAGTACCATCCCCGGAATCCACGACTCTTGCGTCTCTGTTCCCCAGTGCTGACCTGATGACGATCAGAATTCAAAGATTATCGCAAAACACCCGAAAGTTGGGCAGAGGCCCATCGGGACCAAGTTCAGTTCTGGCACGGTCTCGACGCCCAGGGCGATGTTCGAATACTTTCGTCTGTGGTAGAGGTGCTGCGATATATCTCCGAGGAGGAGAGTAGTACAGATGGCGTAGTGCTGGTCATCGGATCAGGATATCTCGCTGGCATGGCGCGGCATTTACTCAAGCCTCTAGCGTGAGCTAAGAGCAGTACAAGCAGCACCACACTGGTACAATAGAATCGGCTTGAGGGTTTCCGAGATAATCTAGTGAATAGAGCAACAGCATGAGCACCTACATGATAGACTGCATTGTTCGGCGCCGGGTATCGATCGATTCAAGTCCTGTGGGCCTCATATCTGGGAATCTCGAGTAGTAAGCAACGTAGCAAAATTTGACCCCTCTCGCTCAGAACGCTGTACAATATATCTATACAAATAGAAGGAACCATCATCACACCTCTAGACCATCTTCCAGCCCACCACTCTCTTCGAGGAAACCGCCAACACGTGCGCGACATTCTGCCATGCCTTCGCCCAGCGCTTCATTCCACTGCCTCTCGACGTCACCAACCTTTTCTTTCAGGTCGCTTGTGAGATGTCCTTCGGCCTCTCTCCGCGCCTGTTTCATCTCCGCGGTGATTTCCGGGATGGCAGTCGCCGCGGTGGCTGCAGGAACAGCAGCATGACGTTCCATTTCCACGAGGCGAAGGGAGGATGTCGTCGTTGCAGTTTTGACCTCATGGAGTAGACAGAGGAGGTTGATCTGCGACTCAATGAATTGATAGGCGCTCTTGTGGGCGTGATTGAGAAGGCTGTAGAGGTATTGGAGTGGGTGCTCGTGATAGGCCGGGTTTTCGGCATATTCCTGGGGAGGGATGAGGATCTCCAAGCTTTCCACATCGTCGGTGGAGATTTGTTGCACAATTTCCAGCAGACCAGGTGCAATGTCCCAGAATGCGGAAAGTTGGTCTTCTACGCCGCGAGTGACATTCCTGTCGACGACGGCTTGGAGCTCTTCTGACCGCTTGAGTGCTTCTTTGGCCAAGGTAATTTGACGCTCTCGGCCATCCTTTTCGAAGAAAGCAGCAGCTTCGTCGATCTTGGATTGCTGTTTGGCCAGGCGATAAGGTGTGAGGATGACTTCGGCATATTTTTCACTTCGCATACCATGAAGATCAAACATTTCTTTGTGTAATAATTCGCGAGCTTCAAAGAACCATTTCAGCAGAGTCAATTTCTCGAGTCGTTCTGGTCGTTCGTCGCCCTCTTCTTGGGCTTGATTGGGATTTGCTGCTTCGTCGCCGCTTTCCAAGTCTGTCGTCAACTGTTGAATGCACTGATTTGCTTTGTTCAGACGCTCTTGCAGTAAAGTGTTCAGGGGATGAGATACGCTGGCCTCAAACACATCGAAATTCGCTCGAGCCGTAACTTTGCTTTTCTCTCCTTCTTCCGTCTCGAAATCAGCTTCCGCTTTGGCTGCATCAGCAAACGACATGCTACCATCCGCAATTTTGCTTTGTATGCTGGCACGCAATTTCGCTCGTCTTTGTTTGCTCGCCTCGGCTTGTTCCTGAAGAAGAGCTGCATCTTTATCATTGTATGTGTCCTTGATCTTCTGAATATCGTCGCGTTGTATGAGGATGCGGTGCTCATTCCGAAGGTCTGCCAGCAGTGGATGGTTGTTGCTCAAAGCCGGATGATGGCGCGGATAAGGCGGTGGAAGGGTGACCAAACGAGAGACGTCCAAAGGATCTACGCCAGGTGTGTTGGCAATGCGATCATTTTGATGTGGTGTAGGCATAGGTGTATCATAATCATAGCTGTCGTGCCACCCAACCTTCTCTGGCGGATACTCATCTGGACCATATCCGGACGCCGGGGCATTCCTCTGTCCATTCGGTGTATGCCGGGAGGGATCCGGGCTCGAATCGCGGAGCGCTGCTGCAGTGATGCCCATGTATTTGGTCTCGCGCCGAGTTTTCTCCATTCGGTCGGGTCTACCGATTGATCCCGGACCAGTAACGCTTTGCTCCCACCAACGGCTTGCAGAACGGCCTCGAGAATCCGATTCGTCCGGTGCTGTGCTGACAGCCATGCTAGGAATAGGGGAGAGGGACGGCTTGAAAGCCTCGGGCCATTGCCTACCTTCAGACCGGTCGTTGTGCTCGTTGGGGTCTCCGTTTGAAGCACCATCGGTTCCAGGTGTACAATCACCAAACGATGATCCTCTGGCTGAACCGGGCTGTGATGAAGGCACAGTTGGATCATACGAAGACATACCAGTACTCGGCGTTCCCGTACGTCGTCCATTCTTGGTAAATGATCGCCACATGTCACGCATGAGATCAACGATTTCACCAGCCATGGCATTGTATGCTGATGGGTATCGATCCCGCCGAATGCGAGACTCATGCACCATGAAGTTGGCGAACAACTCCAGGCGCTCCTCATCGGTTCGAGCATTAATCTCCTGTTCTACAAAATGACGATGTCTTTCGATCGCTTGTAATGCAAATGAATCCAGTTTAGCCGTAGGCGGTCTGAATCCAGCACTTGGAGGCCTGCCTGGAGTGACTGACCCATTTGCATCCTCGTTCGGCATCGGGATTAGGTGTGTCACAGCTCGGTCGCTGGTAGCGCTTCCGGGTGCCTTAAGAACCTGCTTTCGCAATTGCTCGTCGACATTTCTGCCCACGGCTGGGGTATAAGGAGGAGTGAGGACATTGTCCCCAGGTTTGGTAGTGGCAGGCGAAGGTCCGTTTACTTTCATAGTTGTGCTAGTACTGGGGGCGGAATGAGGCTCCACATAATGCGACCGGGTTCTCGCATGTTCACGTCGCCGACTAATAGACCCTTCGACTGGCGAAAAAACCAAATTACTCGGTCCAGCGCCTTCTTCATCACCTCGCTGTGCCCGACTTCGGGATCGGCGATCGCGCAGACCAGAAGCACTTTCACCGCGTTGTGCAGGACGTCGTGTCAGTGACGGCTCGCGATGAGACGGCTCACGGTGACTGGTGGTATCGATCCTCAGTGGCTCCATCGTCGCACCGTCAACGGGAAGATGTGGGCGCTCCGGCATAGGTGCACTGGGTGGGTTGGGAGCGCCGACGACCCAGTCTGCTGGCGTAGGTGGTACTGGGCCGAGGTTCGATGTTGGCAGCGGTCGTCGTGTTCGAGGCGCTTCAAGTTGGCGATGCGGGTCTGTGCTGCTCGAACCGGCGCCTCCCAGTGGTCGGCTCAGGCTTTGCGAGCGGTCAGACGATGGGGGCCGAGGAGGGGGCCCGGGCAGCGGCATTCCAGGCTGCCATCCACTTTCTGGAGAATCACGCCTTGCCGGCCCTGCTGGTGACGATGAAGATGATGCCACGATGCCATGTGACATCATATGCCCCGTAGACGCCGCTCTCCTAGCCGACGGCGGTCGCATGTCCAATACCGGAGGTGCCGCAGGAACACTGGTCGGTGCCGGTTCGGGTTGTTTCCCACGTAATCCCGATAGGCCAAAGAACCCTCGTTGTCCGGCTAATCCTGAGCTCGATCTTTCTCGATGTCGCGACGATGGTCCTGGAGGTGGAGGAAAGGCAGGCGAGACGGAGATTTGTGGTGATTGGCGAGCGGGAGGTTCAGTCGCAAGTGGTGACACCACGGTTCCAATGTTCTCCATGGCCGCGGAAGACATTCCACCACGATGAGGCGCATCCGGGCTGCTCGGTGTGTATGGAGGCGGCGGAGAAGGCATTGCGGCTACACATAAACCAGTCAGTCGACCGCATCATGCACGACTTGAAAGAATGTGGGACGTCGTGGAGCATGATGTCAATCCGCGCTGCTTGTGCATGCTGCGACAGCATCACCTTGAATATCGAAATCTTCCGCACGTCACGCACCTTCCATGCCAGTTATCTCCGAAGTGCTCGGCGGCGGCGCGATCCCGGGACGTTGTTGCTGAAACAACATCTGCTGCCCTGAGACCTGCCCTCCGCGATTGCCCCATTGTCGGGGATTGTACGGCTCCATTGGGGTACCAGGAATTGCGAATTGACTTTGTGGCGCGTTGTGACCACCGCTGCTCCAAGGCGAAGCGGATGCTGGCGTATATGAAGAAAAACCACCTTGTCCGATTGTCGGACTACCACCCGCGAAGTTGGTCGCGATGGCTGGCGGTTGGATGCCAGAGATGGGTCGCCGTCTCTGAATGGGATGTCCACCCGGACTGAGACCAGGACCTAAACCCGCAGAGCCTGGAGTGAGAGGTGGAGGCGGTGGTGGAGGATGGTGATAATCATATTGATAGCTCATGGCGGAGATGTCCTCGCCTGCCTGACCAGAGTGGGCGACGATTTGCGCGTTCGCGCGCAAGGGCGGGAGGACGAATCACGCCCGGGAAGCCAAAGGATGGGAAGCACCGAGAACGAAGGAGCAGCAGCGAGTCGGATCGTCTCGAGCAATGACCCATGCCAGTGTGGAACGCGGACACAATGTGGTGACAGGCTATACTGTAGTACAACACAGTGTAGATGCGACGAGCACCTATGGTTCGTCAGGATGTGGTTCGGTTAGTACAAGCACGACAGGCAGACGATTGCTACTGGATCTGGGGGCGGCGGCGGCAGGCTCGGATGTGATAAGCCCTGCAGAAATGGTGAGACTAATAATGATAGGAGGGACGCACATGGAACTCGGAGGGACCTGCTCGTGGATGTGGACTGCACGTCTGCACATACCACTCGGGCTAAACTGCTGTTCATACCTACAGTAGTTGGTCCCTCCATGGCCTTTCAGAGGGATCCACGAGCACCATGCCTTCAAGCTTACATGTAGCAATCAATGCACACGGGCAGCAATACTGTACTTGGAGCACTGGCAGATACTAATTTTAAACCATGTCCCTTTCCTGGAACTGTCGAGCTCGACCCCGACCCCACTACATCGATCTCGACTCCACTACATCTCGAGATCTCGGTCCTCGACTGGACCCATTACCGGCAGACCATAGGCGAGCACGGCGAGGCCAAGAATATTTCAAAATCGGCGAAAGGGATATTCCTTGGACCTGGAGACGGCCTCGTGGGAGAGAGAGACGTGCGCCCACGTTCCGACTTTGTTCGTCAATTCGGGTCCCAAACGAAAGGCGACGGCGGCGGCAGCCACGGGCGGACGGGAGCCATTCCAACAGCACGGATCGTTGGTGATTGAATGGTAACACTAGTGCATGAACAAGACCTACATCACATAATTACCTGCGTAGGTACAATACTGTATGCAAGTGTCGCATTCGTCTTTCAAGCTCTCAAGATTTATACATGTCTCATCGCAATAAAGAATGTCGAGATTGGTGGAGGTGAAGATGGGAAACCGTTCCGAAAATCTCGTATGTTGGTGGAGGAGATGGTGGGGTCTGTTCTCTTCATCAAACATGCACACACCCATATGCGACCCGGCGCCTAAACAGCCAACGAGAAGCTGGGGATATTTTCGTGGCTGCCCGCCCTGTCATCACATGTTTCACGACCAGATGAACCACACTTTTCTTTCTCTCTTTGTCCCTTCTCAATTGTTATACCTGGACAAAGTAAATTCCACTCACCAACCCGCTCTGGTCCGCAGTACATGCCTGTCTTTTGCTGAATTTGAAGGCTGAAGCTTGGTCGACACAAGCATTTATCATCCGGGTGGCTGTAAGCAACATCCAAGGCACGCAGGTCGGCGGATCTGGTGAGCTTACGTAACCGTCGAAGTACACCGATATTACGACGAAGGTCACGTAACGAACATTGGCCGTTGGAACACCGCAGGAGATCGCCCCCACAGGGGACGGAGAGGAGAAGGATATGCTCTTGCTTTGCTCCAAAACATCGGCTCGTCGGTGTTAGACCCGTATTAGTCAACATCGGGAGACTGGACATTACCCAAACCCTAGTACCAACCCCAACACAATGTACGGGTTATAACATGTGCAGCTTGTAGAAAGAGCATACATTTGCGAGCCAAATTCAACCGCACTCCGAGAATGAAATGATGTGAAGCTATCAGTCGATTCCCAGAAAGCGAAGGCCCAGCTCCTCTCTGTTGATCGAATGCCGTGTGGACCATCGATTGAACTTGGTTCGCCTCCATACCCATTAAGTCTTGCCTCTCGAGACTTTTCTATCGAAAGTGGTTGAGTATTGCATGGAGCGAATGGGATCATCATCCTGACACAAAATCATCCGATCACAGGCATTGCCAGCATTCCCGACCACGCCAGTCAACGACTCAAATGTTCATTCATTGAAGAGAAAGGTGACGATTCAAGGGTCTTTTTCCAGAAACCAGGGTCTGATCGACGTCGGCGTCAAACTTAAGCTTTGGTACTGCCGCGCCGATAGCAACGCTTATCATATGCCGCGGCCGCACTCTCTCAACCGGAGACAGCAGCTTTTGCCCATGAGATGACCGTGTTCTGCAAAATATGGAGGAGACGTTCTACCTGAAGAATAATCAAGCGTTCACTGCGCCTGCGGCGAAATGATTGGACGTCAGGCTGATATTAGTATGTTGATCTGAAGTTTCTCCAATATCGCTCCGTGTCATGGGATCAACATTGGCCTCAACGATCAAACAGCATTGCAACTCTCTACCCAAGTGTGTCTAGAGAAGAAGAGTATTGTAGAGCATCATGACCGTGTGTAAGGCACCAATAAAGCCTTCCGAGAGAGTTGGATGCGCTATACCTATGTCCAAGTGGCAGGCATTCGCGGACGATGTGTCTGGCCGCCTGAATGACACGCCTTATGAATGAACGGGACAACGAGGAAGTCGTCGTCGAGAAACTAGACCTACATATGTGCATCCCTGATCGCGCAAGCTAACATGCCGGACCGCCCAACGTCTGTCGCAGTGTCGAGGAAGCATTGCCGCCGTATATTGTAGAGCGATTTTATCACCATCAGATCGCACGAGGCAAGCATTTACTGACCTCGTGAATTCTAACCAGCCTGGATCTGTGCTATAAAGTTCGCAGGTACGTACAAGGCAGTACTGGCTTCCGAACAGACTCGCGACCTTTGAATGTCGATGTGCTTCATATTCTCGATACTATCAATTGTGCAAGGCGGATGTAGTTGAAATACGGATAGCTTTCTATGCAGTGCAACCCTTTCTTCGCCCGCTGTATCTTGAGGACAGAATTCATCCAACCTATTTGAAGTGCTAGCCGAGCAGGTGAACTTGACTCACGACTCGAAGCCGGATGCGGATTTCAACAACGAACGGCACTGAAGCAGCTGATATCGTTCGAGTGCTCGAGCTTCTGTGAGATCTAGCCCCATCATGGTGGTCAAGCAGGCTATCATTGGGTGCCGATGATGGGCGATCTGACCTCGGGCCAAAGAAAGCCTCCAGCTGTCTGACCACACCACACCCGCCTAGGTAGACAAAGCAGCACGAGCAGGCTTCGCGGCGAATCACGAGGGGCAAGTCGAAAGCTTGTGCTAGGTGAGCAATTAATTCTGCCACCGCCGTTGCCGTGAGTGGTAGTCATTGTTTGATGATGCTCGTTTCAGGTTGACACTAGATACACAGCTCCTCAAATATTGTCGTACCAGCGTTAGGTCTCGAGGTGGCTGTTTCATGTTACTCGATTGCCTGTGAAATGGTAAATTCTGGGACGACTTGCAACCTTGAACTTTTGAAGGCTCGCGAAAAGATATTTCGATCAACGCCGTCGTCCACGAGCACTGCCTCGCATACGCCCCGCGACAAATCGAGTCAAACCTCGCTTCAGATTTCTCGATCGCACACACACGTTTCGACCACCTCTCACTATCGTCAAGATGCGCGCGTCCCTGCTCCTCAGCAGCGTGCTCATGTTGCTGGTCAACATGGCCACTGCACACATGCAATTGACCTACCCAGCGCCCTTCAATGCTTCAAACAATCAGCATCGTACTACACCTGCCGATCCTTATCTTCAATATCCATATGTAAGTCACACTTTTTGTGTCGTCAAGCAATTCTCTGATCGAAGGGTATCCAGAATTGTTGTGGACCATCTCACGCCTGGACCTATCCGTGTCGCGGCTATCAAAATCTGCTCGGAACACCGCAAGGCGCCCCAACCGCAACTTGGGCCAGCGGAAGTAAGCAGAGCTGGAACATCAGCGGCATCGGAAATCACTTTGGCGGGTCTTGTCAAGTGGGATTTTCAACCGATCATGGTGAGACCTTTCACGTCGTCACATCTTACGAGGGCAATTGTCCTCATCGCAACAATGGGGACGGACCAGAGGGTCAAGACTTCGCCTTCACCGTTCCTGCAGACCTCCCGGCTGGCGTGCAGATCTTCGCCTGGATCTGGTACAATCGTGAGCAAGAGTTCAACATGAATTGTGCGGCCGTCCAAATTACTGCAGCACAGGCCAACGGTCCGCCATCTTCACTCGCAGGCACCTCAAGCACGAAAGGCAATAACGCGACACCGACTGCGTACTCGGCAGCGACAAGCTCTCCCACTGAGCCAGAACAACCCGTCTTAGCGTACCAGACAGCGAACAAATGCTCTTGTCAATGTCTCTTGCCGATTGATATTGAAACGTGCGTCTGCCAGTGCCCGTCACAGGATACCAGCAAGAATGCGAGCAATCATGCTCGCCATCTTGCTCATCATCTCCACGGTCGCTCAACTTTGACAGCCATGTCATTCCACGAACGTCCGCTGATGCTCGTGGCTGATGTCGGCAATGGTTGTCTCACGCCGCGCACAGCAGCCGAAGTGAAGTTCCCGGACCCCGGACCGGACGTCGTGGCGGGTGACGGCATTTATCCATTGCAATATCCCACTGGCGACTGTAGCCCGAAGAAGAAGCGAAATATGCGTAATTGAAGTTCTGGTCTGAGCTGCCGAAACAGAGATGTGATGCGGTGTTCCGTGGATTTGAAACGCGCGGGCGCGTTCCACGGTGCATGAAACATTCTACAGTACTAGGTAGAAAGTTTGTTCAATTTCGCCGCAACACCCCCGAGACGCGTTTTGCACCAATATTTCAACACGCGATAACTCAACAATGCCACGACGGATCCTTGCGCCGATTAGCTCAAATGAAAGGCGTGGAGCTGAAGTTTCTAACGGGAAAAGGCATATGATAATTGGTCGTTATCTCGCAGGCCAGAAGATCAAGGAAATCGCAGAAGCCGAATCGCTGAAATATCACACCGTATACCGGCTGATACAACGATACAAGGAGCGAGGAACACCCTCTGTTTTGCTACGAACCGGCAGGCCCCTTAAAGCGACGCCTCGTGACATTCGTGCTCTGAAAAGGGTAGTCCTTCAAGATCCTAAGTTGACCTTTGAGGCTCTTAAAAAGGAAGCCGACGTGGATCTATCTTCGACAACAATTAAGAAGGTTCTACGCGACGAAGGCCTATACCACTGGCGTGCAAAAGGCCGGCCAGAGTTGACAGAAGCACAGGCTGCTTACCGGTTGTAATAGGCCCTCCAACATCGCGACACAGACTGGACTAAATAGGTCTTTTCTGACGAGTGCTCTGTTAAGACTGGCAAAGGCCGACAAAGGCTGTAGGTATGGGGTCCTTTCGACACGCTCTACGCACGAAACCACGTCCAACCGTATAAGAAGGGTAAACAAGGATCTCTGATGGTCTGGGCTGCTATTAGTATTGGTTTAGGGCCTTCCCCTTTGATTATAATGCCGAAGAACGCGAAAGGCACCTATGCTTCAGAAGAATATACGGCTACCCTCGAGGAAGGCCTTCTACCCTTCCTCGACTATCCAGAAGACGCTGTATTTCAACAGGATAACGCCTCAATCCATACAAGTAGTTGGACTATGTCGTGGTTCTTAGAAAGAGGCATCGTAGTCCACGTTGGCTGGCCCCCCTACAGTCCAGATTTGAACTGTATTGAACACCTATAGCCACGACTAAAAGAGCGTCTCTACGAGCTCTGTCCTGAGTTATTAGCTCCGGGGGCTACGAAGGATTAATAGATTGCGTTGCTTGAATATTGGTTACCCCTAGCATAGGACGAAATCATGCATTTTCGAGAGCCGTGTATTGAATCAATGCCGGACAGGATTGAGGCAGTTATTACAGCACAGGGTTGGTACACGCGATACTAGAGCTACCAGATTTTACGACGTGAAATAGCACGTTAAATAGTCCATATTCCTTCATATAAGCGAGTTATTTAGACTTGTGGTTGTTAAGATAATATCATCTGAAGTTGGTGTGGTTGTCCGAGGGTATGGCTGAAATTTCAAAATTGAACAAACTTTCTACTAGTCACTGTAGCTGGATTGTTTGATGGGCTTGCTAAGGATGAATGATCATAGCTTGTAGCTGCGGGATTGCGATGTTCAAGATGCCGAAGATGCTGGTTCATCGAAAATATGCAATTGAACTATTTCGTGAAATCAATGAAAACGTGAGGCCATGGCTCGTGCAACCCGTGCATCCATTGTCAACGAGTTCTTTGCCATGTCATTATTCATACCATCGCAGCGCCATTGTGTTGTAATCACCGTTCTGGCGATTTCGAAAAGCGTAGTGATGGCTACTAGCGCCCATGTACCAGCACAATAATCTCAATATCTACAGATAGACACCTTTGATGTGACGCTGCAACCAGCAGCAGCTAGCGTTTCTCTGGCGTTGTACTGCGCTCAGCCAGTCAAACCACCACGTTGCTGAGCGTTCACAGGCTGCCGCCAAGATGTTGCCTATGGTCGGCAGCGGCGAGGTGAACTTGTCGGCAAGCAAAGAATACTGTTTAGAATATTGACGATGGCTACAGACACTACCCCCGTGCTTATCATTGGCGCAGGCATCACTGGTCTTGCACTCGCCCAAGCATGCAGGAGAGAAAGTGTTCCTTATCGGATCTTTGAGAAGGATGAGTCGGCAATCGCATCTGGGAATACCTGGGCCGCGCCATTGAACTGGACGGCCGGAGTACTGTCCTCGTTACTACCCGATGACATTGCCACTCAGATCCCGGGCACGTATGTTAACAAATCGGCGGTCGAGGCTGGCCAAAGGCCTCAATTCAAGTGCTTCGATCTGGGAACCGCTCAAGCCAAATCGCAAAAACCCTCGACAGAGCGTGTGTTCGTGAACGGATCCAGGTTAGCGAGGCTACTCTCGACGAATCTCAACATCGAGTATGGGAAGCAGGCTCAGTCCCTGACGGTTGATGCTGCCGGCAGTGTGACCGTAGCTTTCGTTGATGGGACATCCGCAGGCGGTAAATTCCTGGTTGGCTGCGACGGTATTCACTCAGACATTCGCCGCATCCTTCATCCCGATGAGTACAAGAACATTGAACTCCCTGCTCGCGCAATAAGTGCCACAGTACAGTTCTCTGAAGTTCAGATCGCAGACATACGTGCTCTCGACCAGTACTTCCTGTATGGCATTGATCAACGCAACGACACTTTCCTCCGTTTCTCGTTGGTCGAAGGACCGAACGACGTCAGCGTGGAGGATGCTCGACAAGACAAGGCAAACAATTCAACATATTATCGCTGTGAGATCGTAATCGCCTGGCCTTATCGACCCGATTTTCTCGGCCGTGTCGAACCAACCAAGGTTCCAAATACAGACATTGGGCAATTCAGCATGATGCAGACTATAGCCGAAAACTGGATAGAGCCCTTTCGCTCGTTGGTGATGGATATCAACCTCAACGAAGCCGAGATCAAGCCCATCGAGATTGCCGACTGGATTTGCCCAGAGCCGTCGCAGGAGGCCCCTGCGATAAACGTTTCGCCGCTCGATGGTCACGTAGCTCTGGCTGGCGACGCTGCACATACCATTGCGATGTACAGCGGCGAAGCGGGAGATCATGCGATCATGGATGTCAAGCATTTGGTCCCGTTGCTACGCGCGGTGCGAAGTGATGACGCCGGGTCTTTCACCGAAGCAGCGCAGGCGTATGAAAGGGGAATGTTACAGAGATCTATTCTAGCCGTCCTGGCTTCGAGACAGGCATGTATGGATGTGCACCAGATCCAGCAATGAGAAGTGCGTTCTCTGCTATAAATTTATAGAGAGACACTACTCCATATTCAACACTAGATGAAAGCGAAGGCCATCACCGTTCTTCGATGTCATCGGTCTTGTGTGCTTCGGTGTCGCATCCTCGTCATAATACGGTGCCAGATGTGCACTGCTCGAAATGAATTTTTGATGACAAATTTAGCCTGGGGAAATAATCACGGAAGTAATTCCGCTTCGCGAAATTTTTGGAGTCTACCCTGCAGCGGAAATCTAAAGCAGCATTCTTGCGCTGAAGCTGTCGCATACTCGAAGCATCACTTCACAACTACAAAAAATGGCAAAAAGCAAATTAAAGGCAGCTCTTGATCGTGAGCAAGGAGTCAATTACAAGCTTGAGCGCCAGAAAAAGCTTCAAAAGGTAGCTGAAAAGCGTAAACGGCAAAAGGCGCCAAAGATTGGAGAGGTAGAAGAGGACGAAGAGGAGGATGTGGCCGATGGTTCCGATCTTGAAATCGAGGAGTTCGATGACGATGCTGAGGTGAAAGACGTTTCTCAAGAAGAGATCGCCGCCAAGCTTGCTGAACTGCAGAAAAAGGCGAATGGCAAGGCCGAGGACTGGGAGACCGACGACGAAGACGACGAAGACGAGGAGGGAGGAATAGCGCTGGACGATGAATCAGAATCAGACTCTGAGATTGAGCAAATCCCCAAATTGGTCAAAACAAAAGTCGCGATACGGAATAAGGGTGCGCCGCAAGACGACGAGGACGAAGACGAAGATGAGGATGAGGAGGACATACCCCTCTCCGATATTGAATCGCTAGCCTCGGAGGATCGAGCGGATGTGGTACCACACCAGCGACTGACCATCAACAACACAGCCGCGCTGCTACGATCATTAAAGTCGTTCGCGCTTCCAGCTATGCTACCGTTCTCCGCCGTGCAGTCCGTCACTTCCGAAAACCCTGTCGTTATCGCTGATGTCGAGGATGATCTCAACCGCGAACTCGCTTTCTACCGACAATCACTAGACGCCGTGACCGAAGCCCGTCGGCGGTTAAAGAAGGAGGGAATTCCTTTTACCCGCCCAACCGATTACTTCGCCGAGATGGTCAAATCCGAGGAGCAGATGGGCAAGGTCCGCACAAAGATGCTCGATTCCGCCGCGAGACAGAAGGCTAGCGCGGACGCTCGAAGGCAACGTGACCTCAAGAAGTTTGGCAAGGCAGTGCAGGTGGCCAAACTGCAGGAGCGACAGAAGGAAAAGCGAGAGACCCTAGACCGAATTAGCACACTTAAGCGCAGTAAGTTCTTGTGGCATGGTCTACCCAAGAACGATCGCAGCGGATGACTAACTTGTTTCTTTCTAGAACGACAAGGTGCAGACCTGACCACCAACGAGGGTGACATGTTCGACGTCGCACTCGAAGACGCCGCGGTAACGGCTAGCAAGGACCGCGCCGAGCGAAGAGCAAAGGGTGCTGCGGATGGTCCCAACCGCAAACGACAAAAGAAGGACTCGAAGTTTGGTTTTGGCGGTAAGAAGCGATTCTCAAAGAGCAACGACGCCCAGTCGGCGGGAGATATGTCGGGATACTCGGTGAAAAAAATGAAGGGCGGAGGAAAGCCAGGCAAGTCACGGCCAGGAAAGAGCAAGCGGGCCAGAATGTGAAGAGTGAGTGGATGACGACCTGGAGGCCCCGACAATGACATACTCAAGCCTCGAAGGGGTTTCCGAGCATGATCACAAATGCACCCTGCGCCACGACTATTTTCTTGCATGTGTTTCACAATCGGTCAGGGACGGGTGCAGTTTGTAGAAATAGTGATAATGACATCAAAATGTTCAAAAATACAATGCCCGCGACATGCGCCATACAACGTCACCGGTACGCCGAACTGAATGCATCAAGATAACCGTCTCCTATTCTCCCTTCCGACGACTGCCTCTCTGGTTGCCACCACCGTTGCGTGGGTCTAGGAAATCTTCCGGCACATCATTCCAGTTCGCAGTCGTCTCCTGCTGCCAGCCTGCACCAGGACGAGGCCTTGCAGCGTCGTCATTAGAAATGGAGTATCGTTCAACATTAGTACTCAATGCAGGCGACGCAGGAGAACGATCCAGTGGCTGCATTGGAACCCCGTCGACCACCGCGGATGAACTGCGAGGAGGCGGCGGTGGTCCTGATTGTCCTGGCTGAGTTGCTGTCAAGGTCGGTGCATTTCCCGACTCGTCGACGAAACCCGCACTACCATTCCATCGCCACTGTGGCTGTTTTGGTTGTCGCGGAGGCGGAGGAGCGACGTCACCAGGTTGACCGTACCAGTTGGCCGACTGGCGATCTCTTTGCTGCCTCTCGCGGCCGATGCGATCCCGTGCCTCGAGCCACTTTGGGCTGACGTCCCACATCCAACCATTGCCGCTGGTGTTGCAAATTGGCACGCCCCACAGGAGAGGCCGATCGCCGAAAACGTGCATCATGTTGGTCTTCCAGCCGTGGTCGAATGCGTTTGGCATTTTCTCGGAATCTACCTCATCAAGGTAAGAGCTGTACCGATCACGCTCTCGTTGAGCTTCCATAGATGCGTAAGACCGATGCAGGCTGCTCGTTGCTGGCGAATTGTAGCTAGCTGCTTGCATAGGGGCAGCCTGTGGGACTAGCGAAGGATCCAACAAGGTATCCCCTTCCTCAGCGCGCAACACGCCCGGTAAGGCGTTCGCATGTGTCTCCTTCAGATATTCTCCCACGGCGCGGATTCCGGGAACGTCGGTCCCAGCATTTGGACGAGAAGAATGGGCGCTTGACTCCAAGCTTTCACGCAGAGGAGCCAGATACCTTGTCTTCTCTAGACTCTCAATTGTCGTCTGGCCAGTCATGGTCAGATAAATATGCCACCCCGTAAAGCCTGAAATTACCAGCCCGATGATTCCACTGATTACTGCAAGGACGATGACGTTGACCACCAAGATGCTTTCCTGCATCGGATGCGAATTCACTATTTCTTCATATACCCAGACAGCTGTGCTGGCGAAGCAAGCCCAGCAGAAAATGGAGAGGTAGATCAGGAAGAGTAGAAAGGCCTTGTAGTTGCGCAGACCAACACACGTCGCCAGCCAGGGACAGTGATGGTCCATTTTGAGCACGCAGCGCCCGCAGGTTGAACAATGATGTGACCGGTCAGGTTTGACACAGCGACATTTCTTGCAGAAACGCGGTTTGCCCGTGCTCTTCGCAGTCACGGCCGACATCCATTCTTGCGGCACGGAGTTCTCCCCCGGTTCTCTATCGTCTTCATGCGTAGGCAAACCTTGATACCCGCCAGCTTTTCGCCTTCCGACTCTTTCACCATTGTGTTCGCCATCCAGCGGCGATCCGGGACTTGTAAAAACGGCGGCTGTGTAAGAGATGTCGGCTAGGAGGAAGAGCACGATCCCGAGACCAGCTTCGAGGAATGCCCATGATGTGTATTCGTCAAGAAAGCATACGTTCACTTGTACATAGATAGCCCAGGAAGTCAGGCCATATACGAAAACAAGCGGGAAGTAGGCGAAGGTAGTACAGCAACAGCGCTCGAGTTTTCGAGCCCAAGATTTCCGCCGCCGATGGAATGGAGGTGAAGGTGTGGTGCGCGAGGAGCCCAAAGTGGGCATGTCTGCGAAGGATGTTGCCGGCATGCCGGTGATCGACTTTACATATTAGTTGACATCATCCGGTCAGGTGAGAAGAATAGTGTGAGATCGTGCTTCGCAATGCTTTTGATTGTATCGATCCTGGTGAACCAGATGTGTGCGAAGTTGAATGAATGTGGGAGTCGGAACTTTGTAGATGGTGATTTGATGCTGCGCCTCGAGTCGATATTGAATGAATGCTGCGGCCGAACTATGATCTAACAATAGATGACGGCGGAGGGAAACGCGTCTAACCACCAACCCGCGCGTGATATCTGTCGTTATTGTTCATGATCAAAAGCCCTCAGCGAAATGGACAAATAGGCCCATTATTTGAAACGATACCTGTCAGCCACTCCACAGATAAGCCACGACCCCAGACCATGGCTTCCATCTGCAGTAATTAGAACTCGTTCGCGATTCAGGCACAGAACTCTCCCTTTGAAGACATCGTCAGCTTGATACTACTTGGTACTCCTGCCTGCCTCAATTCGAGAGTGCTGCGTTGCGACTATCAAATTTGAGCCCAAGAATACCTGGACAAAATACCAGAACTTGCACGAGTAAAGTTCAACATACACAATCATGGCCGCCGATAGGGTACGATCGTTCAAGAAAGTGATTATCGGGGGAAGCATTTCATGACTTTTGCCTTGCAGACATCCTTCAGCGCGCAGGTCAACAGCATGACCTCAGGTGACAAGAAGGTTAGATATCTCGATGAGCGCAGATTCAAACATGTCGCTTTTCAGACTGACGGTACGAACAGAGTGCGGTGCCTGATGATACTTCTGAATTGGTTGGATTGATTGACGATCTACTGAACAACCTTTCGAAGAAATTCGACGGTGTCTCGACCGAGATTCTTTCCAAGAGTAAGTTCCTCCTTTAGGAGTTGCTAGCAAACGACTTGTGACTCATCATGACTTTGCCTGCAGTGGACGAAATGTCAAAACGGATCGAGGCACTAGAAGCCAGCATATTGGCTTCGAATACAGACGAAAACGGATCACATAAAGATGTTCAATGATCTGATGTTAGCCACGCTGTACCCAAGATATCTCTCATGACTAGCAAAGAGCCTAGAGCGAGTGAGGGCGTGCTATCACTGGGCCAACATCTGATTATGATTGCGATTCGACAGTGGGAAGTTAAAGCAGTGCCTGATCGTTGTGTTTCACGCAGCCGGAACAGAGCTTGAAGTGACATTATCGAATCAGCGCATCTCAAAAGCTGCAATGTAACTCCGAGTAAGGAGTTGTGATATCAAAAACACGATGTGTTCTGGATAGTACTTTTCATTTCTGAAGACCCTTCTGAAACAGTCCTCGGCCCTTCATGCCGTTTTAATTATACAAGAATGGTCATCATCGCCAGAGAGTCCGACTACTTCGAAACCTTGCCTGCAGCGTCCAAAGCCTGTTGCACTAGCTGTTTCGAAACGTTATCGGAAACGCTGCTTTGCAACTCACGCAAACGCTCGACCCAGGCCTGCCAACGCGAAGTCGAGAAGCCCTTCCATTCCCGATCCGAAAATGCCGGGCCTCCGGCGGCTAGTCGACCTTCGAAGGATTTCTCCTGTGATGAAAGCTTGTGAATAGTTGGGGCAGCGAAGATGAACCACACAGCGGCGGCGGCTACGGCCACGTCGGAGGGCGACTCGGTCTTCGCAGTTTCCAACGCAGAACGTAATGACCAGATGCAGTAGAGGGTGAAGTCAGGGCTCTCAGCGCCGGATTTGTGGACTGAAGAGACGAGGGATGCGGTCCAGGCGTTGAGGTTGATCCACTCCTGACGTTTTGCTTCTTCATCACTGTCTGAGGCAGCTACTCGAAGAATGATCAGCCAGGCAACAAAAAACATCGAGGTAGGAAGAAAGACATACCGAAGTTCCATGCATCACGCATTTGCCAGCCAAAGGTTGGGAGATCCTTCCAGAGGGTCATCTCGTGGAGCACGCGGGGCTTGCCATTTTTCTCGAGGTCAGGTCGAGAACCGAGCTCAAGGACAAAGTCGACGAGCTTCTGTGAACCAGAATCGGTGAACGAAGTTCCTGCCGCCGAGGAAATGATGGCCTTCCATGAGATGGTCAACAGCTCCTCAAGGTCATCGTCGTCGGCACTCTCGGCTTCTGATTCGACAGACTGGCAAAACTTGTCCAGAGCTTCGTCTTGGGTTGAGGTTTTGCCAGTGGCGTAGTCGTTGACTACAGAGTACTGAGTGGACTTCTGCACGACTGCGTTGGCGGTGAGTCCTGACATTATTGTGGCTGATAATGGTCTTTTGGCGGATGTGTGGAAAAGTCTTAATGGTAGCGAGAGAGTGCCTCGTTTCTGGAGGACAGGATCGTGCCTTATGCATGGCCGTCGGATGGGTGTTGCAGAGAGGCCACGGTGGCTGCCTATCGACGTCAGACTTGATGACGAACGTGGGCTGAATCGATGGACATGCTTGACAGTCTTAACGCGAATGACGGTTGTGGTATCAAGTCCGTACTAGCATCGCTTCGACGAAGAAGACCGACTTCGTGGCGAACGCCGCCGACTACATGTCTAGCATATTTCAAAGAGCGCTTGGGAGCCGACATGGGTGATGGGACTATGGCGACGTCGATCGATGGCGAGCACAGAAAGAAGGAGAGAGACAAAGGTGGAAGAATTCTCGTCAAGGGGTGTGAAACATTGGTATCGATACAGGAAAGTCCTACACTTCCAACGTGTCACATCCTGTGTGCGGGACGGTTACTGCTCAAGAATACATGCTCACGCGATCATCGTGTTCACGTGTGAACTGTTGATAGGTCTGCTGCCAGAGCTGAGGCTCTCATCCTAAGAAATGTGATGGTAGCAACCACGGACTTCTCCGCGCGTGCAAGATGTGGTTTCGGTGCTCGAGTTAATGATCAACGCACGGGATGAAACAAAGCACGGCGTGAAGGTCGAATGCGGTATGGTCCGTCTAAGGCACATTCGCGACGACGGCGGTGATCAGCCGCTACTGCGATCTGTGGCATCGCGTACTCTATGTAGATGGCGGACCGTGGGCGAAGGACTGTACTGCAGTGCAGGTAAGGATGAGATCAAACCTTGGAAATGGCAGAAATCCATCTCTATCTCAGCGTTTCGTGAAGAAAAGCTTCGTTTGATTCGTTCGGTTGTGTAGCCCTGCCTTTGTCGGTGTGGATCGTGCACTGGACGCCGCTTGCCGCTTTTGCCGATCATCGCTCGATTAAGAGCGACATGTGCCTGAATCCCCAGATATCAATGGATACTTTATCTCTCTCACTGTTGAGACTGACGACGGTCTTGTCCCTATCAAGCAGTAGCATCTCATCTTCAGCCCCCAATCCTTCGTTTCAACATCGTCCGCTTCGGCGACTGCTTTAGACCAAACTCGCGATACAGAACGGCGCGTGCCCATTTCCGCCTTTGGCCATGCCCCCGGCATGTTTTCCGTCTGGACCCCGCGCAATGCCAGAAGAGAAGTCTCGCTTGTTGTCGATTTTCACGTCGCCTAAATGCTTGGACGCGTGGCGTCGTTCATCTGCTACAATCACGTCGATTGTGTGGAAGCAGAAGGCTCTCTCCACACGGCTCTGACTAGCTCTTAGTACCAGGGATCTTCAAGTTCGTCGACACTAATTGCTGTGTAGTTTGAAGAATGCACCGAAGTCTTTCCCTGTTTGGGTCAATTCCGGTCGTCCTGCAGATTACGTCCATGCCCTGCTGTCTTTGGCACGACTTCGTGGCCTATGAGACATTGCGCAAACACCACGGCAGAGTTAACGACGTGCAGGCGCGCAAGCACGTGTATCCATCCAATTAATGTAAGGTCAGGAGGACCAGTGCCCTTGATGATAGACCATTGAAGACGAGCGAGACATATATACAGCGTGCATCCCGAGTCTGTGAATGCTCCTTCTCGCTAGATATCATCAGTTCACTTCAATTCAATCGATATTCAAGTCTTTCATTTCCCATCTCCAAGTCACCTTCATTCTCCCAAGCCGACAAGATGCGTTTCTCCGCCCTTCCCGCCCTCTTTTTCGCGGCCCTCACCGTCGCCGCCCCGGTTGACTCCATCCTCGAGGAGCGTCAAGCCGCCACCTACTGCGGCAGCACCTACTACTCCGCCAGCCAGGTCCGCGCCGCCACCAACCAGGGTGTGAACTACTACTACAACGGCCAGCAGGTCGGCAGCGGCAGCTACCCGTACGTATTCTTTCTCCAACGTCGTTTTCAAACATATGGTGGCTAACCGTAATATCACCACAACAGTCACCAGTACAACAACTACGAGGGCTTCAGCTTCCCCGTCAGCGGCCCTTACCAGGAGTTCCCCATCAAGACCAGCGGCGTCTACACCGGTGGCTCCCCCGGCGCTGACCGTGTTGTCTTCAACACCAACGGCCAGTACGCCGGTGCCATCACCCACCAGGGTGCTTCCGGCAACAACTTCGTCGGCTGCTCTGGCACCAACTAGAGGAAGAGCCTGACGGGTCGGATATGACGACTTTCACTCCAAGAGAAATGTTATCATCGAGGTAGAATATAGAGCCAAAGAAGGTGTGGAGAAATCACATGGGAAATGAAAACCAAAAAGACTTGCAAAATCACCTAACCCTACCACGTTCGTGAATCGTGGTGCGAAGGTGTGCCAGGCTGCCGAAAAATGTGTTCATCAGATCGAAGGTCACCATGATGATAATGATTCTGACATCAGGCATATATACTAGGCCGAGAAGAGGTCGTCTTGACGTTAGGACCAGGTTCGTCCGCGGTCCTCTAAGGATTACCGTGAAGCTTGTCCCGCCCGATGGCATTTCATCTCGCAGCAGCAACAGGCCTTTGCGTGAACTTTGACCCGTGCCGCATAACGATCATCTTCCTGAAGTCATGTGGTTGCAAATTCATCGGTGATGGATCGTAGGTTCAAGTGAGAAATAGTGCCCAGGTGTTCACCTATGTGCTTCTTTACCTAGCAAAGAATAATAAGAGTAAAGGGAACGAAGTACTTCAGTTCCATGGCTGCCCGTGTTACCGAATATCTGCATGCCCCCACCTTTCTAGGGTATGACGTCGGCCCCGCTGAAGGACAAACAGAACATTCACAGTTTGGCTGCATTGGATGTCTCTACCCGGCGAGACAAAGAGGGCACTCGCGTGTGACGATGCAGTATGGAGCTCGACATATCATACGGACATGTAGCTGTAATTGGAACTGAAAATGGTTCATTCAAAAAATTCTATTTGTGGGGCCGATAATCACGAAGACTCCCCTAAATCATTATGTCGTGTCTCAATTTTGAGTGTTGGTATGCTCGATCTCCCGGTCGCCATCCGCGACACATGCGAAGCTCTCCTTCTATGCCTGAATCTTGGACTTGAGGATATCCTTGAGGGTGACGGCGTCAGCAGCGAATTTGCTGATACCCTCAGAGAGCTTGTGCACGGCCATGGTGTCCTCGTTGAAGTCGAATCGGAAATCAGCCTCGTTCTTGAGGTAGCTCTTCCTCTCGATGTCAAGAGATTTGGCGCCATCAGCCTTCAGCTTTTGTGGGACAGAGTCTTGGCTGTTGTAGAGCTGCTCTAGAAGGGCAGGCGCAATGGTAAGGTAGTCGCAACCAGCAAGCTCGGTGATCTCGCCAATGTTGCGGAAGGAAGCTCCCATAACAATGGTGTTGTAGTCGTACTTCTTGTAGTAGTTGAAGATTTGCTGGACGGACTTCACACCAGGGTCATTCTCGGCGGTGTACTCCTGCTTGGTGTTGGCCTTGTACCAGTCGAGAATGCGGCCAACGAACGGCGAGATGAGGTAAGCGCCGGCCTCAGCGGCAGCGATAGCTTGAACGAGGGAGAACATGAGGGTAAGGTTGCAGTTGATGCCGTGCTCGGATTGGAGAATGTGTGCTGCTTGGATACCTTCCCAAGTCGAGGCAAGCTTGATCAGGACTCGCGACTTGTCAATACCCAGCTCTTTGTATAGCTGTTGGAACCATCAGTAACAGTCACCTCTCAATCAGTAGGCGACCTCTCTTACCTCGATAAGGTGGAGAGCCTTGTCAATGCTAGCTTGCTTGTCGAATGAAAATCGTGCATCGACTTCGGTCGAAACCTTGCCAGGAACGATCTGAAGAATCTCCTTGCCGAATTGCACGAGGAGGTTGTCCAAGGTCGCGTCCACCTGAGCATCAATATCCTTTCCGTGCTTCTTGCCGTAGGCAACGGCTTCGTCGATGAGCTTGGCGTACTCGGGCTTCTTGGCCGCAGCGAGGATCAGGGAAGGGTTGGTGGTGGCATCTTGTGGCTTGTATTTTCCAATGGTGGCGAAGTCACCAGAGTCGCAGACGACGGTCTGAGAGACACGAGAGTCAGTCAAATGAGTCTGCAGACAGTGAATGCCGAATATGACAAAGAGATCAGACTTACGGTGCCGGTGGCCTTCAGCTGATCAAGCGAGGAAGACATGGTGATTGATTCGGATATTTTGAAGATTTTCGCAGGTACCTTAAATGAAGTTGAGTTTGCAAACCAAGAGGTTGTTTGGAGGTGTATAATATTACAGAAGAGTCGTTGGGAGCAATAGCTGGTGGGGGGAATGTTATGTACCTATATGCACAGAGGAAAGACCCTGAAGCAGTTTCATACTGTTCGAGCCGTGAGTCCGCTGCGCGCGGTTGAATCTTCTTGCCACGAGCTACGTCAGGGCGGATCACGTCGGCGAAATCGGTCGGCGGAAATGAACCACAACATCTCGTCTGCTGACGAACCTTCGAAATGCGTCCTTCTCCACGGGAACACGCCTCTTATCATCACAGACTTGTTGACTCGGCCCTCCCAGGAATCTGTATACAGAAAAGAACATTGCACGTGGGCCGCATATTCTCGATGAGGAGGAGGTTTTACCTTCTGATGTTCACGGCGGAGCACCGCGGATTAACGCAAACTGCTACTATTGCCTATCAGCCCGCCCCGCGCTTCTTGGTGTGCGTAACAGGAACAAGAGGAAGAACAACAGCATGGGCCCGGAGATGTTACGACATGGATTTGTGGATGTATATTCGACCCCTCTGGACAACACATGCCACCACCATTCAATGCATGTTACTCTGATATGTTCGCACACGAATCAATTCCATGCAATTCCATGTCTTTCTTGGAGTGTCTGCTTCCTCGTATACATATGTAAAAGCCACTTCCCTTAATCCTTCTCACGTTCCTCCGTCTTCCGCCGTGTGCTACAATGAAATCGCGCAGCCCTATACTGATTTGCACCTAGTAGTTGAGGCTGAGAGAGGACTCCTGCCCACCTGCAGGTGGTATTCATTCAGCCGCCGCGGGAATCTGGCCTGGGCAACTGCCAAACTGTTGAACCCTCTTTGTTGTCTCATAATTTATCACTAGATTTTTCACAGGCGCAGAAGACCATTGAAATCCTCGATATAGCTTGGCTTTTTAACATTGTACATAGGTGCTCTTGAGATAGTGTTTACTCAGGTGGTCTTTGAAAACGACTCCAGATTCTCGTGATGTGGTAACACCCGTGGACCGTCACACAATATTTGGTGAAACCTCACCCCCACCTCCCCGCTGATTGGTTCCTCAGGCACAAATTGCTGTCTGCTCAGGTGTCGACATTTATGGAGGCTTCACACACTGGTGGGGGCCTGAGTCGCTCATTTGATTGCCTACCTACCTACCTAGGTAGGTAGGTACGGCAACATTGTAGGATCATCAATCGACGAGTCCATGGATTTTGCCTTCTCTTTCGTCCAGCTCAGATGGTGCATGCAGCTCACGGAAGCTTCAATCAGTACATTGTGAACAAAATGATTATCACCAACGTACAAGGCTACCAGAAAGCCAAAATTGCGTTGGTCCTTCTACAGTGTGCACCACCAGATACCTCGTAAAATGAATTGCGGCACGTACATATATCGTGGGAAAGTTTCCCAGCTGCATGGGTCCACTTGGCCTAACTGTCAATCTGCAGTGTACACCATATTAGGCGTCCCTCCAAGCAAAGCCATAATAAGAGAGTCGGCAACAGAGATGCTGATGATGTTTGTCAAGATGACTATCATCACGAAACCAAATACATCTCATTCGTCATAAAGGCTATTCTCCATCAAAGGTCATACATACATAGCCGCATATCAGCAAGCAAGCCCAACCCACCGCCAGTGCTATCCTGATGGTGCCAGGGCCCCGCAGCCAGCCAGAGCCCCCCTTGCTGCTGCTCAAGTGATATGCTAGAGAGTCATTAGAAGAACCCTTTTGGCCCCCAGGGATGGACCCAAAGCCGCCGGGACGATCGTCGTCCTGGTCGACCATATCTCCTTCCTCGGACTTCTACTATCGTCCGTCTGGTGAGATTCTGTCAGGATCATACCGTATCGTGCAAGTACTACCTGGCAGATATGAGGATCCTGTACATTGTCGCCTACAAGAGGTCCACCTTCGAGACAGCAATGTGCAATTCGTGGCGCTGTCGTACTGTTGGAACAATGGAAATGCTGCAGATACCATCTATTGCGACGATCGTGCCATGACGATCACCCCCAATTTGTTTGCGGCTTTGCGCAATGCGAGAGCGACTAATTCGACCGTCAACCTTTGGATAGATCAATTGTGTATCGACCAGAAAAACATTATCGACAGGAATGAGCAAGTTAGTAAGATGGGTGCCATTTATCGAGCTGCGATGTTCGTTGTCGTATGGTATGTGATTGAAGAGCACCAGACATCATTGTATACTCACAGGTTACAGGCTGGGAGAGGAGGGCATCGGAACCAATGATGCAATGGACCTGCCCAAAAGAATCGCCCGTTACTGGCCGAGGCTCTTTAAGCACCCTCACGAATTGTTGGATCCAGAAAAAACTCCGCGAGAAATCCCAAAATGGGGCGAGGTGAGTTAATCCACCATGATTAGGGATCCAGGAGACCGGAGGCTGATACTCAATCAATCAGCATCCGTGGCCGGCTTTCATTGCACTCCTGACTCGGCCTTGGTTTCGAAGACTTTGGATTATCCAAGAGGTCGCATGTGCGAAAAGCGTTTTGGTAACCTGCGGGAAGGCCACGTCTTATTGGGATGATTTCGTAGGACTGGTGCAAGTTGTGGAGACGGTTCATCAATCCATCACCAAACCGAGTCACATGTTGGGTTTGAAGAAGACGATTCATTACATCACCTTCATGCAGGAATTGAGAACGATCACAGAATCAGGGACTAAACAAGCAGTCAAAGATTATGCCAGTGAAGAGTCCATGGCACCATACGTGCTGACGATGGCCAAGGATTGCGAGGCTACCGACCATCGTGACAAGCTATTCGCCTTTCACCATCTCGTACGGCTGTGGAACCGTCCAGATTATGCTATGGAAATCGACATGTTGTACAAACTTTTCGCAGGGCAATATCTCCAACGCATCGCCTACGCCATCTCGGAGTTCAGCTGCGACGAGAAATCCTTGTCCAGACGACAACTGGAAATCCTCTATTCCGCAGGCACCTGCAACCAGTCGATCAGATTACCCTCTTGGGTGCCTGATTGGAGTCTTCCATGGCAGGCTCGACCATTGTGGCTTGGGTCCAAATCATATTGCGCTGGAGGAACAGAGGTGAAGGAGTTCGCCCCAACAGCAGAGGTCGACCAATCCGGTGACCCAAACTTCCGCTTGCCGTTAACAGTCAAGCTGTTTGACAAAATTCTCGGCGCAGGGAGTCAGACCTTGACATTGGCAATTGGTCATCGCCGAGCATTACCTGATGCCCTCCGAAATTGGATCTTCGAAGCGCGCGGTCTTGTTCATCGTCGTCGTGGCGCACAAAGCCCATATCAAGATCAACACGAGGCCATGGCACGAATCACGTCGGCAGACCAGGACACCAACGGCGTCCGATTATCCCGCGAGGATGCGATCAAACAATACGATGCGCTGCTGGAATCCCTCCGCGAGACCGACGAGGACGAACAGCCCTCGCGACATTCAACCTCGGCCGCAATCGAGCAAGCCGCAGTCTCTTCCTACGCCGCGAGCTTTGTGCGCGGCAGAGTCTTCTTCCTGACCGAGAAGGGACATTTCGGCATCGCACAGGCAGGCATCACGGCAGGCGACTGTGTCGCCATTATCAAAGGTGGAGCCGTCCCGGTGGTTTTGCATCCACAAGGAACGGCATGGCAGCTTCGCTGCGAAACGTTTGTGCTGGGGATAATGAATGGCGAGGCATGGAATGACGCGAGCATACCTGCTCAACAGATTGAGGTAGTTTGACGTGCGCCGAGGCTTTCTCCATCTCATCAATAATCGGTGTGTTGCGTCGTGCCTTTCGGGCGTACTCGCCCGTGCAAGGCCCGCCTGGGGCACGGATTGGTCTCGGCGCAAGCCTGTGATGAACTGCACGACACCTGCATGCGACTTCGTAGATGCGCGTACACATGCCCCAATGCAACGCGTGAGAAAAAAAATCCTCCCAATCACAATTGCTTTCTCGCTTGCACATCTGCCGGCCGCTTACACATGTGGATCTCATATGCAGGCGCCTGCATCGAGATGTGCTATCCGTTGCATCATGATAGATGTTCAGTTCTCGCGCCGCAGTATGATCTCGGCTACTCGACGACAGTAGGATTGAGATCGATGCGCACACCGCATTTCTCCGATATACGGCGTTCGCAAAGCTTTGCTATCTGGATCGACAATCATGATTCCTCTACATAGTGAGTACATCTCAATGCCGAGGTGCAATGTAGGACTGTCAGTCCATGTATTTTCCTCCTGTGCTGGTGGGTATAGTATAGTAAGTTTTACAAATTGTCGATACATACTGTCGCACTGCGCGTGTCGTTTTTCGGAAGGTGAAACAAAGCCTCCGTTTTCAGATTAGCCATCCGCATTTCCAATTCAGGTGAGATTGGTGCGATCGGCATGGATCCATATTCCTTGCTGCAAGAAACCAACTTCCCTCAGACATGGATCGCACGAAGCACAGGAGTCCGACCGATTTGGTTCTTGTGTAGCTGGCTCACATGTAAAAATCGCTTTGGAATGTGCGCTGGCAAGACCAGTGATCGTGTGCTCGTTAAGAGAACCTCTTAAAGTGTGCACCAGAGACACTATGGGCGTGTCAATACCCGGCCAGCAGACATAGTGATGGCTTGGGGCGACGTTGAAGCAGTACCTCTCATCTGCATATAAAGCGCACATGTTTTGCGAGATCGAGGCGGATAATCATATGATGGCATCCGAAAAACGCTGAATGGCAGAAAGACTGCTCACATCAGAAGCCGTGTGCCGAGGGCTCAGCTGCTATTCGTGTCACCAGTAGCGACGAGCGTTGTTTCCTCAGATGGCCACTGTGGCAATACCGCGCAGCATCTTGATCTCATGGAACCATCGAGCGTAGCCTCTAATCTCGGCCTACTCTACGATGGTGCATTCCTGGTCATGGCTGCGTGCCTAGGCCGAACCAGAAAGTATCCCGAATTACCTCACTGTATCGTACATCGTGACCCACCATCGGCCTTGCTCTTCTTCTTCTTTCTCTTGCCGCGATCGGATCGTTCCGAATCAAGTGGATCCAAGCGTCCGCTTTGGATATCTTTCCGAATGATTTGTCGACACACATCAATGAAGACCTCGTTCGTGTTCGTTGCTTTACGCGCACTCGTCTCGTAGTATGGAATGTTGCCCCAACTTTGCGACAGGTGAAATGCCTTGGTCCTGGAAACAGCGCGATCCTCCTCAAGGTCGGATTTGTTGCCAACTAGGACAATGGGAAATGATGGGTCGTTCTTGTGCCGAACGATTTGTTCGCGAAGCTCAACCAATTCTCGTAATGACGAAGTAGAAGTTATACTGAAGACCAGAAGAAAGCCTTGGCCGAGTCGCATGTACATATCTCTGTGGGTCGTGATGGTCAGTTTCGCGGCGACGATCACTGAATACGATGTGGTTGAACGCTACCTCATCGCGGCTGTTGCATGTTAGCTGGTTTCTGTATCCACGACAGAGCGTTGATTATTCTCGGATAGACCTACTGAATTGCTCTGTGCCTGCGGTGTCCATGATCTCGAGGACCACTTGTCTGCCCTGCCATTACATCAGAGATGGGGTAAATATGCAGTGTTCTAGTCTCTACACACATCTACTTCCACTTGTTTCCGATATGAGTCCTCTATCGTGGGATCGTAACGTTCCACAAAGATGCCCTGGATGAACTGCACTAGAAGAGTTCGCGAGTCAGCGGCATGTACTAGAAAAGCAACCGTCTGCAGGACATACTCGTCAGACAGCTCTTGCCAACACCGCCAGTGCCCAACACGACGATGGAGTATTCCCTCTGGTGTCCTTGACGCGACATCTTGGGCTGGGGCGTATTGACCACGCCGTGGAGACTGGTACGTTAAGCAGCGACCGCCCAAGGACAGGCAACAGGTGCCGTCAACAGGTGCAGATTACAACCTGATGTGTACGGATGGAATGATTGAATTTTGTGTACGTGGTCGGTTCAAGAGTGTTGTCGTTTCATTCGTTTTCACACACTTGCGTGGTCAAGGATCTGTGTTTCGAAGGTTACTTAGACAGTCGAAGGTGGTTGATAGTGTGCCGCCAGTCTTGACTGTTAGCTGGGTAACGATAGTGTTGGTGATTGAAAGGTAGTTCCCATGAATCACAACGCGAAGTGATGAGAAGAGAAGAAGCAGCAGCACCGTGGATTGTGCAACAGGCATGCCTTGCGGCCGGGTCTGTTTCCATTGCAGTAGCTTGGGAAGCCATCGGTTCATGTCCCATGGCCACAGCCCGTGGTATTCTCTTAGCTCGTGGGTCATACAGCAGTCCACGGGTATCATGAGAGGTGTGAAAGGGAACCACAGCGGCGGCAGCAGCATCATGCGGCGTGCGTACCTTCCTAGTATGCGGGAGTGGAGCGCGTGCACAGCGCAGCCCAATGCCCGGCAGATCTTCCCCTCCACCCGCTCTAATGATGTAGAAGCCACGGGCCAGGAGGAAATAGGGGACTGGTTCTCGAAAACAATCACAAGCCGGGCCTATCGTCGTAATTATTGATCGAGAAGATTGAGTAAAATGCAGCAGGTCATTCCAATAGAACATGCGTGAAGCGAGAATGGATCCAACGCGAAGTGATGAGTGAAGTATAATATAGTAGGGAAAGGTGCATTGCGGATCTGAATGGAGCGCAGCCCAAGACTGGTTGTGGTCGGGGTAAAACTCTCTATTGAGGTGTGCGAGTGCCTTTTCCGCACACATCGTTTCACGATTGGCCGTGGCTTTTTGGGTGGTCTTTCCCAATCCGTCCTACACTCGCCCCGTGGCGTGGCGGTATGTCCGGCCTGCAGCTGGTGTTGGCTTTCTCCGAATCACAAAGGTCACCAAGCAGTAGCTGTTGAATCGCCCGCAGCGGATATGTACCTTTGCTTCTTCCGGTTGGCTGCCTGCGTCGGTAGCCGTCAATAAATGCGAGGCAGGATTTATGAATCGTCTGAACTTCTGACCAGACTATAGCTGTTCGCCTTTCTGATTCGCCCAAAGACCCGAATTGCCATGGGTTCGTTGCGCCCATTTTCGTCTCAAGCTCCCACCTTCATGACCGGCCGCGGCGGCCTGCCTGCGACCTTGTCTAGTGGCGCGCACCTTGCATACACATAGCAGATTGCCGACCATGCGATGCATGTCTAGATGTCCATTTCCCCAACAATGGCAGAACGTTAATGTTTGCCGATGATGATCAATGATGATGAATTTCACCACGTCGGCTCCAACCCATCCCTTCACCGATTGGATACGATGTGACGTGTGTCCGCGCTGACGTTCGCTGTATTGTAACCGCTCGACGCGACCTGATCGAGACGGGCCTGATGTCGGACATGTTGTTTCGCTCAATATTCCATCGCGAATGCTAGTGACAACGTCCACACGTGCTCTTAGAGCGTTAACTGCCCTGTCGGACTTGTCTCCCATTGCCTTGGCTCCTGCAAAATGCACACACGTAGTGCTGTAGTCAGCCGCCGTGGCCGACTACAGTATATTGTGGTCATTCGCTCGTTTCACCCACCTGCTCGTCTTTCGTCATGTACACTCACGTGAAGAAGAAGTGAGCTTCTGTCGATTCGAAATCGCAGGTGATTCGACATGATGAGGATGCCCTGTGACAATTGACGTCCACAGTCGCTTCCGACACCCCTAAATGATCATCGATCACAAAGGCATCCATACCTAGTATGTTCAAAGATCAAACAATAGCGCCAATTCTACCTAAGCAGCTTCTGCTATGTGAATTCCGCCAAAGAAATACTATCAACTCTCGCCGGCCACTCTTAATATAGCTCCTGCGCCATGCTTTTGCTCGCAAATGGTCGTCTTAGGATACGTGTATCGAGGACCCAACTGAGTGTAAGCATGCAGGTGAGCGATGCGACTACGTGATGAACTCTCCACTTGTCCCTCGATTTCCTAGCCGTTTCAATGGTCACAGATGGTGTACCTACAGTGAAAATGTGTGCATAATGGCCAGAGTATCATAAGCTTGTTACCTGCCCAGGCGCATCAAGCTTGCCCAAGTGGTCTGTGATTATCGGAATTTCAGTTCGCGCCTTAGGCATCAAGAACGGCTTGCACGCCAAGCTGTCAAGCTCGGGGAGTAGGTGCTGGTGTTCAATGTCACCGAAACAAGCCCGTTGTACAGTACATTACGATCCAACGAGGCATTCATTGCCTCTGTGCATCACACGATGCTGAACACGTTGTGTCTACTGATAGCACTGCTATCGAGCCCAATTTGGGCCATCTTCGCTGATGAAGCATGGCATACTGATTACCATTTTGCCCTGCTTGGCTTGCCACAGGTCGGCACGACGTTCTTTCATCAGCCCAATGCTGCCTCAAAAGCATCGCTGATCTACACCCTCTCTGAACAAGGTGTCGTTGGAGCTGTCAATCCACGTGACGGCTCGTTAGTGTGGCGTCAGGTTCTGCAATCACAAGCATTTAACGCGAATGTTAGCTTTTTGCGAGCCGGACAAGACCAAGACATCGTCGTAAGCGGCCACGACAACCAGGTCATTGCATGGAGCGCTGGCGATGGGCGTCTTGTGTGGGATACGACCCTAGCTGGCCATCTAGTAGACCTCGAAATCCTTGAGCTTGTTGACGGAGATGGCTCTGCTGCGACAAAGGACGTCATCTTGCTCACTGGTGGTGGTAACTCGGTCGTGCAGAGGATCGATGGTTCCACCGGTGCAGCCAGATGGTCATTCGATATTGGTAATGGGGACTTGCCCTATCAAATTTCTGCATCTGCCACCGAGATATATGCGATTTTGCTTCACAAAACCTTGCTTGGCAACTACAAGATCAAAACCATCACATTGGATTCGACATCAGGGCGGAAGATTGACGAGAACGTCCTCACTGCAGATGGCGATCTGGCGTCTGCAGATACCATCATCACAGTTGGCGCAAATTCTGCCTCGCCGATAATTGCGTGGACGGATGCTTCTCGTTCAACTCTAAAGCTTAACATTATTGGCACGAAGACTGTTACATCCTTTCCAATCGACACGCAGGGGGACGGAGCTGTAGAGCGTGTTCAGGTACACGCTCCATATCACACGAACTCGCTCCCACACTTTCTCGTCCAATACGAAACGGAAAAAGCGCATTGGGCGGAGGTCTTCCACGTTAATCTACAGAAGAAAATTATAAAAAAGGCATATCAGCTTCCAAGGATTTCCGGAAAAGGCGTGTTTTCCACAAGTACCTCAGATGCGAATGTTTATTTCACAAGACTGACTCAGGGTGAGATTGTGACCGTCTCGTCGGCCTCTCATGGAGTATTGGGCAAGTGGCCCATTAGGGGATTTGGCACAAGCGGCAAGGATCACGAGCACAACTTGCCGGTTCTAGTGAGCTCTGAGATATCTTTGAAGGACAACACTGTTTCAGCCATTCGATCGGCAGTACTTCTCGCATCGGGCGAATGGGTTCTCATGCGAGATGGAAACCCGATCTGGCAAAGACCCGAGGCCTTGGCCGGAACCATCACAGCCACCTTCGCGTTGCCTAGCTCGGTTCAAAATCTTGCCGAAGCTTTCCAGGTTGAGATCCACAGCAATCCGGTCTCAGCTTATCTTCACCGGGTCAAGCGCCATATTCTTGACCTGCAAAAGGTTCCTGAACTGCTCGCTGGCTTACCGCAGCGGATCGCTAGTGGCGTCCTGGGGACTACTGCCGATGATGCTTTGATTGGGGACACGTTTGGCTTCCATCAGATCATCGCCTGCGCCGTTCGTGGTGGGCGTGTTGTTGCTATTGACGCTGGTAACCCGAACATCATTCTCTGGAGCAAGCAGATCGTGGAACCGTCGTTGGTCAACGACTGGAAGCCTGTCTTTCAGAACTCCGCACCCGGTTACTTGACACTCAAGCCAAATAACAGCACACAGGCCATACATGTCAATGCGACGACTGGACTTCCGCTGTCCAGCCTCCCGCCTCTCCATGAGGACGAAATCCACTCTGGGTCCATCAAATTCTCATTGCAGGATGGTTCACTCGAAGCTATCCGCAGTGATGGCGCGTCGTCGGATTCGTTGTGGCGCTTTGTGATTCCAGCGGAACAACGAGTTCTCAGTATCGTTCCGCGACCTGTCATTGATCCAGTGGCGTCCATCGGTAAAGTCTTAGGAGATCGCACAGTCCTCTACAAGTACCTGAGCCCAAATTTGGCATTGCTCATCACGGCGAATGATGTCGTTTCGTCGGCTTCATTCAATGTTTTGGATACCGCATCTGGGGCGTCTCTGTTTTCAAGTGTGCACAACGACGTCGATCTTACACTACCGATTGCGAGCATCATGTCGGAGAATTGGTTTGCCTACTCTTACACATCGAACTCATACCCCGATTCACCCAAAGGCCATCAACTCGTCGTCGGAGAGCTATTTGAATCACTAAGCCCCAACGACCGTGGACCTCTGGGTTCTCAGTCAAACTTTTCCAGCTTGGAGACTGCAGTCTCGCCATACGTACTGAGCAAGACCTATCAAATTCCCGAGTCCATCTCAAAACTTTCCGTGACGAGGACACGCCAAGGCATTACCTCTCGACAACTACTCGCCGTCCTGGCGGACTCTGCTGCGATTGTCGGCATCCCATACCAAATCCTAGATCCACGTCGGCCGGTGGCCAGGGATCCCACCAAAAATGAGCAGGCTGAAGGTCTGATTCGCTATGCGCCAGTGATCGAGTTTGATCCCAAGTGGTACCTCAACCACAAGAGAGAGGTGATTGGAACGATCAACGTCATCACAAGCCCGGCTTTAATCGAAAGCACCAGCTTAGTATTTGCATATGGATTGGACATCTTCGGGACCAAGCTCAGTCCGAGTTTCAGCTTTGACATCCTAGGTCGAGACTTTAATAAATTTCAGATGCTAGCGACGGTGGCAGCACTTGCGATATTGACGTTTGTCGTCGGACCTCTGGTGAGTGAGAGACAAATGGACATGGCTTGAACTTCAACTAACCCAATGCAGGTCACGAGAAAGCAGGTCAACACGCGATGGCAGTTCAGATGAGTGCGTTTCGAAAAGACCTTCAGAACAAGTCACCTGAGCCACGTTGGCGAAACATTGTAGCTTGTACAGGACTTCCAATCCATAAAGTTCAAATACTCATAGATGCATATAACCTCTAGTGCTTATGATTTATCATCGATAATGAGCGCGTTCATTACGACGATGGTGCACCCCTGGACACCTGCAGGTTGTCATTGGAGTCCTCGTAACTCCGGTGCGGCTACCGCGGCCCGATGTCGCCATACTAGCGGCGGCGTAGAAGGGAGCGCTAGAGACCGCTTAACTCCGAGGTGTTGGTGCCTCCGATACCCGAAGACATCATCTTAGCATTAGCTTTGTAATGCACCTTGCCAACATCGGGTAAATGTTCCCATCTTTTGATCAGGGCCTAGAGTTTCCTTGCAGCAAGAGTATGAAACTATGTTATATCGGATCGCTATTCGTCGCGCCTGCTATGAACAAGGCAAGTTCAATTGATCGGGCCCCCTGTCCTACTTCTTGGGATCGGCAATCTCAACTGCAGGCTTCTAATTAGATACGCAGTTCAGAAGTACAAAAGTCTTGCACATCGGAAATAAGGTTCCTTGCGGTCGACCCCTCACGTCATAAACTACCAATGTGTTGTCGTGTCAATGGTGCACGCGAGTATATAAAGATGAGAAATCCGTACTGACCGTATCTTCTGTTCTCACCAACATTTTCGATCATCTCAGTTGATTCACATCAGAACACGCAAGTCCTTCAAGTAAAGTAGTGCGATCACGATCAGAAATGGCGGACCAAGTCAAGTATACACAGAAACTTAAAGGGGAGAAAGTTTTGATCATCGGAGGTTCTGCAGGTGAGTGTCGAAATACCACGAGTTGAAGTCGCTTTGTTGGGACTCAATGCTGATGCGTTCTTTAGGTATCGGTGCCGGTAAGCTTGACCCGAGTGATGCGGTAATGATCCGAAGCTAACCGGTCTGATTCAGGTCTTGCGGAGGCTGCTTTGGAGTTCGGAGCCACAGTCGTCATTTCCTCTTCAAGGACCGAGAAAGTAAAAGAGAAAGTTGCCGAACTTCAACGGTTGTATCCATCGGCGAGGGATCGTATCTCAGGCCATGCCTGTAACTTAGCAGATGAGGCCAATCTTGAGAGTAACATTCGCGAACTCCTGGAGAAGACAGGCACTGTCGATCACATCGTTCACACAGCAGGCGACAGTCTTTCCGTCAAACCTATGGCCGAGATTGACATGGACTTTGTCAAGAAAGCCGGTCAAGTTCGCTTCTTCTCCATACTCATGCTCGCCAAACATGCCCCTAAGTATCTCAACCCTGGCCCGAAGTCATCAATCACCTTGACATCAGGGCTCGTGGCATCGCGACCAGTACCCGGCTGGACCGTGATCGGTGCTTACGCCGCTGGAGCGGAAGGTATGACTCGCGGGTTGGCACTTGAACTCAAACCGATCCGAGTCAATATCGTTGCCCCTGGTCCCATCAACACAGCTATATTCGACAGCGTGTCAGATGAAGATCGCAAAGCCTATGCGGACAGAATGCCCACGGGACAAATTGGGGAGGTGGCAGATATCGTGGAGTCATATCTCTCATGCATCAAAGATCACAACCTGAGTGGAACAATCATTCACTCCGACGGTGGGGCAAACATTGCGTGAAGCGTGTTCAGGGCAGGACCTATATACGAGATCCAATGCAATCTGAGTTCGTTATCAAGTTGAATTTGAAACGGTCCGCACTTGATCGGTTGTCGTCGCGGAGGTCCTTCTTGCTTTGCTCTGGAGGATTTTCATTAAGATGTTTGCTTGGCGATTCGTGAACAAGAGAACAGAGAGCGTGGTGAGTAGCAAGGATATTGTAGAGGAAGAATGGCGGCAATGTCAATGCTAGCTTGGAATATCGACGAGACAGTGATCAAATGTAATACGTAGCACTCCAGGGCTCATAGTAATACGTCATGCAACGAACGGACGGGTGCAGAATCCATTTCCGTTGCGGAGGAAGCAATATTCAGGGCACATTGGCCAGCTGGAGCAGAACCACCCCACATTCTCGCACGCGCACCACCTGTACAATTCGCAAGGTCAATAATTTCATCGCCGCAGTTGCTTTAGCTCCCAATAGAAGCACACGACCGCATTGTGTTGGCTCACGAGACCATCGAAGGTACACATTTCCATCACTCTCCTCACCTATCTCAACCCATCGAACGCTCAGCTCCGGCCCTCACTTGACCGTTCCCAACACATCACCCCATAAGATCCGACAATCCTCTTATAGATCACCATGTCTGCGGCTGAGGGCAAGGTAAAGAGCGTCTTATCCGGCGATACTCTCATCTTACAAAACAAGGCTAAGCAAGAACGCACCCTCAGCTTGGCTTTCATCAATGCACCACGCCTTCAATCGGATGAACCCTGCGCATTTGAATCACGAGACTTCATTCGGAAGCTCTGTGTTGGCAAGGTTGTTCGCTTCTCGGTATTGTACTCCATTCCACAAAAGGTGGGCGGGTCTTCCCGCGAGTATGGCGTTGTGTTCCTGTCAAATGGAACTCAGCTACCAGACCTCATCGTGCAGGAAGGATGGGCAAAATTGAGAGACGATGCGGAGCGGAAAGCTGAAACACCCGCGGCTGCCGAGTTACTCGAACGGCTGCAAGCACTCGAAGCACATGCAAAGGTAGATGAGAAGGGTCTTTGGAGTACAAAGCTTTCGTCCATCCAAAACGTCCGAGAATTGCCAGACCCGAAAGTGTTCGCAGAGGAGCACAAGGGTAAGGCGATCGACACGGTCGTCGAGCGAGTTCTGAGCGGCGATCGCCTGATTTGCCGGCTTATGGTCACACCCACACAACACGTACAAACCACCGTACTCGTCGCAGGTTTACGCGCACCCACCACTGCGCGAACAAACCCATCAGACGGCTCCACTCAGGCAGCTGAGCCTTACGGGAACGAAGCCCAAGCATTCGTAGAGGATCGATTATTGCAAAGAGGCGTGCAGGTACGGCTTTTGGGCGTGACACCAAACAACGTCCTTGTTGGTGAGGTCCGTCACCCAGTGGGCAACATTGCAGATTTCTTGTTGAAGGAAGGACTTGCCAGATGTGTCGATCATCACTCGACATGGCTCGGAGCAGAAATGGGCAAGCTTCGACAAGCTGAAAAGCACGCAAAGGATAATCAGCTCGGCCTGTTCAAGAGCCATGTCGCTACTCGGGCCGGAGGTAGCGAGCTTGAGGCTGTCGTCAGCCGGATATTTTCCGCCGATACCATCTTCATCAGACACAAGGATGGTACCGAACGCCGCATGAATCTCAGTAGCGTACGTCAGCCCAAACCTACAGACCCGAAGCAGTCGCCTTTCAGTGCGGAGGCAAAGGAGTTCCTGCGGAAGAAATTGATCGGGAAACACGTCAAGGTCACTATCGATGGCAAGCGTCCTGCTACCGAAGGATTTGACGAAAGAACCATGGCGACTATCAGTGTCAACGGCAAGAATGCTGCACTTTTGCTCGTGGAGAATGGATATGCGTCTGTCATCCGACACCGTATGGATGATACCGATCGCAGTCCCATCTACGATGAGCTATTGGCAGCAGAGGAGGCTGCTCAGCAGGACCAAAAGGGCATGTGGAATGCCAAGCCTCCCAAGGCGCAGGCTTATGTGGACTATAGCGAGTCTTTGGAGAAGGCAAAGCGCCAGCTTACATTGCTGTCTCGACAAAAGCGTGTACCCGCGGTTGTCGATTTTGTCAAGTCGGGCAGCCGCTTCACTGTGCTTATACCGCGTGACAACGCAAAGCTTACATTTGTGCTTGGAGGAATTCGCGCTCCGCGTAGTGCGAGGGGACCGAACGATGCAGCTGAGCCATTCGGGCAAGAGGCACACGAATTCGCGGCGAAGCGTTGCACGCAAAGAGATGTCGAAATTGACATAGACGATTGCGATAAACAAGGAGGCTTTATCGGAACACTTTACGTCAACCGTGAGAACTTCGCCAAGATTCTCGTTGAGGAAGGCCTCGCATCTGTGCACGCATACAGCGCGGAGAAATCTGGCAATGGCAACGAGCTTTTCGCTGCGGAACAAAAGGCCAAGGACGTGCGAAAGGGCCTCTGGCATAGCTGGGACCCCTCACAGGACGCAGCCAATGGCGAAGATCACGATGACGGCGCAGCAAGAAACGGAACGTCTGGCCAAAACGGCGATGGTCATTTGCCACCTCCGGCGCGTAATTACAAGGACGTGGTGGTCACCTACGTCGATCCCAGCACTGCGCGTGTTAAGCTTCAATTGATCGGTTCTGGCAAGTCCAACCTCGATACGCTCATGAAGGAATTTGCTTCATTCCATATCTCGCCTGGAAATGGACAGCCACTGGCGCAGCCGCCCAAAGCTGGCGATGTTGTCTCGGCCAAGTTCACGCAAGATGGAGTTTGGTATCGTGCGCGCGTCCGTCGCAATGATCGCGAGAATAAAACTTCCGAGGTAGTTTACATCGACTACGGCAACACAGAGATGCAACCATGGAGTGCCTTGCGACCGCTCAATGCTGACAAGTTTGGCATCAACCGACTAAAGGCCCAGGCTGTCGATGCTGCGCTCTCCTTCTTGCAGTTCCCGACTACCAGCCCGCAATATCTTGTCGAGTCGGTCAACATGCTCTATGACGTGACTGCGGATCGGGAACTGGTCGCGAATATCGACTTTGCTGACACTCGAGACAACGTGTTGTGGGTCACACTCATGGACCCCAAGGCTTCGGATTTAAGCAAGAGCATCAATGCCGAGGTCGTCAGTGAGGGCCTCGCCATGGTTCCTAAGAAGCTCCGACCTTTCGAGCGCGCCGCGGCAGAAATCCTCTCTGACCTCAAGAAGCGCGAGGCTGAGGCCAAAGCGGACCGTTTGGGGATGTGGGAATATGGTGACTTGACCGAGGACTAAGTTTTTTCCCTCCGCCACGAAATGGACGCGGGGCGGCCTAGAGCCAAAAAGAATAAAGTCTTCTCGTTTGGATTATGAGCTGTAGAGACTTGACTTGGGAGAAAAGCGATGTATCAAATACCAATTAAAAAGCAATTCCGCATTTCATGATCAATCTATGTGAACCCGTTACGCCCGTGAAGCTTCAGTCAAGGCACGGCACACCTAGCGATATTTGCGAAATTGCGAAATCGAGAAAAGTGCCCCTTTTCTACATCGGCAGAATCGCCGAATGGCTTCGGACCTTGGGTAAGCTAGTGGCTGCTTGCAAAATGTCTCGGATAGTTACGTCTAGCGTCATATTCGTGCATCTTCAGTAGGTCGGCTAGTGGCTGCTCGCAAAATGTTTCGGATAGATGCATCTAGCGTCATTTTGTGCATCATATCTGAGACAACTCGCCTGGTTGAGAAGGAGAACGGAGCCTTTCTCCGCACAAGCGGCCGCGCTTGAAATACTGCGATCTCAGGGTCCGAGCTTGGCTCCAAAAAGGACGGACAGTGCAAATGTTCCAAGCATTCAATGATTATCTTCGTGTCATGAAGTAGAAGTTGGCATTGGAAATATCGTATATCAGTACATTGTAATTGTATCAAACAGGAGCTTTGTTCATAACCGGATTGAAAGATCCAAATCGCTCGTGACTCGCAAAGTAAACAACAGCAAACGCCAGAATCTTCCTCGTAATCAGACATGTGTAAAGGCTCAAACTTGTAAACGCTGTAGGCGTTCCTGGACCGCATCTATCATCGCCGTCTCACGATCCAATAGAGCGAGCACTTGAGCCATCTTCCGGCTGCGGTAGTCATTGGTCAAGCTTGACATGGACATTGTGTTGCTCGCAGCCTGGTCATCGGCGGCAGACGCTTGCAGTTTTTGCGAGAGTGTAGCAGCTTGGTCGAGCAGATGACGGTGGAGCTCCTGCACAGCTTCGTAGCGAGACGCAATAGTGTTGTCTTGTGCGGTGGTGGGAGGTTGGGAAAAGGTCGAGACAGTCGATGTTGTGAGCTCGCTGTTCTCCAAGCGTACCAGACGAGCTGGGCTCGTGGGAGCTTCGCCGGGCGTTGAAGTGGGCTGTATGCCTTGCCACAGAGCGGTGACCTCTTCGCCAAAGGCGCGTTCCTTTGCTGAGAGATCTTTGCCACCAATGAGACGCATCTTGCTTCGGAGTTTCTCCACACGATCTTGTAGGCTGTCCGTTCGCTCTCGGCTTTCTTGTACACGAGTTTCGATCCTCTGGCGGCCACCGCGAACAAAGTCCGGCTGTCCAGCGACGGATTCTGAAAAATTGTCTTCGCCGGTGACACTATCTACCCGATTAGACAACATTCGAACGCTGTCGATTTGATCTTGCATCTCATTGACCATGCGCTGACATCGTCGGTACAAGTCTGCGGCGGCCAAACCAAGATCATACGTTTCGCTACTAAGGACACGGTGCGCCTCGGTCATCTTCTGCAAGGTCCACGGGGAAAATCGGATGTCTGCTTTAATGTTTCCTCGTGCGCCTCCGTCACTTTCCTTGCGCCATGCTTCAAGCTGCGCAGGAAATTTGAGCTGCTGAAATAGCGTGTCAGGTGGTTGATACGTCGGCCGTGCTTGTACATCCGATGGCTCCAGGAGCGCAGTGATTTCTGGTCCGAATGGATGCGAGGCAGAGCTCGGAGGTTCGATGACAGTAGCTATGGGCTTGTTGGCCACTGTCGTTAGTACAATGTATCCATCCTGGTTTCCTGGCGCAGCTGCAGTGACTGCAGCATTGATTGTCTGCGGGACATCCTCGAACTGAGAGGTGACCTTCTCGAGAGCGGTACTAGAGGAGTCTAAGAGCACGTTGAGCCTGAAAGAGGCGCCCTCTACATCATGCTGCGGCGCCGCGAGCTCATCCTCCAAGCCGCTGATCCACGGTCGGAAACAGAGTGTGTGCACACCCGTCGCCTGGGTAGTGAAAACTTCGTAGCGGTCGCCGTGTGACAATGTAAATGTGGGCACGCAAGCATCGGATTTCGGACCAGTACCTGCAGCGCAGTCAATCGTCTCCCATAGGAGGAGTTCTTTTTCGTGAGCGACATCATCGAAAAGGCGCGTGCGAGATCGTTTGGAGGGCAGCCACTCTGCTTCGATGCCTTCGAGATTCAGACAGACATGAATCTGCCCCGCACTTGTCGCCACGCAGATGATGCCGATGCTGAGTCCGTCGGATCCCCCGTACTCTTCGAGATCCTCCTCATCGTCACCGAAAAGAGCTCCCTGATCTAATTGGGGAGCAATGGCGTGAATGTCTGTGATCTCGCCAAAACCAGGTTCTGGTGAGATCTGAAATGGACCCTGCAGCTTTGGCACGATTCCAGGACGTTCAGGTCGGGTGTAGACTTCCATCGCTCCTTGATCGCCTGGCACAATGACTGGATCCTGCTTGTCCAGTTCAGCAAGCCACTTGCACTGCTGGTCAGCAGTGCGCTTCTGCACTTCCGAAGTTGTTGGATCCTGATCATAGATGCGTGCCTTGGCCACGACGCTGGTCGTCAGGCTTGGAAGGAAAGTCGCCGGCGCCCAGAAGTGAGCTGGCAAGAACGGACAGAGCGCATACACATCTCCTTCAGTCATCGCAATCCAGAGGGTCATGCTGGACCAGCCGTCTTCGTCTTCTTTACCCTGTCCGCCGAAGCAGCTTGCTGCGACTTGCATTTCTACGTCATCTAGGGTGTATGCTTTGTTGGCTCCGAATTTGCTGGCGGAGAAATCCTCGCGTGTTGATGTCGCGTTACTCAGCTTCTTCAAGTCGACAGCGAGTGCGGGTTCATCGAAAGAGTGGCGGTTGTTGCTGTCAAGCTCCCAAAGGCGGACGCAGGCGTCGCGGGTGACAGTGACCAAGTCATTGCCGGAAGGTGAGAGTGGGTGCCAGAGAGCAGTCGCGAGCTGCGATTGCTCTAGAACGTGAGCTGTTGGACCGACTTGAAATGCCCGCAATTTCATTGGTTGCTTGTCTGGTGACCTCAACTTCTCACTGGATGGTAGTACGCAGACGTGACAAGTGTGGGATGTGAGAATGGCGAGAAAGTCTCCCGAGGGCGATATGGTAAGTTGTGAGACTGGGCGTGACGTTGGTAACTTAAGTATCTGTCGGACTTATGTGAGCTGAAAGTCCCGATTGCATTGTCCAATGAGTACACAGCTCCTGACCTTATATGATTGATCTCTCTGCTGATCGGCATGCTGTTCAACTGTGTTCGATTCTTTCCAACTCTCCAAATCGCTCCATCGAAGTTCGTTGCCCACGATAGCGAAGATTTCTGAACCGCGCAACGCAACCTTTCTCGATGGTCCAGTCAATTCAGGAGCGGTCTGAGTATTGTCCCTTTTGTCATGCTGCGGCTGGAAAAAATCGAACCCGGTGGTGCCCCGGTCTAACCATCGAGGTTGCTGAATCAAGACCTTCGGCATGGCTGCTACAGATTTAGTGGTGGGAATGTCTTGAAATGCTTGGTGAGACGGTCAACAGTGGGACGAGCATCCCTGGTGCAGATGCAAGTTAATAAAGGAAAGGAATCAGCTCAATACTCTGCTGCTGCAGCAAGTTGTCAATTCCAACAGATAGGTATGTAGTGCTATTGAACGTTTGCGTCCAAGGTAACGCGCCCTTAGTTACTAGCCTCGCCCGAAATTCGCGTCAAGCTCCCCGGACTGTTCCCCGGCCACATAATGCTGACATAATCGCGTGCTAGTGATCGCTTTCCAAGGTTCGCGACTTTGCATTCTGTCTCCCCCCGACGCCATATTAGTTGACCATCGGTGACGGACTCCCCTCGAGTGCGCAAGGTTACCTGTATATTGTCTTCCAATATGCCTGGGCAGCAATTCACGATGCAGAATACCGTCGATAGGCTAGACAAGCCATCGTCCTACGCGATGAGCAAGGTATGCACCGGGCTGGATTTGCGCCGCTCGCTTTCGACAGATCAGCAGATGCTAAAACACGTGCAACGCAGAATAAGAAACGCCGCCGTAACAATCGCGACGACGAGGAAGCCGATCGTGCGCCCTCTCCAGAAGTCGAAGACAAGCTCGCAAACGCGACGACCTTGTACGTGGGCAACTTGAGCTTCTACACCACGGAGGAGCAGATACACTCGCTCTTTAGCACATGTGGTGAGATCAAGCGCCTGGTGATGGGCCTAGATCGATTCAACAAAACCCCGTGCGGGTTTTGCTTTGTGGAATACTACACGCATCAGGACGCGTTGGATTGCCTGAAATATGTGGGCGGCACGAAGCTTGATGAAAGAATCATCCGTGCCGACCTCGACGAAGGCTTTGCGGAGGGTAGACAATACGGACGAGGTAGGTCAGGCGGACAGGTACGCGATGAATACCGCGAAGAGTTCGACCCCGGCCGTGGCGGTTATGGGCGATTAGTTCAGGAAGATCGATACGCAGACGAATACGGCCGTTCATGAGCGACGGCTTCGTCTGGCGGATCTGGCACGTGTATCGATAGGGCTTTTGTAAGAGATGCGGATTATGGTGCGTTTGCGTATGACGCCGGCAACCGAAATGGTCAGGTCACACTCAACGACTCGGGAAAGCAATTCTGTATTCTAGGGATATTTTAAAGTTCATGGTGGGCAGCGAATGAATGTGCAGATCAAGTCTGTTTGTCGTCGATCGTCGAGGCCGCATCCGGATACTCATACATCGACAGTCGATTTGAGCCGAACGACCTCCTGCAACCACCAGGCATGAATGCGCTCATCTCCGGTCAGCTCCGGATGGAACGCCATACCAAACACGTTCCCCTGCCTGACCGCGACGATATCGCCATCCTCGCCAAGATCTTCGGCTGTGATAGACTTGTCACGAAGTGCTCGAGCTCGACCGGGTAATCGACACATGATCTCAACGGGCGATGTGGTTGATTGTCGTGGTGGAGCAAGGACCGTGGTAGCGGTGAGGGCCAAGTCCGCCGTCAGTGTTTCCAGTGTCGGCTCCGACGTTGATGCCGGCTCGAGGATCTTCTCTACGACCGGGGCTCTGATGAAGACGGAGCGGAAACGTGGCTGGTTCGGGAGGAAGACCAGGTCGAGGTCAGCCTCGAAACTCTCCACTTGCCGCCCAAAGTAGTTGCGATGTACGCGAACGTCGAGGCCGCCGATGAGCTCCTGGCCGGTGGCCTTGGACTTGTTGGCACTTTCTGCCAGCAGAATCAAGCCCGCACAGGTGCCCCATACCGGCTTTCTCTGAACCTTTACAAAATCCCGTAGCGGTTCCAATAGACCCGTTCGCTCCGCAATCAACGATATGGCGGTACTCTCGCCTCCGGGTAGCACCAGTGCATCACATCGTGCCAGCTCCGCCGGAGTCCTGACTTCGATGAATTCGTAGTTCAAAGATGGGTCGGAGCACGTGCCGGCTGCCTTGCGGAGCAGCACGATATGTTCTGCAAACGCACCCTGGAGGGCAAGCACTCCCACAACAATTCGTGAAGTCATTCTGCACCCACTTCAAATGCTAACCAGGAGACGCAATGAGGTAGGAGAGTGACAAAAGTGAGCAATGTCGTGATGGCACCTGTGTTGGTAGGGAACAATTTTTCACATGCCAGTCACTACCATACGACCCTGTCTGCCAGCCTGTCGTGCCTGTGAACCTTTTTCAATGGATGACGGGATCAAATTCTAGCCACCCGTGACTACTACCACCGCCCGGCTCCAACCAGGACATACAGACCATCTGCCCAGGTAGGCAATAATTCACAAACAGGTCCTCGACAACGCCGCCCAGCGGACGCCGCGCCAAATCGCACCACCGCAGAACCTTCGGATTTGTGGAAACCTGGAAGAAAGATATTGTCGTCAATGTTACTACTGCTATCATCAAATGTTGCCCATCTACGCGAAAGTATTCGACGAAAATAGACCTTCATGCACCGCACTCTCATGTTCTGGCCCGCCGGCTGGTGACGGCAGAGCTGACCGTCACCACCATCATTTCCGCCGCACTCGGGCGACTTCTCCGCGAAGTTCTCTTGCGGGGCCAAAATCTGTCCATGCAATCAGGTACCGGACCGGACATGTCAGCCGTGTCGTCCGCATGAAGCGAATTGATGGTCCACCTGTCTAACCTGATAATGATACTGGCATCGGTTACCACCAAGGACGCAGCTCGGACTGCTGCCTCCTCGATACGCGCAACCGAAACATATTTTGATCAGGCGCTGACTTGGCGATAATCTTCTACTCGAGTCAACACAGGGTATGAACTCGCGCGATAAGAAACGGATGTACGCCGTGGCTCGTTGGGAGATCATAGGAACACCGCCTAGGCAACTTGACAAGGCCGACCTCGAGTCACGCAAAACGTACATAAGACTGCAGGTCTATTTCGGGGCAATGCAGGATCGTTTTCCGGGGTTCTATGGTACGGTGTCTACAGCGTCATGTTTTGATATATCAATATGGACAGACCGTTATTACTGTTGACTTGGGGGGTTGTTGTTGATGATTATATGCAGCACATGCCAAACCGTTGATAGACACCCGTTTGCCGGTAGCGTGTCGTGATTGTTGCCCTTCTTGCAGGTCGACCGACTCTCCGGCTCTGCGGCATTGTGATGTCCATGACATTCTTCCCTTGCCGAAACTTCGAGAACATTGAAACGGACATGACCGAATTCAACACCGCAGTGTGTCGATGGGACTCTGATGACAAAAGTTGCACAGTACTTCAGCTGCTGCGGCCGAGAATTCCCAAACATGACACGCCGCTGAAGGATGCTTATCGATTATAGAATCCCCCCACTCGTACAGGCCTCCACCAACGTTATCCTCTCGAAGGCCGTCTTTCAAGCACACTGTGGGCGTTCGTTTTTTATATACATAGTGAGATGGCGAGTATTTGATAGTCCGATGTCACGTTCTCGCTCCAATCATCATCTCACACTTGTCATCGGTATTCGACGCTTTAGAAGTCATCGTCTCATATGATCGATCGGCACTCGCGAGAGACTGCATCTTCACACTCCGCTGAACCACATTCAACATACCTAATGAAAGCGTAGAGAACGCGTGACAGTCCAACAATTTGCGCTCGGCTGTCGCTTTGGTCGCTTCGGTCGCTTCGCCGCTGGGAGACCTCTCAATGATCTCGTAGTAGAAGCAAGCGCCAGAATCGTGTGCGAAATGTCATCTGGACTATCGGTCTCCGCTCGCAAGCTATCCGCTTCGACACACACAGCATTACCAGTGAACGATAAAGACTTTCTGAATCTATCCTCGATGGTCACAAGTCTTCCGGCAACGCCTTCGGCTGACGGAGCATTGCCACAAAAGGCTCCGTCGATTGACAACACAGGAGGGCGGTATGCGTTGGTTTGCTGGCTCCTCGACACCCGATCGCTATGGCCGGCTGGCAGAGACAATAATATTTGGAATGCTGCTGGAGGTTCTGAGGCGATGGCGCTGCTATCAACCGAAGAGCAGAAAACGGTCTCATCCAAAATGTTCCTGCCCGACGCTAAGATGAGTCTGGCCAGTGCACTTCTGAAGCGTTTATTCATATCAAAGGCATTGGACATCCCTTGGAATAATGTGATCATCTCTCGCAAGAACGACCGACGACACGGCAAGCCCTGCGCAGTCGATACTGCAGGGAGACCGATCGAAGGCATCGACTTCAACGTTTCGCATCAGGCAGGTTTGGTGACTTTGATCGGATGGGACGGCAAACAACGACACGAGTACGGCGCAGGTGGGGACGTTCAAGGTCTTATAAGCTCCGGCGCTCATCCTGAGCAGGATGTTATGGTTGGCACAGATATTGTCTGCGTGAACGAGCGAGATGACTACAGGACTATCGATTCGGAAGGACTGGATTCCTGGATCGACATTTACGACTTCGTATTCAGTGACGAGGAGCGATGGACGATGAAGTACGACGTGGACTACGTCACGCTTCTAGACGGAACAATCCTTCAACGCGAGGAACTCGGACGACATGACCGATGCATCCAACGAGACAAGATAATCACCGTAAAAGCCAGCTCGGGACAGACCGTACGATTCAATTCCGATCTCCTAATCGAAGCCAAACTGCGTCGCTTCTACACCTTTTTCTGCTACAAAGAAGCTTATATCAAGCTTGCCGGCGAAGCACTTCTCGCGCCCTGGCTAAAGCAACTCGAGTTCTCCAACGTCCGCAGCCCGAGACCTGGGTCTCCCGCCCGATGCAGCACCGACGGCCAATGGGGCGAGGAGATCACGGATGTGGAGACTCATTTGAATGGTGCGGAAGTTTCGGATGTCAAGATGAAGATTCAAGCGTTTGAGGAGCAATTCATGATCGCCACGGCGATTCAAGGCAATGTCTCCAAGTTGCAGGTGCCGGCCTTTCAGAAACTTGATATCAAAGCGGATGTCCTCCGCTGGGCTCAGAAACATACCACAGGCGCGCCATCGGACGATCCTTGAAGTCTCCGACGGCACGACTTCAACTCATCTGTCAAGCTCATCGACAATCGCGGCTGCAAAGCGTGTCTTGCAACGACAAAAGACACAGCTGCAGATTTCCAGGTTCGGAATTGACGATGAGTCCGGATGGAATTCTTTCACCGAAGATCCCGTCACCTGAAGCTGGCTGTCTCCATGTATTTGTGCGATATATGTATCTGGCTCGGAAATTCTACAGCCGCCAACTCTGCTCTCGTACTTTCCGACTATCTGACCGAGGTCATGCAAACACCAACCCGTCCATTGATCGCCTATCATCATAAATCGCGTTAAGCAACGTGCTCTGAAGATAGAGCCGAAGCTACTTCGATCGATCAATGAATAGGTATGAGATCCGTCTTACATGCTAGAAGTGTAATCCCGGATAGACACGCAGATCGAGACCACGAGATTTCACAAGCGTCGTTGCTGTCCGGTTGGCTTTGATGATCACAGCAGCAACACTTGACCCAGTGAATTATTGGGGCTGGAGATTTGGAGCAAAGCGGAGCGCCTACCTTGCGCATGTTGGGTACAGATTCTGAATTTCTAGTGGAAAGCTTTTGTAGCAAGACTGGGCTGAAGGCGTTGAAAGATTTCGAAAAACATGTGAGGTCCTGCCGATGCAGATATCAGGGGATATAAATTACATAGCCAGGAAAACGTCACTCCTCGTGCGTTACATAACATTGAAAAGTCTCATCCTCAAGCTTCAGATCTCAGTGCCTGACTAACAGAGGGCACCATTTCCAAACTTCCAGCTCGGCTCTCCGACGAAAGATTTGCTACATGGTTACATGGTTGGAAATTCTTTGATTGTAAAACTCCCATCAATAATGCTCCTTCCTTTCCAATTCTCGGCTTGCAGTCTACTTCTTCCTGCCCTTTCCTTTTCCCTTCTTCACAGGCTCCGGCACCGAGACAGATCCCTCCATAACATCTTCGCCTTGTGCTTGAAGCTCCTTGACCTTTTCCTGACTGGAGATGAATATGGTGAGATCGTGATTCATCTCCTCCAGCTCTTTCTTCTCCAACTTCGCGGCCTCCGCTTCAGCATGGGCTGTCTCGGCCTTCTGATCGGCGACTTTGATCCGCGCGAGGAGTCCTTCGTTCATCGTCCGCTCTTCGCGCAGTTTCGACGACATGTCTCGAGCCATTCGCTCGAATTTGATGCGGCTGGTTTCGGACTTTTCCACGGCCTTTTCTGCGCGCGCGAGTGACTCTGACATTTCCTGTTGCGCGGAACGAAGGTTTTCACACTCGGCGAGGGCGCGGGAAGTTTTGGATTTAGCTTCTTCGGCGCGAGCAATGGCTTCTGCAGCCTTGTCGACCGCCCGCTCGACTTGTTCCTCGAAGTATCGCCGTTGGCCCTCGAGTTGCGATGTCAGGAGATAGGCATATTCGTTAGCCATGTTCTCCATCTTCTCCCGAGGCACGCTATCGCCTGCTTCTGATCGGAAGGCCTCGTTCTCATGTCTGCTGCGTATGGGCAAGTCCCCAGGTCCACTCTTTGCAGATAATTCCGTGGTGGCTTTGTTTTGTATCAAGCGGTGCACGTACCCATCGCCTGCATAATCCCAAACGTGTTGAGATGATATATCCATGGCATAACAATGGCTTGTGGCCTCGTAGTGCGCGTAGGCATGAGCTGCATCGTAACGACCGCAACCGATATTGCCGCATATGAGACAGATCCAGAGATTTGCGTCTGTGGCGCAGACGGAACATAGAGTTTCTACTTGTTCCCTCTCTCCATCTGTGCCGTCCTGAGGTCGTGGGTAGGGAAAGGTGAAGGAAGGAGAGTGAGTATATCTGCAAACTGGACATCCTGATCCTCGCCATTTCTCCAAACAGGCACAATGGAAAACATGTTGGCATAAGATTGTCAATAGACCGGTCGTTTCGTCCATTCGCTCCAGACATACTGGACAGGTGGGAAGTTCGAGGAGATTTGGAGGCGGCGGTGCCCAAGGTTTGCTCGAAAGGCTCTGCTTGCCCGTTCCAGTTTGTGAGGCTTGGGTAAAGGGATCATTTGTGTTGTGCGGAAATTTCGACAGATTCAAATCAGCATCAGGCGAGACGAACTCCACCGATTCAATGAAGACCACATGGCAGTTCTCCGGCTCGGCCGCACTGAAAACTCGACCATTATTCGCTTTTTGCCAATCCCGTGCCTTCTTGCTGGAGCGGAACTTCATGAGAACCATGTACTTGTTCGCTCTGCCGGTGCGGATCAACCTGAAATGTGACACATCTTCACGAGCCTGATCGCCGACGAATCCGAGCAAGTCGGACGGTAACATCCAGGACGGAACTGCCAGTATGCAAACTGTAGAGCAATCTTGCTTTTGTTTGGTGGCCTGCTCATCTACGTTTCCATGTGTACTCTTCCCATTTTGCTTTCGTGCTGAAGCGATCTCATCTAATGACGGCGCCTCATCAATATCACGATACAGGTGCACGATACCATAACCTACACTTGTCGTGGTTGTCTCGGACGGAACATACACAGCTTTGGTATGCAGGCCACCGCTGGCAGAACTTGAGCCTTTCAGGTTCTCCATAGTGATGCACTCGATAATGACGCAGTCGTACCGCCAGTCGGTAGCCGCAAGTGAGTTGGACGGCTTGTGTGATCGAGCACGAGGAGACGGCGGTATGTCTTTTCGAAGGTTCAGACTACGTTCCGGAAGCAAAAGAGCATTGCCATGCGGCTCGCTCTGTTCGACAGGCAGGTGTGTATGAGCAGATGAAGTCACTGAGCGATGCGGCGAGCTTCGACTTTCAAACACTCCACTAGCATTTATTTGATCTTGGGATTTCCACTTGACAGTCTTGTGCGCCGGAAAGACGGTCTTGAATATGTCGGATCCAGCGTGAGGCAAGAAGACGTCGGCTTCGGTGGCAAGCACAACTGATGAATGCCGACCAACGTTCGGCGCTGGTGTCGCGTACAGCTCAAGTCGCAGATGAAAGTAATACGGCGGCATCAGGGCACCATTTGATGTACCAGATGATTTGCAATAAACTTGCTTGAAGACGAAAGCATGGAGACACGCTGCCTTCTAGACGTCGCCGAGGATTATTATGATGATGCTTGGCGAGGTTCACAAGCGATGCACACGATCTATTTCTTAATATTTTGTGGACAATTTGTGTAGAAATTGTGATGATACAAACGATGCTGCCTGACCAACTACAGTACACGGGCAGTGTGAGTACTGCGGAAAGCACCAAGCGCTATTTGGAAGTTCTAGCCTAGGTTCTGAATGAGGTCGTAGTCACGATCTTGAATTTACCGGCGCTACGCGAATTGGGCGCATCTCGTCTCACACCCAACTACATGGCGCATTATTCAGCGACGGCGATATCGAGCATCACTGACAAATTCATGTAACTGAATGATTGTGAAATAGTCATCATTTCATCAATGCTATACTAAGTAAGTATTCATGGTCCAGTGTCGCGCGCCGGCGATGTATCAATCATAAGCCCTACCTCGCATGAGGCTGCTTCCGTAACTCCGTTGTGAACACTCAAGAGATCTACTGGCCACCGCGAAGACGGAGCACCAAGTGTAGAGTGCTCTCTTTCTGGATGTTGTAGTCGGAGAGTGTTCGGCCGTCCTCAAGCTGCTTACCAGCGAAGATCAGGCGCTGTTGGTCCGGTGGGATACCTTCCTTATCTTGAATCTTTGACTTCACGTTGTCGATGGTGTCTGATGACTCGACTTCGAGTGTGATGGTCTTTCCGGTAAGTGTCTTGACGAAGATTTGCATACCACCACGAAGGCGGAGGACGAGGTGGAGGGTCGATTCCTTCTGGATGTTGTAGTCTGAGAGAGTGCGTCCGTCCTCGAGCTGCTTGCCGGCGAAGATCAGACGTTGCTGGTCCGGTGGAATTCCCTCCTTATCTTGAATCTTGCTCTTGACGTTGTCGATAGTGTCGGACGACTCAACCTCAAGAGTGATGGTCTTGCCGGTGAGGGTCTTGACGAAGATCTGCATACCACCACGGAGACGGAGAACCAAGTGGAGGGTCGACTCCTTCTGAATGTTGTAGTCGCTGAGGGTGCGGCCGTCCTCAAGCTGCTTGCCGGCGAAGATCAGTCGCTGTTGGTCCGGAGGAATTCCCTCCTTGTCCTGGATCTTGCTCTTGACATTGTCGATGGTGTCAGAGCTCTCCACCTCAAGGGTGATAGTCTTTCCGGTCACTGCGAGAGGTTAGAACTGCGATTTGAATCAGAACTGCTGGTGTACCTACAAGTCTTGACGAAGATCTGCATGATTGCGGTAGTGTGGCGAGGATGAAGGTTAAGAGATGGGTGTAATCGAAGAAAGGTGAGGGAGGAAGGAGTTTGGGCAGAGCTGGGTATATATACAGCTTATCGCGGGGGGCGATACAGGCAGGCATGCAACATGGAGCGCAACTGCGATGGCTCATCACTCAGCCACACTAGTGCGCGCGGTTTCCATGTGTATCCGTCACCTTCGCGCCAACATGACAGCCACATGACACATTCCAGGTCCGGCGTTATCACGTGATAGTAATCTAGATGGATCGTTATCTCCGGATTGTTATATTCGTCCCCAATGTCGACAGCGTCTTGCCAACTACTCCTACAACTCATTTGGAAGTGCAAAAGTATCGCAGAGCGACCCGAGGATCAGCGTATGGACAACGACGTGAATGTGAATCAGTGTTGGACCGGCGCATAAGTGATGACGACATGGCGGGCGGTGTCCAGGCGTTCAACAGTGCGGAACGACACCGACCAGCCTCCGATGGGGAAGCTCGATCCACGAAACAAGCGGCAAACAGCGGAGGAGCGCTGCACGCGCGCCAAGTGATAGGTCTCGCCGCTTCGCTCGTTATCCTCGTCGCTGGTGGCGTGACGGTGTATCAAGCGATGGTTGCGAGTACTCCAGTATCTTCCAGATTGTCTGCTAACCTTGGAACACAACAGTCGAGCATGCACAATCTCAATCAAGTGTACTAGCAATCTCTACGTGTAGTGTACTCCGTCTAGATTCACGCGGTCCGATCTCCCTGTCAAGAGGTTGCTTTGGCTTCGACGTTGGTGACAAAGATAGGAATGGTATCACTTGTCGCTCAGGCGCTGCGTCACGCACGTGCACGGTATACCGGCGCTTCAATGTATCTTGACAGATGTTGATTGAGATCGAAATCATCGACATCTAGCTGTTCGATATGACCTCGCCGGGATAGGGTTTCCTGCCATAGGTGACTGGCATAGGGAAGTAGCCGTGAATGTGCTTGTTCGCCAGGTCGCGGTTGACCTTAGCGACGAAGACATCAACCTCCTCCTTACGCCATCCCAGTCCACGCGTTAGAAGTGCGAGACAGAATCCCTCCAGTCCTTCCATGATGTTGACTTGATTCCAGCGACCAAGCTCCTTCATGTAGCGGTTCTTGGGCCAACCGTTGGTCGGCCACATGAACATGCGTTGTTGTATGTCGACGAAGCCGGCTTGTCTCATCCACTTCTCGTACATTTCGCTTGCATCGGAGCCCATCGGTCGGCCGAGTTTCTTCGCAGCTTCGCACAACAGCTCGCCCCAGAGTAGAAGATCAGTGCCATCGGCAGTGCCGTCAGCAGACTTCACTGGCAGCCCGTAGTCTTGAAGCTCTAGCCATCCATTTGGTTCAAGGTTCCTACATGGTCATCAGCCGCCGTGTGAAATGTCATGGGCCCGCAAATTTCGACTTACTGAAATGCTTGGTTGAAGAGGTTCTGCCAGTCTGAAAAGCATCCAGCCATCAAGCGCAAATGAATGTAGTCGAAGCCCGTTTCGTAAAGCCATTGGTCCTCGGCATCGTCGATGACGAACTTCAGATTTGGAGGAATGCTGCTTCCGTTAGTTTCTAGGAATGCGAAAGGGGTTCGCCCGGGCACCTTACAGTGATGGTTGTCCAGGGCTCAGATCAGTGCCAACGACCTGACAGTTTGGAAATTCGTCTGCGAATTCTATGGCCCAAATGCCTGTTCCCGTGCCGACGTCGAGGGCGTTCCTGGGATTGTGAAGCGGTGCAAAATACAATCTGTTTCCGAATGTCTTTGCGAAGAGGTGATGTTGTAGGTCTAGGCGGTTTGCCTCTCGCTATTTAGTTATTAGCTGTGCATTTCCGACATCTCGGGTTCATTTCTCATACCTCGTCGTTCGGGAAAATGTACTTTCCATCCTTGTACGCTGTCGGGGGTCCGGATCAGCCATCACATAATCACCCACCCAGGGTACTCCGACTGACCATGATAGGTTCTTCCAAATTCTTGACGGTATGCATACATCGACTCCGCGACGCTGGTTGTTAAGCTCTCCCTATCTCTGGTGTTAGCATTTGATCGGTCCCTGGTGTGCACACTCGAGGCTTACACATCACTTCCCAGGGCGGAGTCACTGTCGAATTCCTGTTTTGGGGGATATCAGAATGGGCTTTGCCTTTTCCTGTTTCTGAAGGACATACATCAGCTTCAAGCTCCTGTTCCTCGGCCATAGCTCCAAGTGGAGGAATGACTCCGGGAGGAGGCGGCGCAATGCCCTGATACTCCGCCGCTGTCGACTCTTCGCCTCGCGCAGACGAAGAGCCATTCGCGGAGTCATCTGTTGCGAAGGCGTTGGCTTGCTGAGCGCCTGGCTGCGCGCTGAAACTCGGAGGCTATGAACGACTATCAATGCCTAGTCCGGGAGCAGTTTGAAGATACGCAGCTTGCCTCGATATCCATGCTGTCGCCTACATGGTGAGCAGTCTGTTGAACGCTGGCCTCGGGTGTAGATGTCTCGATGCCCTCATCATTAAGCCTTTGCCTGGATTGCCTCTCCGGGACATCTGCTGCGTCTGGTTTCGCAGGGTAAGCACCCTGATTTAAACCTTCGCGATCGGCCATCGTAGATGATCTAGTCGGCACGGACGCTCGAAATTGTGGCACCCTGACCGGAAACAACGCCGACGATGGTCAAGTTTGGCAAGCAGACGATACACGTAAGCTGAACTGTATCGAAGTATCCAGGCGTCAGTCGACCGGAGGATTCGATTGCAAAATGGCACATATATATCTAACAGCGCAAAATGATGTGTGTCCAACCGGCGACATTCATGTGCGCACACTCATGCTAACAGCCACACTCGTCCGATAATCTAATCAGAAGGTGTGTACTACAGAGTGCTATGACGCCGTCGCTGCCGCACATTGCACTACGGTCACACTGGCGTCGTGTGTATGCGACCCGTTCAAAGGCAAAGGCACTGACCTCGTGGGGAAGACCAATATTCCTATGCGCCCGAATGTGATGAGACGCATGTAATCGAACTATCAACAGTTCACCAGCTGGCAGTCAAACACAGCTGCGCTATATCTGTGACGCTACCTAGTATGATCTGCTGTACGGTGCTGAGCTGTGATACCATTAGTGAAGGGAGTGGGTTGTTGGGGAAATCCTTGCTTCCGACGCCGCCCAACGCACGACGCCTAGGCAGTCGATCCGCGATCCGGGAGGGATTACGCGATAGCCCCGCCGGACCCCATTAGGCAAGCCTCAAACACAATCAATTTGGACAGGTCGTGAAAGAACACGACAGCAGCGTGAAAGAGGGACACAAGGGACGGAATCAACCTGGAGCGAATGAGCATGACACGTCCGTCATGCGGAACGCGTTCTCACCATTTGTTCGAACTCTGTTTCTGCGAACAGGTGGGTGGGTGTACAGTTCCAGGATTCAAGCACTCCAGGGCTGGATGTTGATGAAAACCGAATCACCCCACTCGAGTGAAGCTGGAGTTCAGGGATGCCAGGTGGGGAGAAGAGCATTCAACCCCACTGAATGATTATTGTCATCAGGATCCATACAGTACATTATTTCCAAGGTTGTTTCCAATGCTCTTTAGAGCGCGTTGCGCTGAGATACTGTGCCTGGACAGCCATTGTAAATCATTTCCTCTGTGAGCCCCCGAGTTTCGCCATACCGGAGACAACGGACGGACGCCTGCACGGGCACCTCTGACGAAACGGCGACAAAACGTGGGCATCGGGAGATCTTGCTCGTCCGCTTATCATGTTCTTTGTCTCGCATCGTTGTTATCACGCTCCGGTCCTTGTTGATCATCGGCAAGTCGCTCTGACCACGTTCTGCATCCACATGTTTACTAGAGGCCGAGCCGATCCGCGCATAGGAGTCCTTATCTGGTTGAGACTCCAAAGCACATATCACATTCAGACTCTTCCAAGATTTCCAGGTTATCATCAGTGGCATCCCATGTCTTTGTCCATGCCCAGTTCTGCTCTGCGCGAGGGATGTGGCTGTCCATCATGCATGACGAACGCCGCAGATGAGCAGCACGTGCAGGTTGACTCTAATTGCTGTGTCCACCACGGGCACGCCGCGCGTTGGTGTGAAAGAAAACAACCCTGTTCATGCAGTGCAGTACAGTGCAGTACATGTAGTGGAGCTTCGGCTCAACGTGAGAATAATTTCCCAAGTCTACAACAACGAAGACTTTATTGGATCGAATCGATGCTTGATCCTCTTTCGTCTCGTTGAATGTCCATCTCGGCGTCAAAAGAAGGAATGCGTAAGATTATGTTCATTGCATTCAGCAGGTAACGGAGAATGTGAGGCTGGAAATTCCACCCGAAGGTCGCTTGCTGGACGCCCGGGCGGTTTCACGGATGTCATCCCCATCCATCGTCCCACTACCGAGCGAGCACACTGACGCGCTGCCGACAGTTGTTGGGCAAGTCATCGGCTAGGTGTGTGATGGTCAGAGCCGTATAGCAGCGTGCTAATTACGTATCGGCATCGTGTCTGGGTTATCCATGCTGCAAGACAACTTGGACGAGGAATTTTCATCTCGGAACAGCGACAGGGCTGGTTCTCGTGCAAATAATAACTCTCCAACGGATCCTGGAAACCTGCTGGATCATCAGTGTATCATCATCACGACTTCTCCGACAGACTTTCGGAAATTTTGGGCAACTCGAGCCAAGGAAGGGTCGGCGGGTCAGTGGAAGGGCGGGAATGGGCGCCGTCGGCCAAGTTGCATGCAACTACTGTGATGACGGGTAGACAATGCGAGTCCGGCGATATCGAAAGCGTGAAATTCCCGTTGACGGCAACCCACCCACACGAATTGCTTCCGGAGGCTAGAATCTTTTTGTTCAAGGCGGATTGGACTAGTCCTCGGTACTGCGGCGCGGTCGTGTCTATTCGTGCTATTGGAGTGCTATCGAAGTGGCCAACAGGGTGATGGAAGCATCGTCCGAATGATGGATGACACGTACAGACAGCATGTGCCGTGTCGGTGCTGTACATACTGTGCTGCGCTGCGCTCATATACACACCCTCAATTGCACATCCACTTTCCCGTAGAGTTCACCAGTGGCAGAAAGAAGTAATGTGTGATGAAAGCTAGAAGACCAGGATCTTTGAAGGTGTAGGCTAATGTATCGCCCTGTCACATATCGTGGCCTTTGGACCTGTCCACTGCTGTACCTATGCTCCCTCGCATCACACATTTCTGATGCGACGTCGACGGCCTCGGAGACCTTCCCACTCATGAACATAACCGGGCACCTTCCCTGCACCTCTCATCCTTCTTTGTGCGGTAGTCGACGTGCGAGGATGACAAGTGGATCCTGACTGCATTGTCCATCCTGCATACCTTGTCTCCCCCTCCACTGTCGTGATTCTCATTATATTAACTACTGCCTCGGACGACCCAGCGCTCTGGAACCTGACAACACATCGCCTGCTCCTCGATCATTTCAGCAATCCCTCGCACACCGTCGTTATCGAGACGCGCGTGTGCGAAAACTGACCGGGATTGCACCCCCGACCGCCTACTGTGTTGCACCGGCTGATCGCATGACTTCGGGTTGGGCGTTCCAATGCTCTCAACGGTCCTTCTCGTCAGCTTGGCCTTTGTGGCCATCTACGTCGTGCGTGCGACTTCGCGAAACAATGCACTGAAGCAGTTTGGTGGCCATTGGTCAGCTGGCTGGTCACGGATATGGCTCCTCCGCACGCAGGGCAGCGGAGAGATGAACTTGCGCTTCACGGCCTTGAACCGAAAATATGGTAAGTCGCAATGATCTCGCTGGAATTGCGCCGGCTGCGTGTGCGATCAGACCTGTACACGGCGAATTTTCAAATTACATCGGTGTGAATTAGAGAGAGCATCGTGGTTGATTTAAGGCACAGGATCAACGGCACGGATTGGCCCTCGTATGTTGGTGACGGCGGACCCTGAGCTGTTCAGGCGAATGAATGCAGTGAGATCTTCCTTCACTCGCGGACAATGGTACAGAGCACTCAAGCTCCATCCGGAACGCGACAACATCACATCCTATATTGACGAAGAGAAACATGATCATATCCGCAACCGCATGGCCCCGGGCTACTCCGGCAAAGAGAACAAACACCTCGAAAGTGAAATCGACTCCAAACTGCTGAAATTCTTCGACCTCATCAACGAGAAATACCTCGCGCAACCCGCATCCGGCGCATACAAATCTCTCGATCTCGCGAGAATCACCACGTATTTCACCCTCGATGTCATCTCCACGATCGCCTTTGGCCAAACATTCGGCTTTCTGGACAACGATGAGGATCCTTTCGGCTACCTGGAAAACCTGGCGCAGATGCTCCCCGCCATCATCGTCTTCGGCGTCTACTCCGAACTGACCCGACTTACGAACATTTCGTTCATCAAGGCCGCGATGCCCAGCTCGACCGATAAGCGAGGTCTCGGGCGCGTCATGGGCTTCGCCGCCGAGCGCGTCCGAGAGCGCTTCGGCAACGCCCCCATCGTACGGCAGGACATGTTGGGCTCATTCATCAAAAAGGGTCTCGGCATGGAGGAGCTCGAGAGCGAGACCTTGACGCAAATTACCGCCGGATCCGACAGCACCGCTTCGGCCCTACGGCTGGCCATTCATTATATTTCCACCTCCCCGCCCGTGCTCGACCGTGTCCTCGCCGAAATGCGCGCGGGCATCAGAGCGAAGAAGATCAGCCGACCCGTGATCAAGGACTCCGAGGCGCGCCAACTACCATATCTCCAGGCATGCATCAAGGAAACCTTTCGCCTTTCGCCTCCCGTCACCGGTCTTCTAGCCAAGGAAGTCCCGGCAGGCGGCGTGGACATCGACGTCGACGGCGTCAAGAAGTTCGCTCCCGGTGGCACGCAGATCGGCTGGAACTCCTGGGGAATGATGCGCGACGCGAAGACCTTCGGGCCGGATGTGGAGGTCTTCCGGCCGGAGCGCTGGCTAGCTGTGGACAGCAGTCAGGCGGAGAAAGATCGAGTGACCAAGATGACCGACGTGGTCGGTCTCGCGTTCGGCTATGGACGGTTCGGCTGTCTCGGGCGTGGAATTGCTACGATGGAGCTGAACAAAGCCATCGTCGAGGTGAGTGAATTTTTTCCCAAAGCCGTCCCATGATACAACAACCTTGTTGTCTTTATCTCTGACCCCCGTCTCTCGTCACAGTCACTGTTCCGCTTCAATTTCCAGCCGTGCAACCTCTCGCACCCGTTCCGCGAGGTGGTCGTCGGCTTCACGATACATCATGACATGAATTACGTTATCACGGAGAGAAAGGACGTTGAGGCCCAGGATTACCTGTTCGCCAATGGTGCACACCTGGACGCCGGTGCCCTCGCTGGCGCATATGAAGCGTGATCGTTTCGCCCGAGCAAGGAGGCATATTTCCGGGCGTTCTGTATTTATGAGATTCAGCGTAGCAGTATAAACTTAGCACGACTTTTGCACCGCAAACATCCGACGTTCTCTCACCCCGTTCGCTTCAGAGGCATATCAGGCTCATCTCAATTTCGACGATCGAACATGATGTTACGTCGAAGAATTTCTCATTGCCGTCTAAAAATAATCTACATCTAGCGCGCCTATATTCCAAGCGGTGCTCATGCCGTAAACAAGTGGATGAGGGCGTTCGTCAACCGGGTGAATTAATCGAATCGCCCATTGCACACACTTGAAAGCAAATCTAGGTCTAGCATAATCAAAACAACATTCCAACCATGACCGCATACTCAAAGCTTGGAGCGGTGAGCCTCGTTGCTCTTGGCGAGCTTGTCGGCCTCGCCAAAAGGCTTGTCGGCGCCGGCGCTGCCGGGCTTGCTGCTCTTCTTGGGAGCACTGTGGTATCCTCCACGAACGTTGTCGGTGTTGAGCACCTTGCCGGTCTCATCGCGCACAAGACCGAGCTCCATCAGCTTCTCGAAGACAGCGGCGAAGTCCTCGAAGAATTTGTTCTTGTCCTTGGCGTAAGTCTCCACCCATTTGCGGAATTTGTCATCGGAGAGGAGGGCGAGGTCGGTGGGCAGCATCATGAGCTCTTCGTCGGCATCCTCGTCGTAGTAGACGAATTGCTTGTTGCCGTTCTTCAGGACCTTCTCCTTCCATGTCCTGCTGAGCATGAGGTTGAAGTAGGTGTTGCTGAAGCGGGTGGGGTTGTTCACCCAGGCACCTTCGAAACCGGATCGATCTGAGTGGCATCGGCCAAGGTTGTGGGCGCCGGAGAGAGCGACGATCTCCTGGTCGTTGAAACCCATGCGGTAGAAGATGTTACGCAAGTGGTCGTTTCCTTGCGCAGCGTCGGGCAGACGACCGCGAGGAGGGAGCTTACTGTCGTCGACGTAGTCCGTTCGGCCAGGCTGCCATTTGATCTCTGGTCCTCCCATCTCTTTAATCGCAACCACACCGGCCAGGGTCCACAGGTCGGCGTAGGTCGCATCGGGGTACTTGGACTTGATGGGCTCAAGGAAGACTCGGGCGTGTTGAAGACCAGCGTTGGCCGGGTCACCACCTTCGGCTTCGTATCGCATACCAGCACCGTTCGAGCCGCCAGTGTCTGACTCGGCATCGTATGTGCCTGCTGAGTGCCATGCTAGTCGCACGAGGACGGGACCAGCAGAGCCATCATCGTATTCGGGTTGGTGAAGCAGAGACGCGATGTCCTTGCGGACGGCGGACCAGTCAATGTTCTTAGTCATGTTGATATGCCTGTGATGAGAGAGGTAGATGGGATGGGGCAAGAAGTGTGGTGTCAATCAGAGACGATATATTATATTTTGCGATAGCACCATGATAGAATTTCCGTTATACTTTGCCACGCCCAAGGGCCAACCATCGATGGGCAGGCCGCAGCATCAGCCGACTATCGGCCGACATGGTGTCAAAAGGTTTATCGACAGCCTCGGTAGAAGCGATGGGCGATGGTCCTATCAAGGCGTCGGTGTTGGAGCTGACGAAATCCTAGTCTGCGACCGACATTTGGCTGCCGGATCACGAAAGAAGTTCGGAGACGGTTGACGCCTATGACTTTACACTAACAGGAACAGGCTTAGTGCTTCATGCGCCGCCATCTTACCGCGGATCATAGATTGACGGGTCGATCACCGGCTGTCACTTTCACGTGCAAGGATCTTATTTTTCTACAGTACTGTAATGACATGTAATAAGTCTACTTGTACAATCGTGCATGTACTGTACATGACATCAAGCAATGGTGATGAATGAGACCCGTAGACGTTTATATGGTCTCTCCATCATGTGTACTTTCCCCATTTCCGAGGAGACTGGCGGGCAGGGGCATGGACAAGCGGTGTCACAATGCGTACTGCACCTGAGTTGTCCATAGCAAGCAACACCTGCGCTCACGATCAGGTCAGGAAGAGACACAATGGTTGATCAAGGGGAGACGAGCGATGTAATCGTCCACATGATATGTAGTGCCGTCTCGGTGAGCGGGATGCTGTTCGATCGCCCGCCCGGGAGTCATGAGCTCTTAGGGTTGGGGTTGAGGTTGGCATTGACTGCTCATCACACTCAACTAAGACTGCAGTTTGTGAACATGCAAGACACATCCGCTATGGGCGAATTACATGTAGTGGCCCGGAGAGCCTGTGAACATGTCCATCTTGTGGCAAAGAGTGCCGTAATGCGCTATCTTGAGGGCCACGCAGACTCACGATCGACAGGCAACTGCGGATACTTGATCTAGTGCTCCACACGGTGGCGTTCCACAAAAACGTTTGACATGACCAATGAGTAATGAAATACAACGACAACAATCGATTTCATCAGGATCATCTATATTTCGAACAATGTCATGGCTCATTAGGACAAGTCGAATCCTGCTCCACTATTGATAGCAGCCAACAGCTTGGCACGGAGTGTGCTCTCTGATTTGTACACTGGTAATTTCAACAAATTCACACAAGTGCTTGTTGTCGGGAACCTGTTCTCGTCACTTCCAGAATCCCGAATGCTGAACAAGGGCTTCAAATGGCTGAACCCAAGCAGCGGTCCGCGTGGTGTCGACGTCACGAACTTCAAGACCTTCCGGCGGTCTTCGTCTGCGATGTCATGCATGACGCGCCAGAACATCTGCACACTCGGATGCTCCAATCCGTCATCCCCGATCACATAGGTGCCGCCGTACGCAGTGTTTCGCCGGAGATCTTCAACATCGATGCCCGCCGACGCACCTCCGATCAAAGTCTGCAACTCCGTCTGGTTGAACATGGACAACCATGAAGGCTGTATCATCATACTGAGACCGCGGAGGAAAGCATTGGTCTGGCGCCAGCTTTGTCGTTGAAGCTTGTACCTGCTGAGGTAGTTGATGTATGCCAGACGATTCTCATTGGTGACAGCAATGTCGGCGCCTCTGTCGATTAGCTCTGTTTGAATGACCCGCTGTTTCCCTGGAGGCCCTACAGTGTCATCCACTGCAAACACAACGCCGACGTCTTCGGCATTTTCAGCATTCTTCAATGCTAGAAGACCTCGGTAGAGATCTTCGTCCAGCTCTCGTAGGTCGTTGATACTCGCTCGATATCCAGACTCCATGGACGCGCTGCCCGTACCGCCAGTCAATGCCCATTTCTTCAAGAAGAATCCAGCAAAAGTAACATCCATCAATATACCTTCGTACAGACACTTCCCAATGACACGGCCCAGGAAGTCATATTGCTTCAGCAATTCCCTCTGCATTTCTCGCGCTGTCGTTGGAGCCTCTGCTGAACCACGAGGATTGGCCCCAACCTGTTGACTGAACCGCAGATTGATCTCCTCCATGGCCACCGGATTCGGATACAGGAGATGCTTGTCATTCTCCACGAAATACTTCTCAGCTGTCTCAGAGGTCTGGTTGAAAGCTTGTGTGATCACGCTTGTGAGAAACTCCTTTGTCACGCCTCCGCCGTCGATACCTGCTTCTGGCATGCCGAAAGCATCAACGAACGTGATCATGATCGGCTCTTTCAAAGCGGCGCCTAGATCATAGAAAGAATGATACGCGTCTTGGAATTCTTGTTCTCGTTTGATGGTAGCATGGTGCTTTGCCAGCATATCCTGAGGAGCAGTCCCGATAGGCGTCTGCATCAGCATGCTTTGACGCCACATATCCGGATCGACAAACCCATTGCGTCGTTTCTCCTGGTCTAGGGTTACAAATTGACGAAAGATTTGTACTCGCATATTAAACGGTATAAAGAATGGCATGTTCTGCAAAATTTCCAGTCGAGGCGCAACAGACTCCAGGTATCGTTTCCGACTGGCTTTCCGCTGGGCGCGCTCTCTCGCATCCTGGTTGCGAAGCGCACGAGCGCGGCTGTCGTGAGGACGGCCATTGTTCGCATGGTCATCAAATAGATCCGAGTCATCATCCGAATCACCATTGTCTTCGTTGTCTTCCTGTTCTTGCACCATATGCCGTTTCTCCTCCTCAGAAACTACGCCTGGGATAAATGACTGCATATCAAATCGATCAGTCATCAACCAATGGTCTTTCGGAAGGAATTGGCGTCTTGAATCTCGTTCGTACAAGGCGCGTAGCAGGCCCGTGACAAGTCCCTTGAGGTACACGATCGTCAAACCAGGTATACTGGCGACCACCAGTGGTTTGATATCCACTTGAACGACGACTGAGGGTCGGGAATTGCGAAAATGATGACCGAGGCCGTGTTTTGCAACGTCAAGTGCAGAGGTCGAACCTGTCTCGTTCAACTCGTCGGCGTTAAAATAGAGAGTGAAGCCCAGATTCTTGAGAAAAGTCACCAATGAGACTATATCGGATACTGCCACCGGGTTCTTTTGCTTCCCATCGGCGTTGCTGCCCATGAACTCTTCATCATCTAGGATCTTGAGGATGAATGTGTAGAGTTCCATGAAAACCAAGATTACGGTCCAGTCATCCTTGAGATTGGCGGCCGGACTGGTTGATTTAAGTAGCGGCATAACATTCTTTGTCGTCGTTGCAATCGATGTGAATACACCGGAGTCTTTGGCAATAGACCAAAGGTATTGTGTAGCTGGGACTCCAGTAGAACTAGAAGGTCCACGATAAAGCCACATTCGGATGTCATCGGCCTTGCGTGGAAAGCACCTCAGGAGCGTGAGAGCATAGCTCGCCAGAACCTGAGCGAAGGATCCATCACCCTTTGTGCTCTCGTTGACGATTAAGTTGCGGACAGACTGCTGGTCGACTAGTGCACTGATGTTTTCATGGAGGTATGTATTCAAAGGTATGCCGGTCGTTAGGTCTGCAATCTCGCGACCAAAGATGGAGTTGTCCACTTTGATAGGCTGTCCCTCAAAGTCCACATCGTCCGCCAGCGAGCCAAGCAAGCGTGCGATGATGCTGGTGAATTTGACATCGCTTGATCGACCTGTTACGTATATCATGTTGCCTAGGAGCCACAGTCTCGCGTGAACGTCCATTTTGTCCAATGAGACTGCGCCCAGTAGAGCACGAGACAGCTCTAGCGCATCGATCGACGATTTCAACAGGCTTAACATCTCGGTGTCCAGTGGCCTTGACAACAGAATAGACAATCCAGCATATGCATCACCAGATCCTTCAAGTGGTGCCAGGATCGCGCCCTGCAACGGATCCAGCGGAAGGTTCTTCTCAAGGAGACCGGTCAAGGTCAGATAATATTCCAAGGCGTCGGCGCCGGTAAACCGGACATGCTGAGCGGCGTAAGCTAATATACACAGGAGAGTTCGATCAGAGTCGTTGTCGCGTGACACCTTGAGCGCAGCCAGACAGGCCGCTTGCAAACTTCTGTATGCCGCAGGCCATGGCGACTCTGGTCCTAATGCGATCTGAGTAGTAGATTGACGTGTACCGTACCAAATCAGCCTTTCCACATCCTTGCTCTCATGTCCAGGATTGTAGAAAAGCAAGAGGCGGCGTAGTTGTTGTAGCGACTGCTCCTCAGTTGGATATGCTCCATTCTCCTGCTCTTCCTTTCGATCCCAAATATCTCGCCACAATCCGAACGTCCTTCTCCGCGACTGGTGACCTCGCCATGTTCTCTGTATCCGGGACGATGCTTGTATTCGTTCTCTTCGCTGCTGGCGCAAGATCCTGTCCTGTTGGGCGGAGGCTACCGCTTGCTGAGCTCCGCTATTTATTGACGACGCAAATGGGTTCGATGATTTGCCGGAGAGATTCACTTGTCGTGGCCTTCGACCATTGCCGCTAAAGGTCTGATACATCCTGCTCTGTGGCCTATAGTGTTGGGGCGTTTGTGGCGAGCATCCCAGGCACGACAGGCAAGTTTTTAAGGTGAGAGGCCAGGCTCCGTCTGTCGCATATGGCTAACAAGCGATCTCCTGGAGCCTAGTGGAGCACTTTCGTGCTAGGAATGGAGCAATGATATGGTCCCAGAAGGCAGACGCTCAAGATCATCACACACTGTAGATTGTAGATGCAGGCAGATAGATCGCCCAGCTTACGACATCATTGTCCCGCGTAAATGTGCTGACGCACTCGCGCTGTAGAACTTTCCAGCCCTAGCCAGATCTTCGGTGTGTCTCCGAGTCAGGCATTCGTCGCGCCCCTCAATTGGGCGTGTACTCATGAATCGCATCACTACAAGAGCGTTTTCCACCCGTAATTGGCCAGCTCGCTTGCGGGAAAGCCTAGTGGTTCGGACCTGGTGATCGTGGGAAGGTTATCGGCATTTAACATTGACCATAGATTCGGTCACGAGACCTGACGCGACGCTCCTGAATTCATCGAGTTCGAGGAGATAGCAGATATCAGCTAGATGTGCGATAAATAGTCGTGCGCCCGCACAATGAATGGCGAGAGATAGGATCGAGTACCACCGACTCTCGGAAATGCAGGGCAGCTCAAGCGATGCGCGCGACGCGCGACAATTTTCATTGTACGAAGATGAGCCGAGAAGCCACGGCCAGAATGACAAGACGGGAGCAAATGTGCACACACTTTCCACCGACATTGAGCAGGCTACAGAGCACGACCACATCGAATCACTCGAAAATCAGCTCTCCGAAGAACCACAAAGCTACCGCGTATATCGGAGCCGATGGTTCGGACTTGCACAGCTGGGGCTCCTGAATATCGTCATCAGTTGGGACTGGCTCACTTTTGCAGCTGTTTCTAGCACCTCTGCTCAGTTCTTCGGCGTATCAGAGAGTGGGATCAGCTGGCTCAGTACTGGATTTCTGTTTGCTTTCCTTGTCGCTGCTCCCGCGACAATCTGGGTATTGAATCGTCACGGACCCAAAACCTCGATTCTCGTGGCAAGCGGCCTTACCTTCGTAGGCGCTTGGATCCGATATGCCGGGGTCAGAGCAGCTACTCCATCCTTAGGTGCCGTCGTCTTTGGGCAGATTCTTATTGGGTTCGCTCAACCTTTTGTTCTTGCAGCACCCACGAGATACAGCAATCTCTGGTTTAGCGACAGTGGTCGGGTGTCGGCCACAGCACTGGCTTCATTGGCAAATCCATTCGGAGGTGCCCTGGGCCAACTCATTGGTCCCTTCTTGGTGACCGACACATCAGGACTTCCCAACTTGGTGCTGCTCACAGCCATCATATCCACCGTGGCTGCTTTACCCGCTGCTTTCATACCAAAAGCGCCCCCTACGCCGCCATCGTCGATTGCAGCTGCTCCAAAGCTGGACCTCTTGCAGGCATTGCATCAATTGCCAAAGAACACAGCTTTTTGGCTGATCTTTGTTCCATTCTCGGTGCTCGTCGGATTTTTCAATGCGACTTCCAGCCTCTTGGTGCCCATCCTGGAGCCATATGGCTTTGACGAGACCGACTCTGGAATTGCCGGTGGTGTCTTGATCCTGGTCGGTCTTGTGGCAGCCGCCATCATTTCGCCAATAGTCGACCGAACCAAGTCGTATTTGATTACAGTAAAGGTGCTAGTACCTTTCGTCGCGATTTCTTACATTATCCTTATCTTTATGCCTGCGACACGATCTATCGCAGGTGTATACATTACCTGTGCTCTCGTCGGAGGCACATCTTTCAGCTTGCTTCCTTGCGCGCTCGAGCTTCTGACATTAGTCACATATCCTGTCTCGCCCGAGGTCTCTAGCACAATCGCATGGACAGGTGGACAAGTACTGGGTGGTATTTTCATCATTGCTATGACAGCGTTGCGCTCCTCTATTGAATCGGATGGTCAGCCAGACGGGAACATGACCCGAGCCCTCATATTCCAGGCAGTCATCGCATGCGTGGCAGTGCCATTTGTGTGGTTTCTCCGAAAGGCACATCTACGAGCCATTCCAGTATTGCCATGACAGAGCCGGAGGGGTAGAGCCTGCATGTGTAAAATCTACATATTGAAAATATACATCACATTATCAACCGTTCGTATCGGCACACTAGTTGGTTCAAAATTCGTTACTAATCGATTTGCCTACCCATCAACTTTTCAAAGCTGCCGCAAACTCCTTCACCGTCTCGAGAAAGCTCTGGTCCGCAACGAAGCCCAGCTCACGGGCCTTAGTATCATCCAAGGCCGGCGGCCAGCTATGCAGAATGGCAGAGATCTCCGGGCTCGGCGTCGTGCGCTTGACGAGATCGGTGGCATCGCTTCCTCCCACCTCACCTAGCGCAGAAAGCATCTCCTTGGACGTGACGGTGATCCCGGGTAATTGAATCTGTCGGATATGCGACGGGAGACAATCTCGAGGCAACGTGAGGACATGAATAAGGTTCTTGGCCAGGGTGGTCGGCGAGGAGATCCACACTCGGAAATCGTCGTCAACGGGTAATTCGCTCTCTAGGCCCTGCAGAGGCTCGCGAATGATGCCGCTGACCCAATTGCTCGCGGCCTGCGTCGCTTTGCCCGCCCGAGGCGAGATGGTGGGGAGCCGCAACGTGAAGCCGTTGATGAAGCCTCGTCGTGTGTAGTCATTGATGGCGAGTTCTACTATAGCCTTCTGGATACCGTAGCAGCTCTGTGGGGTGGGATATGTTGTCTCGTTCGGTAGTTCCGGAAGAGGTTGTCCGAAGATGGCCACGCTCGAGCTGAAGATCAATCTGACACCAGGGCACACTCGGCGGATAGCATCGAGAAGTTTGAGGTTACTGTATAGATTGACTTGGTATCCCAGATCAAAGTTTGCTTCGCTGCCAGCCGACATGATTCCGTGGAAGGCATAGATTGCGTTAAGGTCTCTGAAAAGCACTGCCTCGGGAGATGCGAATATGTCAACCTCCAAACAATGAGCATTTTCGCGATGCTTGGCTTTTGTTGGGACAGGCGGTTCCACGATGTCGGCAAGGACAACTTCAATGCCGTCTTGTTCTAAGAGATGTGTTGCGAGCAGCTGGCCTATGAAGCCGCCTGCGCCCGTGATTAATATCTTCATATCGTGTACAGGACTAAAGCCTGCCGAAATTCAATTGCAAGATACGGATTCTTGTTTACTACCGGGTATGTTCGTCAACGATTGAGGACATTCACATTCACGAACAGGATGTCGGCGAAGCTCTTTCCGCGAGCTGCGAGCTTAAAGTGACGTAGTAGAGCTGTATCGCTACCTAAGGTTGCACGTGATTTTAAGACTGCTGAAGACCATGTAGATACACCACCAGTCTGGCTTCTTCTGACTCCGAATGTGCATTTGGTACCATCATCATGAAGCTGTCATACTTCATAATCAGGCCTCCGTGAGCAGCTATGAAAGAAGCCGACCATTTCTGATCGTGCCAAAGCGAATCAGGCAACTGCTGCGCAGCAGTGCGAACGATGTCGTAAAGTCCTTGAGCGTGCTCCATTTCTTCCGCATCGACCTTGATATCTGTCAGATACTCGGGGTTTGGAGACTGCGTCCACCCATCGAGCGAGAGATGGCAAAGAAGTAGTGCTAACACATCTTCTTCCCAGCCAGCTTGTCGTAATTGCAAGACATGATCAGTCCCAGCGCTTTGAGCAATGCCAGCCAGAAATCCATCCATCCGTCCCACATGTTTAGACTTTCCAGCGATTGTTAAAATTTCTTCCAACGTCAGCAACATCCCTCTCCCACGGGAAAATTGCATTTCAGGATTTTGGGGACGAAAGTCCAATCGTAGGAAATCTCGACAGCCATTGATGATTGAATCGAGGATTTGAACCTGACTGTCTCGATATGTTTTTGCTTGAATTTGCTTGTGATTTGTTGGCGATGACAATTCGGCAGACCTCAATTTGGCCAGCTTCGGTGTCAATGACTGCACAATGGCACGGAGCAGGTGCGGTTGGTATCGACTGCCGACACTGTCTGTAGACGTGAGATACGCGACAGGATGCTGTATGAATGTAAAGAGCAGTCCACGTTCGTGACGAAGGATGTAAAGCAGGAACTCAATTAACGGCTCTGGCCATTGAGTGTAGATTTTGCTCAGATCTTCTCGATCAAGGACACAACGGCCGATTCCAAAGGTCGCCTTTTCACTGTTCCATACACCATCTTGCGTGAAGTACCCGGAATGTACGGACCGAATGTCCCTTTGAAGCTCAGGTGTGGGCTGTTTCAAGGTCAACAATACCTTGTCGAAAGGGTTGTTCAACAAACAGAACCCATAGCCGAGCAGCAATTCATCATTACCCTTCGGACCATAATTGTTGTATATCTGAGACCCTGCAGTGACGGAACCGGCGAGCGCGATGCTGAAAACTCCCGGGTCATACGTCCAATCCATGTTGGCATCGGGCAGATGGTTGGGAATATCTACAATTGGAAAGAGTACAGGAAAGTCCAGGTCAACAGTAGAGACACGCGACATATCCATGAGGACTGTCTGACGACGGCCATCGGAGTCATGTTTGTGCGCGGCCCAGTACTTGCTGGCCTCAGGGTGAAGAGCGCGAGATGAGAAGGACCGAGACGTGAATATAGTGACGGCCCACAGGAAAAGCGGCCTGACAGATGGAATCAAAAACAGAAATCGCACCTACCTTGGAATGAACTTACCAAGTATACGGCGTTGTATCTACCCCAGCTCGTTGCAGCACTTCTAAGCCTTGCTCATAGTTGGCTCGCTGGGCGGCTTGACGAGCCAGCGTGGTGTGGTAGACATCTGTGTCGGCCAGCCATGCGAGATCCTCGTTATCAAACCAGAACGGCGTCGAGTGAGCATGCGCTGGAGATGGCAGCGTCTCGAGATAAGGTTTCCAAAACGATGTGTCCTTTGTGATGTATTGATGTATAAGATAGAAATGACCGATCGCCTCGACAGGGATGCCTCGGTTGCGAAAGGCGATCAATTCATCGTCGACCAAGGCATTCAGGCTGGATAGAGCAAGTGCGTGAGGCACTGAGCATAAAGAGGTATCCGCCGCCAAGTCTGTGCTCGCACGACAGTGCACGCCAGACTGCTCATCGTACGCGAGAGCAATGTCGGGATGGATGCGGCCGCCGTTGCGGGTCAGCCACGCTCGTAACACGTCGAGTCTTTGCTCGATGGAAGCCATGGGAGAAAGACTGTTGCCACGGTGAGGGACAAAGAAGAAAAAAAGAGGTAAGTTGTTGTTATGTGTACAGACAGGTCTGAGTGTGGAAATGCGGAAAGAGGGATGATTACTGCGTGGCTCGAAATGCCGAAGTCAACCGTGGAACGCTGCCTGCCTGCTGATGGAAAGGGTTTATTTGTTTACTAAAGACAACAATGACGAAAGAACTCGAGATCTGTGAAGATTTCCCCATGGCTGCAGGTACGCTGCGCTGCATTCACCCCTCACAGTACAGTAACAGTGACTACCTACCTAGGTACTGTGCACACCACACGTGCGTGTTGAGTGACAGGAGGAATGGCTTATCATGCAGGCAGCATGTGCCATTGCCTCTCACCTATTCATCACCACTCTGATATGGTATTTACCTAGGTACTACGGTGCTGTGTTGTAGACATTGATTAATGAATGATACTGTAATAACACCCAATGATATCATTATTTTGAACAAGGGAACCAGTCAAATATCTCCATCGCCGAACAAAGAAATACAAAAATGATTTCCACCCATCAGCGGCCGGGGCGAGTCCTCCGTGGCTCACGTCCGAGCTAATAAATTGCTGCGTTGTATGTCCCACGCGTGTGCACTGATGTACCACGCGTTAGGACAAGGTTCACTCACCACCACCACCACCTGGACCTGGCCATCATCAATGAAATTCCCGTTGCCAGGGCCGAGCGCCCCGCAATCCAAATCCAAACACACGTCCGAACAACGTGTATACAGCACCGTTATAAACGCGCGCGTGCTTTAAACTTTGATTGCACAACGTGCCGGCAGGCATAATTACACTGATAATCTAACGCTGCAGTACTAGTGCCATACTCTTCACTCTTCCATCGAGACATACATATCATCTCGTCGTTGGCAACATCCAAACTCCTCCTTCTCGTGAGACTCGTGGGCTCCTGGATGTGGGTCCGATAATGAATCGTACCTGCAACGATGCCCGTCCAACCACAAAGCCCAATGGGCATGCAACGTCCGCAACACAAACGGAACCAATCTTCGTCCAAAGCTGCCATCCTGAGAGCAATGCTCGGAGGTCAATCCTCACCGGCACGGAATGACGCAGGCACACACGGCGAACGCGGCCCAGCTGTGTTGGGAGAGCGCAACGGCAATATGCAGTCACCATCTTCGACTCCTTCGAAGGCCAACCCTACAAGGGCTGCACCTTTGAAGAAGTATCCTCGCCTCGATCTTGAAATCCCAAGCGAGAGCGGGTCGATCAGGAAGATGGCCGCTGGACTCTCGACGATCACCACTCCGAGTCGCAACGACAGGAATGTTACGGCCTGGGATAAAGAGAACAACACACCTCCGCCGTCATCGCATGAGCAGACGTCGACACCAATCTGGGCACAGTTTGCCACTACCCAAAAGACGACAATCGCGGACGAAATAGCAAAATATACTCCCACAGACTACAACCCTGGCATGCAGAGGAATTTCAATGGCACACTCGATGCCCCGTCATTACGGCCTCAGCTCGGTCGAAGTGCCACGCGACCTCAGAGCTCAATCTTCTCAGGATCAGAAGGGATCGTGAGTGCTATTGGTCGAAGGGTCAGCAGTGGAAGACAGAGCTCGGAGCATCGATCGTCGGAGGATTCTGGCACGCGAAGGATTTTCGAAAGTCGCAAGGGCAGCGGCAGTAACTCGGATCATGTGCCGCTGCGGGAAAAGTTGAACATCACAAAGCGTGGAGGACGTGTCATGGCTGCTGTGGCAGCGTTGCAAGGCAAAGCAAGATCAGTGTCCGGTGCGAAGCAACAACCTGCTATCGATGCCAAAGCCGTCGATGAAGCCTTTGAGGCTGTGCTCGAAGCGAGAAACATTCCAGAGCCACAACGGCAAAAGATGCGGACATTGACGCTGCGAGTGAAGGCAGACTTCGTCCGACAAGATCAGAGTACCTCCAAGACACCACACACAAGTCCACCGGGCTCAGTGAGTCGAGCATCGCAGGGTCAGCCACTTGCAGCATCGTCGAAAGACTCGATCGTGCAGAGCACACAGGTCGTCGATGACGATGACGCGAAGTCGACCAAACGAACACGGGCCAGGAGTCGCACCTTCACATTTTCCAAGGGTGATCGGACTGGCGAGCGCACACCAGCCAAGAAGCAACGCGGCCATACTCGGGCTTTGTCCTCATTCGTGCCGTCGAAAGAAAGCAAGACTGGCAGCAACCAGCCCATGAGTCCCACTACGCCGAATGGCTCATTAGGACGCAAAGCCGTACCTCCTTCATACCCTGTCGATTACATATCATATATCAAGTCCGCTCAGAATCCCACAAAGACGGAAATCGGAAAACTTCACAAGCTGCGTCTCTTGCTGCGCAATGAGACTGTTGCATGGGTGGACACCTTCATATCGCTCGGAGGCATGGCCGAAATTGTCAAGCTTCTCGACAGGATCATGGCCATCGAGTGGCGCGAAGATCACGAGGATCAACTCCTTCACGAGACGTTACTTTGCTTGAAGGGTCTTTGCACCACTGAACGAGCGATGGTCGAACTGGATGGCTGCGCAGACACCCTATTTCCTAAGCTGCTCGGGATGCTCTTCGACGATGAAAAGAAAGGTCCAGCTGAATACACCACGCGGACGATTATCATCAATGTTCTTTGTATGTATTTTTGATCTCATGTTGAACGAGCCTATGCTAACAAGTACAGTCAATTTTCTATCATCGGCAACGACGAATCGATCACCTTCCGAGCTGCAACACCATGCCCAGAGGATCTTGACGTATCTCGGAGAGCCGGCCACGCCAGAAGATGACCAACCCGTGGATTTCGTTCGAGAAATGCACATCCCTCGACCATACAAGCTTTGGTGTACAGAGGTGACTCATGTGGCCAAGGAAGTATTCTGGATATTTCTTCACAATCTCAACGTCGTACCGCGACCGAAGTCAGCAGGTGGTGCCTCTGAAGCCCAAGACGCTGTCACGCTCGAAAAGCCAAAAGCAGCGCCGATGGCACCATACACAGCTCGCCACTTTCCCGGCTCTCGCCCACCTGTTCCTGCTGCACCATACATCGGCGGAGTTGAATGGGACGCCACAACTTATATGGCGGCACATCTCGATCTGATGAACGGACTGATCGCGTCCCACGAATCACCCGCAAGCCGAAATGCCCTGCGCGAGCAGCTGCGCGCCTGTGGCTTCGAGAAGTTGATGGGCGGTCAGCTCCGTACCTGCAAAGAAAAATTCTATTCGTGCATCCACGACGGCTTGCGCGCCTGGGTAGCTGCCGCCATCGAAGATGGTTGGGAGACAATTTACGTACGAGAGGGTCCATCCGAAGATGAGAGCCCGACGAGAAGTCCGGCCAAGAAGAGGAAGGAGGATGCACCGGCACCCAAACTGGAGGCTTTGCCTGCTTTACTCAGCCCGAAGCTGGACCTCGGTGACGAGGACGGTTGGTTGGGCTGAAACGAATTACGAATCATGCTTGAACTTGCATACGATTGAGCGTGGAGATGAGGTGCACACGAGGCGTTTTTCTATTTGCTTTTCCTTCCTTCGAACTATTTTTGGCGGTGTCCGACACTGGCATAATTTCACGTTTGAGTTTTTATGCCTGATGAGATGACTCGATCGTGTCTCCTTCCATAATCTCTCGCCCATGCCATCTCGTGACAAAGCCTCTATTTTGAGAGAAATATTGTACAGTGAAGCGGCATTATCCTCGCCAGACTTCATTATGATCCAGCCCGTGTTGCAGTCTACACAAGAGCATTGATCGCGCAGCTCGCTCGCATCTGATCAACAGCGGCACTGCTCCCTTATCACCCAGATGAGTTGTCGTGTCCAACGGATCAATTGCTAAGGATGCGGCTCAGCTCCATGCCAATGGATAAGCAGCAGAGAGCGGCGTTCAGCTTGCCGCATTGCACGTAGTCCTGGTAAACCTGTCTGCGCGGATGATGTGAAGCGCGATGAGACCCATACATCTCATGAAGTCTTCCGGCCCTCTCCATCCTCCGACAAATCCGACAGATCCGCCTCAACAGGCAAATTCATACCGACCCTGCGCGCCGAGAGACGCACACGTTCCTCCTCACTCATGTTCATTCCCGGATTGTAGCGCTCAACAAGCGTAGTGTATTGTCGTTGCGCCTGGAGGTAGTTCACATACTGCGAAGCTTCGTCTAATATCTGTTCGATGGTCTTGTGTTCTTGCTGGTGTTGGAGTGATGGCGTGACGATGCTGTTGCTGATGTCGGCGCGGATGTGCTTTTGGATGGGCGAGGGATTGGCTAGGATTGAGGGCGAACGCGCTGGCAGTTCGCGCAGGATGTTGCGGTATAGCGACCGGACGCGGGGAGCGTAGGATGCCATTATCTCCAGGATGCAGCAGGTTGCATGAGGTGATGTTGATGAGTCTAATGTGATCGCGATTTTGCCGACGTTGAAATGATTCTTGTGTCCATTCGCTTGCATGTCGTAAACCCCCGAGAACTTGAGGTCGAGAGCCGCTAGTGCGGAGCTTCAGAAACGTGCGGATGAATTGAACATACTTAGGTATAATGAATATACTCATTAACTCAATCAATTGTATTCATGACAACGCCTATGATTAGATCGGTTTGATCTCACATCGGTCTGCTATCGCTAGGAACACGCGTGAAAAATCGCTACATGAACAGGCGTCTATACACTGTATGCTGCCTTGAGAAGTATTCGTCCTTTCTCGCGTAGCCGTCATGTTTCCAGTGGAAAATGATAGTGGAAAGTCGCGTAGCACTGGGCCGACGGCCGCGAGCACTAGATGGTTTATTAGGTTGCAGAAGATTATCGTGTCTCTCTGCAATTGTTAGAAATCCAGGATTGTTTGCTTGCCCAGTTGTCCATTTATAGTCGGAAACCCTTGACAAACATTAGACGATGCTGCAATACACTCAGTCTTCTGCTTCTGAGGTGTAGAGCTCTACGTTTGAAGTGCAGATTCATATTACGGCATTCTCAAGTGCTCCTTGGCAATGATTGTCACTGAATGAATCGTCATCGGAGCCTGCAACGGTCGCACTACAACACCGATGTTCAACGCAATCATTGCTGCAGCATTGGTGTTCGCCACCAATGCGCCGAGTTGATATGCTGAGTCGACCTGAGTTAAAAGCTTCGTAGGGAGATCGCGTCGTTGGTTTTTGACATAAATATGCCGAATTGATTGCTTCCAAGGTTGTCAACGTCCTCTATGCCCCTCACGCGAAGTCTAGAAGACGAACTGGCAGCGTCGCAGCCATGATTCCAGCAAGCGTGAAGCGTCCTTGTCGAAAAGTGCTATTCTCCACGAACACGTTTTGGGGATCATGCAAAGCATTTCGGTCATGTATCGACTACCATCAACACAGAGGGCTCCATTGCGATACGGACAGCCGTTCGGATCTCCGCCGCCTCAGCCGGCCTCAACTACGTACCTCGCGCTCTTTGGGGGAGTCACGCTCGCTTCTGACTGTATGTACCTGTGGAGAGTTCCTCCAGTCACCACCGTTGATTTCATAATTCTTACGATTCTGACTCGATGGATTGGTCGGCCGTCAGCTTGCCTATCTAGGTAGGCACAGCCGGCTGGAAACGCCGTCGCCTGCATACGTGACGCGGCTGGCCGGGGCAACGACATCTGTAGGGCGCAGAAGCATTCTCGTCCTACTCATGACAAGACGAACATGTATGTGGTTCGCATGCCCTCTTGAGTTGATGATAGCTCTCGATAAGTCTTGGAATACTCAATTACTGGACCAAAGTGTCCAGCACCCAACCACGATCGAGGACATAGCTGATGCTGTTGGTCTGAAAGTATAAACCGTTCGTAATCCGTAACGCGTGTTCACGAAGCAATCTCTGGTACTCGACATGGCGCAGGCAAATCCAAGTTACACACCAGACGAAAGGAGTAGGGGCGTACGATTAAACAAACGAAGTAAGCTACAATAATACAGCTGCAGAAAAATGTTGGTACAGTACTGATCGTGACTTATTAGTCGATTACGATCAGGAGCTCATCCATGGTATCATCAACGAGACACCAATCCTTCACGTCTCCTTCAATGCACCCGTAAAGTCCGGGCCACAATTTCCGACCATTTTACCCATGCTAGGTGTTGTCAGCACTTATAATGACGAAGAACATCCATCGGTCTATCTGCATGGCTCGGGGGTCGCGCGACTCTTCAGGATCACGGCGAACGATGAGGTACCGCTGACAGTGTGCGGGTCACTTCTGGATGGCTACGTTCTCGCTCTTGCTCCTTTCCATAACAGCTGTAATTATCGGTCGGCAGTTGTTTTTGGCTATGGCAGTGTCGTGACTAACGAGGATGAAATCAACTTCGCCTTGCGTGCGATTGTCAACAACTCCAATCCGAACCGATGGGAAAACAGCCGCAGTCCACCAACGAAGGCAGAGCTCAATGCCACTGGAGTTCTCAAAGTGCGGATCGAGACTGCGTCTGCGAAGGTCCGGACGGGAGGACCGCACGATGACAAAGCCGATTTGAGCAATTCCACATTGACTTCCAGTTGCTGGACTGGCGTGATACCGACTTATCAAGTCCTGGGCGAACCCGTTGCGGACGAGGTCAGTCAGGTGAAAGCTGTTCCAGAATATATATCGGATTGGGTGGCGGATACGAATGCGATGAACGAACAAAGAGCCATTGATGCGCTGGACGGTTAGACTAAGATACGCCTCGCACGACGTGGTTTTCGTTTCTCGAGCAGATGCCTATACTCGCTTTTAAACCATGTGCGCTCCCTGTGACGTGCTTTGAAGCTTTTGTGATGCACGACGCCGGCACTTTGGTCCCGAGCAAAGGAGCGAACGTCAGCCACTTCCTGACGATGCCTGCTAGTGCTTTTCATCTGGCCGAACAACATCTCCATCAGCGCCGGCGAGTTTGTTCCTCCAGATTCTTGCAAAATTCTCTCGGCATCCGGAAAAAGTCTGCCCTCAAAGATCTTGTTGGCATGCAGAACATAATGTGGCAAAGTCAAAGTCTGGCGGCGGATAGCTGTTGTGTTGTCACCGCGTGTCGAGTATCCTGGCCCAAACAAGATCCACATGTGCGACACAAATGCTTTTCGTGCTGATGGGAGGGTGTGCAGCCGGAATTGAAGTTCAATCCGACGCAGAAGTATGATCCCTCTCGCCCATGATTCCGGTTGCACAAGGTCGGCAGACGATCGGGAACTAGGTGAGGTGTTTTGAGTTTGCCTCAAAGATCTGCGAGTGACAGGTGCGCGGAATCCCCACACGACCAACGCGGCGAGCATCTGACCAGAGAAAATGACGTGACGATCACGATGCGACTCAGCGATGGTCAAACCGCATCTCGACGCCCAATCGTTGTCCTGAGGATTTCCGTACTTCGAACATAGCCAAATCACGAGTGGTTCCAGATTCTTCCAGTCCCCAATCATGCCGTATCTCTTCAGCATCTCCACCCAGAAGTTAGGCCCGACATTGACTCCGTTGCAAAGTGAGAACATGGCCATGTGCCTCAAGACGCTCAGCAGTTCGGGTCGTCGGCGATCGTGCGAGTGTATGGTCAGTCTTTTGCTTGAATTTCGAACACCCACCATATTTGAGCGGAAGAGCTGGAGGTTGGCAAGGTTGACAGCGATGTGCAACTCGCGCATGCGCCGAACTGTGTCCTCAATCATACTTCCATCACGTCGTATGATGCTATGCGCAAGAACGGCATTCCAAGCGGTCGCGTTTCCTTTGTCATTCATGAAAGAAAGCACAATGAGTGTGAGATGAGCATTCTGCACGTCCGCCTTACTTAGAAATGCGCGCAGAAGAGCGGATTGGACTTTCATATCTTCAAAGGTATCGGGATGCTGGTCACTAAGCAAAAGCGTCTGAAACATGTACTCCAGACCTTCACGAGCTATGTGTTCCATAACACGGGAATAGTTGTTGGTCTGCAGCCCGATTCCTGATTGTTTTAGCTCGTCAATTTTCTCTTGGAATACCAAACAATTCCCGCATCGGATTGCAAGCTGATGAAGAGCCTGCGGTCCAAGTGATTCGATAGCGAGAAAACTGACACCGCTAACCAGAAAGTCAAGCGGAAATGCCCATGTAGCAAGGAGCTTTGCGACGAACGCATCGGTAAATTCTTTCGGCTTGATCCCATGAACATCGCCCACGATGGTAGACATGGATGCACGCGTTAGCGCGGGAAATTGATGATCCTGAGGTCTGGCTATGGCAGGATTAGATCCACCGATGTCTGGCGGTCGAGCCTGTAGAGTTGAGTGTTTATCTTGTTTTGCAAACAGTTCTCGAATCAAAGGAAGAGCGAAGAGCTCGGAACTCGGCAAGTCTCCCCGTGAGGTGAAGAATTTGTGCCAGCTGAGCCTTTGACCAAAATTATGATGGTCGCTCAACATTGGACTCAGGAAAGCGTCATATAGTTTCTGATTTGGGAAGCTTTTGTAGATGTATCGAAACGTTGAAAAGGCGAGTGCGGAATCGTAGCTGAAAACACAATCTTGCGCGAGATCTCGTAAATCGACATTGGAGCAGTCGAAAGCATTAAGCAATTGTTTGTGAGTCACGCGAGCCTTGCGCGGCTCGATGCGTAGCCACAATCCCACCACACAGACATAAATGCCTGGCCAGCGCAATTCCTTTGCCCTTTGTGGTTCCAGCGCGTGGCGGTAGATGGCCTTGAACAACTGCTTATGTTCTGCTCTCGCATCTTTGACAATGACGGCGCGGAACAAGGTAGTCCACAAAGAATCGGCGTCGTGTCCTTGAGTAGGCAACTTGTAACCCTGTCTCTCTCGCTCCGACCACACGTGAAGTACACCCTTAATGCCATGAATTCGACCTTGCTTTTTTAAAGCTTCTGTCCACGCTTTTGGATTCTCCGAAGGGTCGGGTAGCATCAAGGGTAGTTCGATCGGTTCACGCTTGAGGCATTCGCTGATGTTAGTGTGTTCGGGGTGGAGTTGATTGGCGGCCAAATGTAGTCGGTTGTCATTCGGGATAGGCGATGATTGATTGTCACCATGTCGTGGCTGTGTGGCTTCAAGGCCTTCGTCTAGGCAAGCGTTCTGGGTGAAAGTCCTTCGTGATGCTGAACTCTGCAGGTGCTTTGCAAAGCACCGGTACGGCTGACCATTCTTGACAGGCGTAAACGGTATGGTCCGAGGAACGAATGAACGATTTCTGATCAAGTAGAGGGTCGTCGGTCTCCTTAACCAATGTTCAAGCTTCGTGGGCATGCTTCAAGCTGCTCATTGATCTCATTCCTCTGTCAGGTGCCATAACGAACGCGATTGCAATTGGCGCTGTGTCGCACTGCAATGAGCAGATTGACGCAAATGCATTTCTCGATGCAAGCGACTGAACATTCACTGGCAGTTGCGACTATGCTCGCGGCTGTCGCGTGTCGCGCCAAGCAATGATCATAGCTGACCAGCATGTGCGGGAACTTCCGAGCAGCTTCGCCGAAGCCGACACAGCTCAGACTTCATGCGAAGGAGCATTTCCTGTCCACACCATCTACTCTCCACTCTACAAACGTCGAGCACTTCAATATGCGCGCGACACTCATCCGTAGGGCAGGGTAAGGATGTTTCCGCTGAAGACGAGCGTCAATGCCTCCTGGAGACTAACAAACACGACAACCAGACTGCCATCCTTCCCGGGCCTTAACCGACCCAACTCTGTGCCTCACTGGCAGCGACTCCACCAGAACCACGATGGTGTGCGTCAATGGGACAAGGTAGGTGGAGAGTCATGTATGCGGACTTAGCGAAGGAAAAGAGGTGGAGACCGGTCCCACGTCCTGGGAAGAAGAGAAGATCGATCAGGAGACGCGTTACGGCAGTGGCAGAGATATACAATACACGTCGGAATACTTACTGATACGAACTCTCCAGGGCCCACGTGCCAAGTACATGCTCTACCCATACTACGCCCTGCTCATCTCCTGCACTGCTGGTGAGTTATCAATCCGACTTTGAACAATTTTTGAGGCCACCCAAACTGATGGACAACTCCGCAGCCACCCAGTACATGATGATCCGCATGGTCCTCGGACACAAGACCTGGTTCGGTGCGAAATAAATCACTCGCCGACGAACGAGAAGACAAGATGTGTATGAAATGGACGTCAATCGGCGGTGGGTTCTACGTTGCGGACCATGTATATAGAGCACAACCAGTCCAGTGAATCAAGTCTCTTTTGTTGCATTCGATATTGACGTCAAAGCATCAAACACAGCAAGTTTTGTCCAGAGACCTTCTCTCCAATCTACGTTGTCGTCCCGTTACTCTACAGCCGAGGAGGTCGGTGCAGCTGCATCAAAATCACGTGACTCTGTGATAATATATCAGGCACGGTAATTCCTTGCAGTTTGTCGAATATCAATCTGTAAGACAGTGCAAGTATGAAGGGCTCGCCAGAGTACCGCTGGAGACTGAAGGTGAAAATTTCGATGCCCTTGACCATGTCACATTTCGATATATGAACGCCATGACGCTGCAGCTAAATCCAATCAGCCGCCCTCCCCCCAAATTTTACACGATCGGGCTATCTCCGATGTGTTTGAACCCATCTCATCCAGCCCGGCCATTTCTGCCCTTGATCTTTCTTCCGAACTTGGGTCGACACTCGCGGCAATACCAAACCTCCTCCTCGCCAGGTGCTTCTCGAAGTTCCGTGCAACCCAGATGAAACCATTCTCTCGTACAATCGTCATTGTCGCAGGCGACCATCTCTCCATAGGACCCGCGGTTACAGTAGCAATACTTTGGCTCATTTGGATCGTCCGGATCGTGCTCCGAATCCTCTTCCTCATCTTCCGCGTCTGCAACGGGCGGTGGTACCTGTTGAGGGGTCCGCGAGGCAAATTGCGCCGAGCGCTGTTGCCGTGTGGACGGAGGCGCGCCTGGTACAGGAGATACCGTTGTCGGCAAATGGTCATTCGGTGTGGTCGCATCGCGAGAAGTTGCTGCAGGAGAAGAAGAGCGTAACGGGCCTGTGTTACGCCGCGAGATGGGTCGCCGCGTACTTGAGCGACGAGTGCTTCGCTCTATGCTTGCTTCAGCGTCTTTGTTCGGGTCGTTGGCAGATTCTTCGGGCTCCTCAGGCTCGAGCGTTTTCTCTTCATTAGAATCGAGGTCTTCATCCATGTCATCACGGCCGCGGTGTCGATCAAGGTCCGGACTTCGATTGAAAGGCGCCAATTGTTTGACAAGATGGCTATTTGATGCCACGCGCTTGTGCTTACTGGGTATGTTTTGCACAGGCTCCGAGGAGGTACTATCTCGACCTTCGCTACGAATGCTTGGTTTACCGCGCACACTCCGCGTGCGAGTCATGGAGGTATCTGCTAATGGAAAACTCTCTGTCTTAGGTGTGCCGACGGTTGAGCCACGACCACTCTTGTTGCTGTTGCTGTTCGATCCAGATTGTGAAGCAGATGGGCGACGCTCGTCGTTCACGTCTGTCATTGTCACGTCTTCTCGTTGAAGCTTCGCGGCCACTGCCGTGAGCTGTTGCGCAGTCGACTCTGCACTTTCTTTCTTCTCCTGTTCCTTGCTATTTTCCACTGGTTTCCTGCGACCGTTGGTCTTCTCCACAACGTTTCCAGAAATGCCGCTAATGGCAGGATCGGCGTTTCCTGCGCCGCCGACCGCACCCTCATCATTGACGCGCTCATTCACACTGCTGCCCAGCTCTGTCACGCCATTGTTCTTGTGGTTGTTCTCGGGTATATTGATGCTAGCTTGGCTAGTCAAAGCATTCGCGGTCTTCCCAGATGATGATGGTGGGCGGCTATTTGGCCCTTCCTCTTGCAACCTCTCGTGCCGCAAGTTTGTTGTGGCAGCATTGTTGGCGCGAGAGCGAGCACCCGTCTGTTTCGAGGACGCTGAAGTCTCGGGAGTTGGTTGTGTTTGAGATACGACTAAGGGACTGCTCGCCAACATTGGACTTGCTTGTGCGGAGCTCGGAAGTTTGCGCTTGGCTGGGGGTGGTGCTTGCTTGGCCTTGGGTGCTTTCTTGACAGGGACAGAATCCACAGTAGTCGCCGCACGAGGAGGATCGCGCGACGCTTTTGCTCCACGACCAGATGAAGACGCGATTCGCTCCATCCCGACCGCACCAGGAGCTCGTTCAGCGGCCTTTTTCCGCTTCGTGGTAGTTTCGACATTCGCCGATATACCTAGGCCCGTTGCGACAGCCGCTGCCTCCACCTGCGCTGCACGATTTTTGCTCAGCTTTTGCTTTTTAGGCTTCTCATCGAAGTCGGAGTCGCCAGGATGTTCGACACGTTTGCCCTTGGTCTTTTCTCTCGCAGCTTCTTTGCCGGCGTCTCTTCGCGCTGTCGAAATTTCGTGCTCGTGTATCAGACTTGCGGCTGCAGCAAGGCTATTGGCGGCGGCGACATCCCTGCGGTTCGCGGCTCCCCCAGCCTGCTTTTTCTGTCTATTGTCCGTATACGCCCAATGTGTCATGCTGCCTAACCGTGCTTCTTCGCTGATCTCGTTCTCCACGTGTGGCATAACCGAATCAAGTCGCATCTCCTGCAAAGCGAGGACGCGGTTGGCCTCTTCCAATACTCCGTTCTTTTCGTCCAAATTAGGTATTAGGCTTTTCAGATCTTTGCAAAGCTCAATATATTGCATTCGACGTGCAAGCTCTTCCTGACTGTCCGCTGGCTCCTCGCCGTCAATCGAGCCTGCATGTGATGGCTGCACCTCTTGTCGCCCCGCCATGCCATTGACGACGCTGGCGTTTGTACTCCCGCTGGTGCTGTTATGGGCTGTGAAGCTGAGGAGACCTAGGCCTGTTCCCGCCGCAGTGTTAATTTGTTTCCGTCTGGGTACAGGCTGGGCCATAAGCGCATCGATCATAACACCCAGGCGCTCGCTCGGGCCATGGATCTTGGCCTCGACTTCTTTCATCAGTGTAAACTGCTTCATAACCTCTTTTGGTAAAGCTGTGATAGCGTCGGCGAAGTACTGCAGGCCGGGGTAGAAGCCGTGTCCCTGTCCCCCATTGAAATCTGTTGCGCCGTCTTCATTGCTGGCACCCATTTGACCAAGTGTGCGGGCATAGTAGTTGGTGGGACGAGTTGCGTTGACCCGTATGGCGCGACCTGTGGTGCTACGACGCGATTGAGGATGAGAAGCGAGGGAAGCCAGCGATGGTTGCATCTCTGTAGCTGTCGCCATCGTGGTGGTCGTCGAGGACTTCCTCATATTCGAAGTAGGTGGCATGCTTGTCTGAGAGGACACGGAAAGGTCGTCGCGATCTAGAGAGTGCCTGGGTGCACAGATCACCGCGGTAGTGGCACTGCTGCACTGCTGCACTGCTGTATGATGTTGTACCGAGACGGCGTTGAGTTCAAAGGAAATGGATTGGATGCGTCGGGAGCATGCAACGCATGCTGGAAAATGCCGATGGATTCCCGCCGTACTCAATATAGATGAAGTGTGCCTAAAAGCTTGAACACCGCGAGAAAGTCATGTGTAAATGACAGGAGGCATGACGAGTGGGCGCGTAGGAAATAATCGTGACCAAGCGGGTGAACCAGAACGCTCATCTCAGCACGCGTGGTACCGAAGCTCCTCCTCTGGTCGATCCAATCTCAGGGACCTGTTACTGTGCGCGAAACCTGGGAGGTCCTTATTTCTGTGGCATATATGAATGATGGATACATAGGTAATTATGGAGTACTGGTACTCTCAAACGGCAATCGCATGCGCAATGTTCCATCGCATTTCGCATCCAGATTGTGGTATTGCCTTATGCCCGCACACGTATAGAGCGTCCATCGATCTGCGCAACAGATCTTCACCTTTCGTGCCCACAGTCTTGCGCGCTCCCGCTTTTGCTCTCCAGGGCTGTTTTCGACGTTCCTCGGGAATTCGACCAACGGCCAACGACGTCATCGCACCATCGTGTCCTCACAGCTGAATTGCCCAGGTGCGTTGTTGAAAAGTATGGCCATGAAATCTAGGAGGAAGTTACAGGGATCTGTACGTCGGACGGGGCACTCCGATGCCTCGATAACAACTACTTCGCGAGTCGATACTCTACTCTACTTCTGAACGCCGATTATGATCGTATTAGTCCTCAGTGTCTATTATGGGTGACACTCATCAGATTAGTACTCGGAGTGCTCTGTCCGGTCTGACCGATTCCTGTGCCTTGACAATATAATACAAACATAATGTTTCATTTGTGTATTTTCAATTCCCAAAGAATGCGCACTGTCCCTGCTATGATTCATATACAGATAGCCCATGAACCCAACGAGCACTCATGCTTCCTCCCGAATTGAGCACCAACTCCAATCACAGTCCTCCACAGAATGTGACCAGGACACGCCGTTGCCTTCCTGAGAGAACATTGAAGTAAGAAGATAGAGAAATAAAAATGCATGAAAGTGAGGAGATGTTTTTCAAAGACGCCACCAAGAACAGAAGGCCCATCGACACGCACCGGGCGCTGAGGCTTATGTCCGTCATGCTGGCGTTGAGAGACCGGTATTCGACCGTGTGGGGGAGAAAGGTCCGTTGGAGTGTTGTCGACCAAGAGGGCCGTTAGCCTGCCGGATTTTGCGCAACTCGGCCTCGAGCTTCCGCCTCTCTTCTTGCTCCGTCTGCGTACTTCTGTCAGTCTCTAATGTGTGCCGTCGAAATGGAGGCGACATGGATTCACTTACCCGTATGAGTTTGACTCCTTCCAGACGTGCCTCCCGCATCATTCGCTTGAATTCCTGCCTCAATACCATGACACTCATGTTCTCTCGGACTGCTGGGCCATCCGCGGTGCCACTGGCTGGACTCTTCACACCGATGAATCGCATCTTCTCATCCGCCAATTGACCTTCAAGCGCATCACACCTGTCGCGAAGGCCGTCTATCAAACTTTCCAGTTGGCCGCGTTCCTTCTCCAATTCAAGGCTCTCTCTTGTCATCTCTTGGAACTCTTGCGTCATTTCCTGGAGTTCGTTCTCGAGTAATGTATGTTGTTCGCGCAGCTGCTCGAGCTCAGTTGTGGCCTGGCGGTAGTTGTCTTGTAACGCTTCAAATTCTCCAGCCGCCACGCCCGCCTCCTTTTGGCGCTGAGCTCGTGTGCCGTATGCACCTTCTAGATCCGCTTTCGCAACCGTCAGCTCGGTCGTCAGGCGTACAACTTCAGTTTCCAAGCTTGCAATGTCGCGTTGAATTTGCGCGTCCTTGTTCTGCGCTTCAGATTGCTGCGCCAACAACTGAGAGTTATGTTCCTGCAATTGTGTTTGCTTTTCCCGAAGCTCCGAGTTGGCCTCTTGCATACGTGTGTGTTCCCCAGAGATCTGATCATGTTCTTCCCGCAGCCGGGCATAATTGTGCTGCACTTGATCATGTTGCTCTTTCAACTTGTTGTGTTCTTCTTGAACCAGAGCATGCTGTTCTTCGAGCTCTTGAGCATGAGCATCATGTTCTTGCATTTGTTCGTCCAATTCCTTGTGATGAGTCTGTAGTTGCTTTGATAGTGCGTCTCGATCCTGGGTCCTCGAGTCAACAAGCTGTCGCAATCGCTCGCACTCGTCCATGACATTGACAAGCTCTGCACGGCTTTCGCTGGCCTCTTGCTGTGTCTGCTGATGACTGACAATGACCTTGGTGAGCTCATCCTGCATTTGAGAATGAGAGTCTGTGAGCTCGTCATGCTTGATCTGCATCTCGGCGATCTCGCGGTCTTTTTCCATATCAGACTTGCCGTTGAGGTCACGCTGTTGCTGGATTTGACGGCGCAGGATATCTTGTTGCTCTTTGGCGCTGGATGCGACATCGATCAGGTGCTGAACGCGTGAATTGAACGCTTGGATCGAGAAGTCTTCTTTCAGAGGGGTGAGTGGGCTCCGCGAGCCGTCCTGTGGCCCTTGCTTTTCCGAAGACATGATCTCCCATAATCCAGCGAGAACTGTCTCGTATTCAGCAGCCTTTTGTGCATGAAGATCAGCCTTTCTGTTGACCTGTTCCAGAGCTTCAGATGACACTTGATCGTTAGGTGGCACTGTCTGCTGCTGTAGCACTCGCTCCAGCGCGAAGAACGATTCTTCCATGTATTGAAGCTGATGCTGATAGCCATGTCCACCGACAACGGGCGGTTCATGAAGATCACGGGTCAAATCCTTACTCGCACTGTTGATCAAGACACTGTGAAGGTGTGTGTTAAGTTCTACGAGTTGTTCCTCAACACGGTTTGCACTTCGAGACTCCTGATGGCCATGTTGCTCTTGCTCCAGGATATGAAGGTTGTCCTCGAGCTTGTTCAGAGAAATTTCGAGGTTGTCTGCGGGATCATGGGAGAACTCAGTTTGAATCTCTGGTTCAATCGAGTTTCCTCTTTGCTTTGCAGCCTGGACGATGACTCCCCGCAACTGCGAATTGAAATGCTCGAGCCTGTTCTGCATATTCAAAAGTCGTTGCTCGTACTCGTCGGACAACTTTTGTCCGTCGAAATTGGCTTGTCCGACAGGCTTTCCGTGCAGGATATCCCTAATCCCGTCAAACTCATTGGGTGTATATAGGGTTCCATCGTCGTCTGCGTGTTGATGACCGTCCGGGTATTTACCCGAAACCGTGTTGGTGCTCTGCGTGGCCTGCTCAGCTATCACGGCAGCCGTGTGCCTGAGAAGCTTGCGTTCAACGACAGCGCGTCTCTCCAATAAAGTCTTGATTGTTTCGTTGAGCTCGTCCACCGTTTTGACGCTTCGAGCGACTTCTTCCTTAGCTTGCTCAGAGTGACCACCTGGGCTAGCGCTGCTGCTGCTTGTCCTTCCCCTATTGCCCGACAGGCTTCCCCGAGTTTTCTTCGGGCTACCTGGGCTCTGAGGTGTGTCTGGCCGCGAGTCCTTTTTCGAGTGGTATAGTCGCTGGATGTTCTGCGCAGCTTCTTTCAACTTATTCTCCAGCACGAGTTTGCGACTTGCGGCCTCTATGCGCGCGTCTAATCGTTCGTGTTCGGTTTTGAGTTCATCCACTTCGTTGATATCGAGCACCTCGTAGTGATGGGTGTCTAGCAATGCTGTTTCATATAGAAGATGCCGACCGACGGCATCATGGTTCGGTGAGCGGACTCTAGTATCGACGCTAATCTGGTGAGTGGTAGCATCGCCAATGGCATTGGCGAAGTTATTGTAGTCATCATAATGGTCGTTGACCGCGGTCGGTGACTTCCACTGTATTGCTCCCTCGCGACTCGACACAGGCGAACCGTAACCACTTTCATAATTGTCGTAACCTTCGTACGTCGACGGAGCCTGTTGCTCGTGCGACGGGAAGTTGAAGTGACCGGCGGTGGTCTGCATCGTGAGTCTGGGTGCTCCGGGCTTGTGTGTTGGTGAATCGTCCTGTGCCAGCGTCCAGCGCGTCTGCGTGCTCGCTCCCTGTATCCTCAGAACTGCGCCTTTTGGCATAGGAGCGATGAGGCGAAGGTAACCAGAGACATGACCGTGTCAGAAATTCGAAAGTGCCGACTTGTTGATCTATGTGACCGCTGCGGCGTGTGCAACACGGCTGTCAGGAAGTTGTGCCGAATGGGTCCAGTGCGCCCAAAAGAAGTCTGGAAATCTAGGAGGTTGTCTACAGCTGATGAGCAGAGTCAGGGATGAGCCAATCACGTAGCAGGATCTCCAACTAGCGGATCTGACGGTTCTGTTCCTGACCGCAAAGACGCGACAAGGGCTTCGAATAGATTACTCCCGTTTCCCGCGCCGCTATTTCTCGTCAGGTCTAGGCGTGCAGTCTGTTCCTGCGCGTGCTGAGTCTGCCCGCTGCATTCTTCCTGCATGAAAGCAACCTTGGAAATCCAGAGCTGGGACCAGACGGTTGGTCGATTTACTCTACGAAATTGACGATGGATCATGCAACTCTCACCATTCATGTAGAGCCTCGAAGGAATCTTGAGGGTTGCAAATACAGTGCTGCAATAAATGTTCCAATACTCAGACCGCTGCTGGCTTGTCTGTGTGATTGGTGATGGACAAGTGCCAGGCTATTATCTCATTGGTGGATGCTGGCCACCTCGCGTGTGTCTGCTCCTTTTCCCGACGCCATTTGACGACAACAACAGCTGAGCGGCGTCATCCCGGCTGTTGGGTATCTGTCGGCCGGCACGGCCGGTAGACGCATAATACCGAGAAGCGTTACATTTGAGATATATATTGTGCTTCTTAATCACAAATATCAAGGTCTCTGCATTGGAGCAGCCTCAGGGCAACCGAGAACTACCGCAACGGCCTCGTTCACTCTCCAGTGCCATGCGGCTGGTCGATTTCGTGATGTGTGTTCCGCAGTGCAAATGAAACGGATCGATTGCATGTAAGATTCCTCCGCCCGAATGAGCGTTATGCAGCTGGTCTCCATATGAAGATTACAAACGTGGCGCATGACTTGCAGGGCTACCCAGGTATGCAGGGCAAAGATTCTAGCTTTGCTCCAAAGCGATTTGCCCAGTTGAGTATTGGACAGATCATAAGAACGTCTCCAGCGATCGAGAAAAGAGCGATTTACAAGGGATCTATGGCCTAAACACCATTTATACAACTCGACGGAGAAATGTACACAGTAGTAAATCACGTTGGCGTTCTTGCTTGAATTCCCCTGGGGTTGTGATATCGTCGGCACGCACCAAAGCAATAACAACATAATGCGCAACTCTGTGAGTAGCTTCCCTGCGACTGTTTGAAATTCACCGTTGACACACCCATCTACTCTACTGATCGGCGTCAGCTGCACATGGAAATCGGCCGATACTCACGTGCATTACAACATTGTCATGCACAAACTACCTCGGAAGCAGCGGTAGAGCGCTGGGTGCGCCTGTCACTTTGAATGATGCCTATCCTCAATTCTAGGGTGGACTTGCATCATATCAATGGGTCCTTTTCTTTGATTACACTGCATCATGAGCAGTATATCAACACCAATCGTGACTCGTGGTCGGTCGACAGCAGAGGTTTCCAGGCGAGTATGTGGCCGGAGGGTTGTGGAGATCAATCGCAGCTACTCTTCGGGCTGTATTCCAACTCGTTGAGCAAACTGTGTGAACAACCTCGAGTGCGTTCCAGAGAGAAACTGCACTTGACAAAGACAAGCACGTTACCGAGCAGTGTGTAGCTCAACATTTATTGACCATATGAGGGACAGAGACACGAAGATTGAGTTTTTGGTTCGATTTCCGGTAGATAGACACTCCATGACTATGAAATGCCTTTCTCGATCTGGCGACATGTCAGTCCACGGATCATCCTGTGTGTGCTGTAGTCCACTTACGCGCCACGGAGCGTTGAGCTCAAAGCCTGCTGGTGCATTCACATTGTCGGTTTGTCCTCTCAAGAAACCAGTAAGTCTTCGGTCGCGGTCCATCACTATTTGTATGCCTAAATCAGCCATTCGCCCTCTGTTCATCAAGTCTTTCATGACCTACTCTGCTTGTCCCATCGGTCAATGCCTCGTCTTTGTCTTTTCCCGCCATTTTGCATATTTCTGAGCTTTGAAAGGGCTGCGCCGGTGAATCCGAAGAACTAATAATGTTGTGAGAATCGCGTGATGACAATGGGGGAAGAAGGACGTACACCCAAGCAGATTGCATAAGGCAGCAGAGATTCGAAAGGGACTCCCCTGTTCAAATTGTCAGCTACAGCAGTGACAGGCATATGCAAGTACTCACATGGTGCCGATTATGGGAGACGCAATGTCGTGAATCACAAGGAGGACGTGGATTCATGGTGTCTAGCATTCGGTCTTGAATGGCGATGCGACGCTTGTGACAGAAGTCGTGTGAGGCCATAATTCGAGTTCGCCGTCGGACCTTGCTCCGTAGAGGCTCGTCGTCCAAACGACCGCTGCTTGTTTCATTCGGTGATTATCACGAATTGTCGGGAATATTTCTTATCGATTGCTCAGATGCGCATTTAATCACAAGTATGAATACCTATATATAATACATGTTGTATGTGCCAATAGCTCTCTGGTCGCAAAGTTGACAATTTCCACTTAGGATCCCCAGATTACATACACCGGCGTTGTGACGCGATGGGCCCTGATTAGTCATAAAACACGTACTTCGACCACACGCTGTGAAGGTACGCGTCTTTACACAGCACGAGGCTCAGATTGCGCCCGGGATATCCCATACTGCCAGTATCGTCACTCGGTCTCGATTGTGCCATATACTCAACAGATCCGTCGTCTCCACCTTCACCAAGATAATATAAAGCACCAGCGACGGCGCGCCACGGCTGGATCACACCTCCGTGCTGGAGAGGGTCTTCAGCGATACTCACTACATGGAACACCGCCTAGCACGGTAGCCGCACGAGCGATAAGCACCACGACTCCGACATCGCCCTCGGCTCAGTGTATGAGAAACAAACATGCGACCCAGGTCGAGAGCGCAAATTATGAAGTCAGAGGATCTTGATGAGGATGCGCCAGCAGATGAGATGGATGAAGGAGAGACCAACGCAGAAGCACAATCCGAGACCTCTGAGGAGGCGCAAACAGATGAAAGTGATGCCGAAGGACAAACTGCGGATGAGGATGACGAGGATGGCGAAATTGTGGGTGCCGTGAAAACAAGAACCACAGCGTCACGGCCTCGGGAAGAATCTCATGATGAGGAGGAATCTTCTACGGAAGACGACGACGATCAGAATGTAACCTCTAGCGCCAACTCTTCGGACGAAGCAGAGACATGGGACGGCGATGATGATGGCGACGAGGAAAACGACGACGCCAAAATCGAGGATGCGAATGGCGCAAATTGCGTGTAAGTCTTGGTTGTCCGCATGCAAGATAATTCACATACTTTGACTTACATCAGCATTTCCAGCTTCTGCCAGCAAGACGAGGACCACGACCCTGCTGAGGAGTATGAAGAGTATCTCGCATGCGCTATATGTGGTGATCATGGTGCGTGCACATTGGCGTCCAGAGTGGTCTCATCACGATAGACGCAATTCTTCATGTTTGCTATGCTGATCTATATCCTACAGCCCATCGACATTGCGCGAGAAGCAAAGGTTTGAGCCCGCTGGTAACCGAACAAGGTAATTTGCAAAAACGGCCATATTCTCTCTTATTTTGCGAATCCTGAAGAACATACTAATTATCTTTCAACAGACGTCACTGATTGGACATGCGATCGCTGCGCTCGAGATGACTCGCAGGCGAATCTCAAGCACATCTCTGCCCATGTGGCAGCCGGAAGGCAGACATCTGCTCCTAAAATGGCTCGCGATTTGCTTCCTGGCGCTCGAGGAGGAATAAAGCCGGGTTCACATTCAATATATGCCACTCTCATTCTACCGGAGGACGAACTAGACGGCTCTCGCTCGCTTAGGAAGCGCAAGACAGCTTCTGCAGAGGCCGACGAAATCCCGCAGCCCATCAAGAAACGAAGGAGAGCCAAGACTGACGAAGGATCCGTGGAACACAGGGGTTCTGCCGAGACTGAAGCCTCCGACAGTGATGCAACCAATAGAACCGAGGAGCCAGGTACTCCAAAGTCGCGCCCCGGGCGACCACAACGGCAAACGAAGCTTCGCAAGCGGGGATTACGCATCGTCTCGCAAGCAGACAACCCGAAAAGCTTCGTCTTTGCCTTCCCGATTACTATTGCACAGTGGGACCAAATAGAGAGGGACGTATTAAAGAAACAGAAGCGGCGCGAGCGGGATCGTCTGCGTCGTGCTCGTAATCACAATCATGCGACAACTGTCGAGCCAGAAGAGCAGTCACACTTCCCAATGGTGCAAACGACGATGTACTCGAATCCGTTCTTCCCGTTTCCGGACCGCGAGACGGATGAATCGAAGGGCAAGCCATACGGTGGTATCTTAACGGATCTCGAAGCGGATACAGCTCGCACATACCCTACCGAGGCTGATCGTGAGGCATTCCAGAAGGCCCGTGAGATGGCCGAACAGCAATGGAAGGAGAAATTGGCGCAAGCCAATGGAGAAGCGACAGTAACGGCAAGAACGAAACAGAGTGGTCCACCAAGCAAAATCAAGTGCATAAATTTCGGTCAATATGAAATCGACACTTGGCATGCTGCGCCCTACCCCGAAGAGTACAGTCGCAACAAGCACCTTTTCATATGCGAATTTTGTCTGAAATACATGTCCTCCGACTATGTGGCCTGGCGTCATAAGCTCAAATGTCAAGCTAAGCATCCGCCTGGAGACGAGATCTACCGCGACGATCACATCAATCCCGAAACTGGTGCGCACACAACACTATCCTTCTTCGAAGTCGATGGACGCCGCAATCCACTCTATTGCCAAAATCTATGTCTCCTCGCAAAACTGTTTCTTGGATCGAAAACGCTCTACTATGATGTCGAACCTTTTCTGTTCTACATCATGACGGAAAACGATAGCTACGGTTGTCATTTTGTCGGCTACTTCTCAAAGGAGAAACGCGGATGCGGGCTCCCTCAGTCACTGGACCCGCATACGTCGTTTGAGGAAACGCAGGAAACGCAACTCGCGGACGGCGGCGCTGGCGAAAACGTGGAGAACACTGCGCTGGATCCCGCGTTGAGCAACCCTGGTAATAACGTATCGTGCATCCTCGTGCTCCCTGTTCATATGCGAAGAGGCTTCGGCAAGGTTCTGATTGAATTCTCATATTTGCTGACCAAAGTCGAGAAGCGGACTGGCTCTCCGGAAAAGCCTCTCTCCGACATGGGCCTGGTGTCATATCGTTCCTATTGGCGTGGAGTACTTTGTCGCCTGCTTCTACGCCATCAGGGCGAGGAAAGCAAGCCGGTCGCCAACGATCGGCCGTCGATCGTCAAGATTGCAAAAGAGACTGGAATGACCCCCGATGATATCATCTCCACCCTGGAAGGACTTCGTTTCTTGGTCCGAGATCCGATCACGCGGCAATACGCTCTCCGACTCGACTATGAATACATGCGAGAGTACGTTGAGAAGCACAACAAGAAAGCGACCATCAAAGTTCTGCCTCAACGACTGTGCTGGACACCTTACGTCATGGGTCGCCCAACGAGCATGTTCCCAGTGGGCGAAGAAACCAATCAGCCTCTCCAGACTGTTGCGCAACGTGAAGAGCCGATCCTCGCTAGTTCCGAATTCAACGTTGAAGACAGGAATGACAACATCACGCGCCAAGGGGAGGCTTCGCACGCTGGAATTTCACAGCATGTCGAGACAATCGAGATGTCTGATATCCCTGCTGCGAACCGAGCATCTGTGGCGGTTCCTGACTTGGCACCTGTGCAGGAAGTCTCAACCCCACGATCCCACCTGAACAGTACTGGACATCTCACTCCGAGACGTTTGCTCCCCGCAGAATCCCCGAATGGCATCCATCACAACTTAGGTGACGAAAGCCCAGCTTCGACTGGATCGCAGCTTCTTCCCGATGGCGTGATCCCACCGACTCGCTATGAAATCTTCCCGCCAGTACCTGGCATGGCCTCGGCGAAGCGTAGGCCTGGCAGACCTGCCGGACGCAGCGCGCGGCGGAGTGGTAGCTACAGAACTCCTGCCCGGCGATATGGTGCCGAAGCTCGGAATCGAACACCTAGCAGGGGCGGCGGTGCTTCTGCTCTGCGCCGAACCAGGAGCAGGCTAAGTAACGTGGCCCTCACCATCCATCAGGGCGGCACTGTTCCCCTTCAGTCAGATATCGAGGTCGAGGACTTTGCACTAGCGGATTTCCGCCACATCGCAGATGGGGGTGTCGATGCGGAAGCGGAAGCAGATTCCGATGCTGATGCTGATGCTGATGCCGATGCCGACTTTGAAGCCGACGCCGACGTCGACGCCGACGCTGATGCCGACTCATACGTCGATGCCGATGCAGAAAGAGATGATGACGAGGATGAGATTTTATATGAGTAGGATCGGCATGCTAAGATTGGCCATGACTACGGTCTCCTTTAATGTCACCGAAGCTGTACCATTAGTGACATAATTACGAATCAACCCGGTTTACAACCCTGATCAACGTTCCGGAAGAGCAGTAACAAGCTGATTCCAACCCGCATGGTGAGACAAATTGGCCTCGAAGCACATCCCTATATTTTCCCGAACACGCTTCCTAAATCCAGTCCTTAGATCGTCCGAGCTGAACATTTAGGTACACAGAGTTCTTAGCAACACACGCTGGACAATGTGCACGTAGATTCCCAGATCTTGAGATCATCACGGCCACCAAGCGCAACGAACATCAGACAGACATCAGCACCGGAGGGCAATTTGAGACCGCATCGGATGGCACCGCAATGCCGTCCTGCAAGCACGATAAATCAGCAGGTCCCGCGTCCACTGATGTGTTGAGGATCAACCAACGCGTAACCCAGATAGCCAATTCATGATTTGCACGAAAGAATGCCGCGATTCGCTCGGCAGGTTTGCCGTCCCAACCGACTCGAAAAGTTTGGTAAGGTGTCTGGCAGGCCAGTCACCGGCGTATCGCCGTACCCACGAGAGGGAGGGACTCCAAGACAACGGAGCGCCGCATGTCACGCAATCATCATGGCTGGGGCTGCCGCTCCGGCTTACACGGCGTGCATGAGGAAACGCGCTTCGTACCAGTCCCCTCCACCGTCTGCAGCAAGCAAGGTGAAAGTGAGGTATCGATCTGGAACTGAGACGCGTGGTGGTAAGAGCTACCGTAACATGGTCGGGCTGAGACACGATTTACGGACCAGTTGGGAACCCCCACCTCCTGCTGCGGACGCCCGCCGCCGTGGCAACGACATCATTCTTTGGGTCGCGAACTGACGACCGTTAGGCGTTCCACTGTGCCTTCGAACTGCAAGGAAAAGCTCAACAATCTCAGTCGCGGAGGTCAACCCGCCTCGAGCTCGAACGCGCCGTGCCATAAATCCACTTTGCGATCACGCTCCAGCGTGCGATCACGGTTATTTCATCCCAGTCGAAGGTCGATGTGCTAGTCAGGCGGAGCAAAGATTGTCACCAGTGGCGCTCCGATGACCCTTGGCGTACTGGAATCGAGCTGCGTTGCCCGACTAACTGACATGGTGAGTCTCTACTCGGGGCCCGAATATGCAAGCTATCGTCGTTTTGTTCTATTCTGCATGTTCACGGGCATGCATCTGATCACTCGACCATACTGGATTTGAGCCATAACCCGCCTCCCGGCGGAATGCGTGTCTGACGAGGCAATCGACGCCTGGTACGCTAACCAGTATCTTGAAGTTGGCACGGCAGTGTGCAGACCGGATTTCTGGCTCCGGTCTGGTGTGCTGATCAGGGAGATATCCTTTTGTCGAGACTATAACTGTGAAGAAACAAATCGCTCGTCGTCTTTGTGGCGTCGTCGCGTCTGGGCGACTGAAGAGTTCCAAATGGGACTGACGGGCGTTAGGATGTTCCGGTGAGGGCCATCCTGTAGCGCCATCATGCATTCATGTATTTTCTTCACATCGTAGCTTGCTAGAGGCCCAGAGTCTGTTCGTACTAGTCCTCGGACGTCGTGATTGGCGCAAAGAGCTCGTCCATCTGGCCGGGCCACATCTGTATGACGAGGACACTGCCAACCACGCCCCATTTTGCACCCATGGAGGTGCTGGAGGTCGAGACTGCTTTGACGATTCAGACTCGGATCGAAGTGCGATTTGTGAAAGTGACATTTGGTCCATGTGGTGACAATCTTATTTTATCTTTAAAAACACAAGTCGTAAGAATCGAAAGTGGAAGCTTGTATATACAGCGCAATCGAATGGACAAATCCAACTCCAGCCATGAGAATAAAATTGCGCGGAAGACCGCACGTTGTTTCAATCGCGTGATAACAAGGCGAAGCAGGAGCAAACTCAATGGCAATCGCTGCAAAGGAATTTTAAAGTCAGAGAAAAGTTAATCGTGAAATGCATAACATCCACGGATGGGAGATCGTCAGAGTGTCCCGACGACACAATCGTCCACCTCGTGATTTTTATCGTTAATTCGTCATCTTCACATGTAATTGTAGGACGTATAGGCTGCGGATTCTTCGGACACTTCATTTCCAAGGTGGTAAGGCCCTTGGGCATAAGCTGGATCCGGTGCCACGAGAGAAGACGCATCGCTCAGCGACGTGACAGGTAGGTGCATATCCGTAAAGGTTCCAGGGACGACCCCGGTGGAGTATTGCGAGTTCGATGCCATGTATGGTGCATGTGCACCCGTCGTGTTAGAATTGCCACTGGTTTGATATGCATTGCGACTGCTGCTGAGTGGCATTTGATTGAGGGTGGAATCGCCAAAAGTGGACTGTGAGTTGCCAGTTTGATTCGACAGCCCTGCTGATGTGATCGCTCCTCCAGTGCGATACGTTGGAGAGGCTTGATGGTGGCCAACTGTGGTGCTGCTGGCAGGAGACGGTAGAGCACTGTGCATTGATGGTTGCTGCCAGACTGAGCTGTTCGACATGTGGCCGCGCACACTCGCGTAGCTCAGAGCTGGTGCCGCTTGTTGGCTATAGCTATGGCCGCGACTATGATAACCGATGCCGCCAGCCACCCACGGTGAGGCACTGCTTCGGCCGGTGGCACTTTGGTATTGTGGACTATCGGCTCCTGGCACATAGTAGTTGCCTGAGTAATCGCTTTCAGCACGTAGCCGTTTAGCGGTTGACGGATAAGAGCCAGAAGTGTGAGAGGCATTCTCTCCGCAAATTGTGTCGTTGTACATCGAGTGTCTGTTTGGCGACTCGTCGGGGGATGGAGGGCCACGTTTCCGGCTAGTCATCCATGTCAGTAAGATTCAAGACGGCGATACAGGTGGAAACTTACCCAGATGAGGTACGAGGATCGTGTTTCCTCACGCGAAGCTTCACTCCTTGGTCGGCGAATGATTTCGTTAAGTCCGTTGATTCGCTCATGCTTCCGAATTCTTTGGAATTTTGGACTGCAGCATCATTAGGGTCGATATTCATGAAACTACAATTGAGAGATATCGGTACATACCTTCGAATGGACTCGAGTCAATGGACGCCAGGAGCTCAGCGCAGCCGCCATCGTCGGAATTACTGCTTTTCTGTCAGCGCAAGTTGCCCTTCCAAGTTCACACACAACCATATAATTACCTCGAACTTGGTGCAGTATCAATGAGATGGAACCGTAGTTTGTATGTGCCGGTTTTCTGGACCGAAATGTCTCCGAAAATGAAATATCCACCCTCTTGAGATCATCACGTTAGCTGGCGTGTCCTAGACTAGACCACATCTGATGTCGGCGGCTCAACCGCACAGGTCACTCACCTTTGTCGGCGGAGCTGCGCTCCTTCAATTTGAAAAGGGACGATGTCAACTGCCCAACAAGAGCAGGAACAGATCGATCCTCGTTCACCTGATATAGCTCAACCTTCATAAACGCACGAGGGCTTACAAGCCATTCCTTGTTGTAGGAATCATTCCGTCCGTCGTACTTGAGCTCGATGACGGGAGGCGGATCAATCGGCTTGCGCGGCTTGGTGCTGCTTTCTGGCACAACCTGAGCCTTGATGGGCTGTTGTCGCACTTCCAGCACGACTGAATCTGGGTGCATCATCTCGAAGACGTGCTCGCGAGAATACACAGATTTGATGACAAATTTGAAACGTTTGATCAATGCAAATTTGCTGGTTAACCGGTCGAGGAAGCAGACGATGGGATCACGAAGAAGCGGGCGGAGCCAAAGTTTCGTGAGAGTCGTAATTCATCAAACACAGTCCAATCGGGACTGAATATACCGGCAATTCGCAGTCCGGGTATGACACGCCGTTACGTGTCTGTCTGTTGGTGCTCGAAAGTCGGCGCGAGATCGTTGTTAGAATCAGAATAGCAAGTTTTGCCGAGTTGAAGAAATTGCTAATGTCGTCACCGGACGTTCCGGGAACGGTTCAATTTGCACGTCTGAATGATAGAGACAACCCGAATACGAAAAACAAATCGCCAGCTGACTGCAAAATTAAAGCTCACTTGCGATTTGACTGTGGGCCTGATGAAGTCAAGAGCTGGCCAATGTCATCCGTAATCCGAAAGCCGAAGCAGACTTCGGTCGGCACCAGGGGATTGAAGCGTTCACGGCCCGGACGTGAGGTTCGAGAATACTGGCAGGCTTCGTTGTTAAGCAGCTAACGAATTGTCGCAAACTCCACAACGCTTCGCGTAGTCTGATGATACACACGACTGAATGCCAGCTGAGACTGTATGATCTGCCTTGGGTTTGACAGATAGAACGTCGGAAGTGCGTTGATACACCACCGTGGTAGAGAAGCGGGAGGTGAATGGTCGTTGAAGGTGAATAAGAATGGTGCAGAACGGCACAAAAGTCAAGATCTTTGGATGATATGTAATCGGATGAGCGGTCGGCAGCGGTATCGTTTTCGTGCGAAGATAGGGAGAGGAAGGTTAATGGGTTGGTTCATGCGACATTGAGCACAGACTGCTTTGGTGTTTTCCCTGCCGCGTTCTGACCACGTACGCAGATGGTGACGGGCAAGCAGAGTATTATCGCTGCCGTCCTGCCAACGAGTCTCCGCTTGGCCTTGCTCTCCAGCACACGTTGCGTAATTTGCGGAGCCGCTGAATCTCTCCCCGTGTCAACGTGCGTGATCAGATGGCGGATTGTCAGGGACAGCGGAGCCTGTGATCCAAGATTGTTGATAACTGAGCAGCCAAGTGGAGGACAACGACCGTTGTCAGCTACCAGACTTGAGGCGAAGCAGCAAAGACGTCGAATGACGGGCGCACCAGCCACGGGCCGAGTGCCAGACCGTGAGAACTACCCGCCTCCCCGGAAGGTTTCCCTGATGGATCGGGGGTGGAGAGCTGTGGGTTTCCAGGTGACGACTTTGCTGGCTGGTGGCGAGGGCGAGGGCGAGGACGAGAGCGAAAGGAAGGCTTGTCGACGGGATCTAGAGTGCACAAAACTGGGAGCTGCCGCACGGTTTCAGAAGTGTCGAGGTACAAGCAGGCTAAGAATGATGTTCCAGATCAACGACACTCAGACACAGCGCTTTGTCGTTTCCTCCACTGACTCTGATGACAGCATGAGGGGAAGCACCTCCACACCTGGATCGGCCTTGCCAGCTCTCCGAGCAGGTAGGTTGTCAAGCGCCTACCAGATTTTGCAGCTGCTTGGCTCCACAGCGGCTGGCGGTATGTAGCGTGTGGAATGAAGGAATTAAGTCGCCGAAAATACCGTGACCGGGTAGGAAACCAGAGAATGTTTGCTGAAATTACGGTTTGTACGGCTGCCTTTTTTCTTCGATTCGAAGTATATGCTCAACTGGACCTTTCTGATATTCGTGACTCGCAGCAGGTTTGCGAGCCTGTGTATCGGAAGTAGTGTGATGGTCCTGTTTGCCGGTGCTGCTGCGAATATAGCAATAGCAAAGATTGTGGTTGGTCGTAGTGCTCCCGTCGCTACCAAGGTTTGGTGCCGTTGGGAACTGTACGGAATGGCGGACCCTCTGGCGATGATCCGGTACTGGTCGGAGAAGCAGGCCAATCATCCGCGTGTCGCGTCTGTTTATAACTTCCTGGTTGAGGGTCAATGGTAGTATGGGAACAGCACGATTCATACATTCGAGTGTGGCTGCATACGCGATGCAACTATATGCACAGTCGTGTCGGCAATGGTGATACGAGCAGTGTGCCAGCCACGATGATCCTTGAAGAAATCGAGATCACATGAACAGCTTCTCGGCCCTGCTGATAAGGAAGGGGAATATGAGGAGGAGGGGAGAGCTGCGAGCCCGACTGGAAAGGTCTGCAATGAGCAGCAAGCAGCAGACAGAGTAGGAATTCATCAGTTGTGTGAATGTGTGCGCGCTTCCGTGTCGTCAAGGTCAGGAAACAGAGTGTAGCGCGTCGACCATTGGCCAAAGGACATCAAACCTAACTATCACTACTGCGGCTTGCCTGTCTGCTTGTCTGCGTGCTTCTGCTTCCTCCCCTACACAGAAAGTGATGAGTAACCACCGATATATCCGCCTGGGCAGCCGGGATATGCGCAGGAGCAATATGGGTACAGCCGTCAGTAGTTCATTGACAAGGATCACCGTGGAAAGAATGTGAAGGACCTACGTTCCGGCGGACAAGAATAGCGCCCGAGCAAAGACAAGGGATGTGAATAGTAGAACGATAATCAAGAGGCCAGGCATCCGGGACAGGCATGGATTCATGTTCGTATGGCTCAACAAGGGCAAGAGAGCCGCACATGGACGCGCGGTATGCTGAAAAATGACGAAGGCTTCTACTCCCCGCGAGGCGGATGGAAACAGCAGGCGGATTCCATCATCCGAAAGTATAGCTTGTCATAATGGATGCTGGGAATCATCGAAACAGCCACAAAAGTATTCACATGTGGTGCTATGGCATGTTGTTGTCATTAGTGGACTGAAGCGCAGATGATGGCACAATCAAGGTGCAGTAGCGACGGTTAGTGGCCGTGGTTCCGTGACCCATCGTGTTGCAAAACCCTCGCCTACCTATACTGTGGTGTCCTGCTGGAGACGGCGAAGGGGCAAACGGAGCATACGGCGTTGCTCTGCTTCAGCATGCTTGCTGTTCGAGCAGAATTGGGAAAGAAAAATGTCGTGACAAGCATCGGCTGTCTCGGTTTGGAAAAGGATGCAGGTGGACGGATGCATAAACGTACACATCGAGGTACCCACCGCAATTCGATTGCTGTGTATAGCTCATGGTCATAATCGATCGATATGCTACGCCTCCCAATCACGCATCCTGTGCGGCCGAGGGAAGTCCACCAAGCCACGTTTGTACTCTTCGGCGAGCAGAGTCCTCCGAGTTGCTACAGGTACACCCATGGGCCCATGATGGTGAAGAATGCTACACCCGTCGGCGCAGCAGGCTGATATTGATGCCACGGGCAGGCGGGATACGACGTATGCAAGACTAAAGAATCAGTGTCGCATTTCAGGTTTCCGGCAGAGTGGCGCCGAATGTCTGGCTCGCCTGAAGAATCGCAGCCTGTGGGACGAGATAGACTTGGCAGTCACACGCCAGGCGGGGGAAATATTCCGACCGGACTGCTGTTACAAAAGTGCTCAAGACTGCAGAGCCATTGAGAAAGATGATTCAACATGCCGCATGTGCTGTCTGTCAATGGCAACCTTGGAAGTGTTATATTGCTCTCAATCTAAAAGATGACAGCCCTGGAGTGGATGTCAAACGATGCTTCGTGCGAAATTTTTTCCGTCTTCTTTCGGTCTAGTAAAAATATATCCCTGTCTGCACATGTACGTACCTACCTAGGTAGCTGCTTACATTGATGTCGACACAACCTTGGAATGTGTTGCAGATGTTTTCTAGGCCGAATCTGCGATTCTCGGACATGCACATCCGCAGCAGGCAGGAGGTCGCAGCCACGCGACCATGGAATGCAGAGCTGGACATTACAACTTGTGCTCGTGAAATATCGATGAGCGGGCGAGGCGACATGTCCGCCGCCGACCGCAGCCACTACTCCGGGCGGGCGGGCGGAACTTGAGAAGCGCTGCCAGTGTGCCCTCTTTGAGTCAAGATGATCTGCCCAAGCGGTCAATGTATTATTGAGCACACACAAACAGACAGCATATATTATAGTGATGGGCAGTATTCAGCTCGTGCCCAGCCACAGCGGGCCCATTGAGTGTAGTGTCCCTCACGTGTGTTCTAGTGCATGGCATCATATCGAGCTGTTCCGGCGGATGACTTGCAGTAGACCTGGCCCGCGCGATATCAGTAGCCCGAGTATGCGGAATCTTAGCACCGCCAAGGTCGAAGGTCATGGAATGGGGTATTCCGAATGCGCAGATTACGGGCAGGATCGCGCTCGCAGCAGCTCGGCAATATGACAACTCGTCGGGACCTGTGTCTGTTGAGAACAATTCTGCATGACAGCGGGCATGCCTCGAGTTTGCCTTTCTGTCACCGAAATGAACCCAGACAACTAACCAAAGTTGCCGTACCACGCCTGAAACACACTGTTCACAATCCTTCGAGCATGGCACTTTGCACTACCGTAGTCTAGTCGTTGTTGTTGTTTGTTTCCAAACAACGGCACTTTTGGGCGTCCTTAGAGTGCAGGACTAGCATTCCACACATTCGACTGATGACGACTCAGGGCCTCTTTGATGCGGATCGGTCACAGCAATCGCTACAATACAAATGAACAGCCAAACGTATTTCGATTTTCATCGCCAAACGGCCAGTGATCAATCATCAGGGTTCGGGGCTTGGTTTATTCGCTACGTTCGTTTCTGTCCATTAATAATAGATAAAGACGAGTCAAGATTATAGGTGTGCCACCTCGGAAGATCATGGACCGCCATCTGTACCTCTACAGATTTCCATGGTAGGCGAACATGCATCTCCTTGAGCTCGACCAAGAACATTTCACAGTAGCAGTTCATCAAGTTCAAGTGATCATTTGCAATTGCCTGTCTGGGTCGGCCGAACCATGGGCCGTTGTGATAGCTATCAAATCCAAAATGATCCACTCCACGATATTATCCTCGAAGCCAGCCGGCTATTATTGTTCGTGTAACCTGTAATAGAAACATCAATGAGATGTTTACAGCCGCGTGCTTGCATGAACGTATGTACTCGATGTCTGCACTCCTGACACTGGCGGAAAATCCACAGCCATGACGATCGTGGCTCTTCAGCAATGTTCGCCAGGAAGTCGCCTAGCGGAGCGATGGTGCGAGGACTCCGTGGCCCTCAAGATTTTGCACCTAGGTATCCATGTATTTGGATCAGCGGGGATCTCGACGACACGCTGCTATCATGTGCCCAAGGCGGCTTCTCAAAACGTCTTTGTGGATAGTCCTGAAATTACATGGATGCTACATCCGGTCTCAATCGGGATCTCATGCTCTCGGATTGGGATGGAGGAACATCCGCGGAAGTCGATCGACATTCCGTGTGAGCATTGATGTCTGCCGCCGCAGGTGAGCGTCACCGCAATTCCGAGAGTGTGACAGCCAGTCCAAATTTAAATGCTTATCACAATGACCCGGGTCTTCATCCAACCCTTGACCATGCTGAAGGCTGTCGATTGAACTTCGGCGAGAAGTCCGTGGCATTTTATCTGGGAGACTGGTGATTCATGCGCCGGTATCTAACCCCTGTACAGCCGTCTCGGCCATAAAGACAGACATGGTCGCCGCATCCCAGCGGCATGTATTCCTGGAATTTCTCTCTGGGCATGATATAGGTAAGCAGGCATCTTCATCGCCCCGCCCAAACTCACCATCAGGGCGACACCCGATACCATATCACGATATCCATTGAACTTACCCAGGTACGCATGCCCCGAGCAAGGAGCTCAATCACAAGAACGCATTTCACACTCAACATGATTGGTCACTTACGTCACATCGCTCCCGTTGTAGTAAGTGACTGTTCTTCTGCCTCACACTGGCACACAAGTTTACCTGCATTCAAAGGCTGTGTTCTTTGCTCATTCGACATGATTCTACAAGGAAGACCAAAGGCTCTCCAGCCGACCAACATCTTCTGATTGCATCTTATCGCTTCAATGCTAGTCGGATCTATAGTGCTTTCTCATCAGTCGATTGTGCATTGTTCACCGCGATGGGCCTGAGAGACAACTCGGGAATGCCTTTCCAGCAGCTTTCATCTCACTCCCCGAATAGCATTTGATCGGCTGGCTGCCCAGCGTCTGTCATTTGTCTGACTCCGGTCATCGGGCTGTTCAGGCTCGGTGACTTTTCGACTAGGTCACAATGCTGTCAGCTGCATTCGCGCAAAATCACGCTGGGGTGCAAACCTCGGTCACAGAACAACAACCATACGCTTCAACAGCATGTATGTCAATGTGACCTGTGACTTCTATTTGCGTTTCATGATGGTTCACTGCTCCGATGCTCACAATGAGGCAAGGATTTTGTGGTTCTCAAAAGAAAAGAGGGCGTCCGCGGAGTTGCATTCTATAGGAATTATGACGGAGTTGTGCTTTCAGCCACAGTAGCCAGACTCGACATTCCCCAGATTGAACATTCCCGACCTCGGGAGTCATTTACTCTGTCTCACAATCGTTGTAGTATTGGAAAAGCCTTACGACCGAGGCCGTTTGGACTTTGAAGGGCAAAAATCGTACACCGTCACACAGATCACAATTATTTGCATGCGGACAGACCTCGAAGGGAGTTCCTATCTGGCACGGCGACATCACAAAGGCTGCGAATGGGTCTCGTTGTGTCTACTCCGCGTCCAAAGAGGTTTGGAGTCGGGAAAGATGAGCGGGTCTCACACAAGTCGAGTCCAAGTGAATGGGCCTAGACCGTGAGCAGCCGAGAACGCCGATGACAAGGCCAGTTCGCAACGAGTCGCGAAAAGCATCGTGAGCACCACTAGTCTAGGGCTGAGATAGTTGAGAGGCAACGGTAGCGACCCTGCCCAGCAGAGTTCGCGAGGTGACGGAACCATGATCACAATGTTTGTTATCTAGACAGCATCCCCGCTACAGGCCAAGAATCTTGGGCGAGCCGGCGCATTGTTGAGACTCCAGATAATCATCGGCATGGCTTCACGATCTTCGTCGTCGATGTTTGGCCGCGCCTTGGCAGGACGTCGTCATGCTCGCATACCTGCCCAGGTGGCTCCGGACATCGGGCAATTATGGAAAGGTAAATGACACGAAGGCTTGCCGTGGTGCTACCCACTTGCGTAGAGATAAGCAAGCTCTTTTTATCTCCCAGTTTCCCGTTTGGTAGAGCTAGAAACCTATTTATCGCGCGTGAATATCTCGATATCGACCTCTGAATCAAACAAATCATTGAGAAATTAAAGCCGCGGTTCCGGCCAGCGAGAAGAACTTCCCAGGTTTCTAAAGTTGAATCACAACGCAATGTCTTCAAGTAAGTGCCTTATGCGCTGCTTCTCCTTCTCCAACACTTGTGGTTCAAGCACATAACGTTTGCAAAAGCATGCGACATTCCACCATGATGGCCGCAAGGCGTGCATTGAATGGTCTGCACGCGACCAAAAAATCAAATTTGACGTTCAATATCTCCTGCGTCGCAACCTCACACGTCAGGCGATCGTTCCACCCCAGCGTCTGGCGATGTACTTCACCACGATGACTCACTCTGCTATCTACCATTCACTGACCGAGCTCAACAGCTGACGCATACAAATCTGCGCTTGAGAGCAACCACAAATGGGCTCACGAGGTTGCCGAGAAGGACCCGGAGTTCTTTCCCACATGCTCGAAGGGACAGGCTCCTGAGATCCTATGGCTAGGCTGCGCGGATTCCCGCGTGCCCGAGACCACGATTCTGGGAGTAAAGCCTGGTCAAGTCTTCACCCACCGCAACATCGCCAATATCATTTGCCCTTCCGACATCAGCATGCTCTCTATTGTCGAGTTCGCGGTCTTCCACATCAAGGTCAAGCACATCGTGCTTTGCGGCCACACCTCGTGCGGTGGCGTCGCTGCCTCCCTGGCCAACTCTAAGCTAGACATCCTCGACGTCTGGTTGCAACCGCTGCGTCTCCTGCGAGAGAAGTACTCAGACGAGCTGGCGGCGATGGATGAGGCGGAACGCGGCACGTTCCTGGCGAAGGAGAACGTACGTGCAGGTGTTGAGCACCTCAAGAGGATACCGACCGTGATCAATGCCATTCGCGAGCGTGGTCTTGAGCTTCATGGCGTCATCTACAACCTGGGCACTGGCAAGCTCGAGGAGGTGACCTGCGACGAGGATGAAGCGTTCTGCGTGAAGCGTGTCGCCGCGTTTGAGCGATCATAAATCACCGCGTCAGCAAAATACATATAGTGGAAGGAAATCAGGTCACGGCGGCATCATACGTCGTGGGTCGGGCGTTGAGCGGAAGACATTGGGGAAGCTGGCTATGTCCTATGCCATGTTGTCTGTAGATTTCTACCTCGAGTGCATTCGCAGCCCCCCAATACATCGTTGACAATCTCTGGTATATGTCTGGCTCTACCGAGGTAATGATCCATTGAGCAGTGTCCTGCTATGTGCTTACAATGCGAAGTCCAAGGAACCCATCGCCTGCAACTTCAAAACAAATTTCCAATCGTAATGTCACCTGGGCCGTCATTTTTGCGACAATCCACCTTCTCTTCTCCAGACTGTGAGGGCTGATCGGCGGGACTCCCGCGCGGACAGAGAGCTTGCCAAGGCGTGCGCTAGTCTTCCGCGGTCCAAGCTCAAGTGACCGAAATTCTTTCATTTTCAATTTGACAACAGAAGAATGCAACCTGATCATGTTCACCAGCAACCGCAGACCACACATGGACACCTCAGAATCGCCATTCCGCATATGCGCAATTTAGATTGTCTCTGTGGTCTGCCTCATCACAACAGGTATGATACATCTCTCCTCCCCCGCGTGCCTCCGTTGATGATATGGCAAAAACCGCAAACTAGAGTCTTTGACCTCATTAGAGGACTGAAACTTCATTGCTACGTCAGTCTGAGCTGCATATGCTCCACAGCACTATTCGACCCGATGCCATCGATGATACTTCCGCTGACAATGACAATAGATCTCGCGATGCTTTTATAGCTAAGTAGTGTTTTTCGACGCCAGTGGACACCCCATCGTGTAACGTCTTATCATGTGAGTTGCAGACACTACCTTCCCTTCTCAGTTTCTTTTTATGATGATTTTAAGCAAAAAATGGAATTACCGGCCGAGGCTATGCCGCTGGCGAGAACATTGGCTCAATACGCCTGATCACTCTCCTGTCTTCCGAAATAGAATCGATGTCGATTTTAATAGGCTCAAGCTGACGTTTGAAACAGGTTGTTTTCCAGTAACGTGCCCCTCCACCGACCGACCAAGGTTGATATGTTTCAGCTTTGGAATTATGAGAACGGAAGCTCTGGTCCCTGCTACGCCGTGGTATAAATCCTCGCGCTCTCTTCGCGCAGCGTGATGAATGTAGATCTATTCAATCGCGTGCAGATCTTATCCGCACGCATCTTCATTTGATGACAATCCAATCATTCAGTTCATTGAAAGTCTACCACTTCATCAGCAGATGATGGACCTGCATTCTGGAACTTGACAATTGTGCCTGATCGCACGCTTCAACCTGCCAGGTAAGTCGACTTTATCCGCAGACCGACATACCTTTGTTCTGAAGAGACGGCACTGGGCTCCGAATCAGAATGAGCCGATACGCCACTTCGTGACAGGCCTAGAAAACCTAGTCCACTGATCCATCACTCAACAACCTCCGCAACAAGCAAGCGCTTCGCTCACCTAGGCTTTTTACTGATGAAAGCTTGTGTAGACGCTTGTCTTTGATCTGAACAATCGGCTGGCAAGGCGCTTCAGTGACGGTATGTCTTCTCGTTTTTTCCTCTTCACTCCCCCCTCTTGTGATGAACCCTTTTAGATGACGAGTCTTATGCGAATTCTTCGATGCAGACACAACTATTTAATACCATTCATGCATTTCCTGATTAAGTGCATATCACGCTTGACAATATTGTGGCAATCTCACCAACTCAAGCTGACTTCTTAACCAGTGACCAAGCCTGCAACTGCTCCCAGTGCTCGTGTTTTGCGCCGAACAGGGACACGACCCACTTTGCACGATGTAACGTTCCTGATACTTCGGTAAGTCATACTATCACTTCGGCCTTCTTGTGATGATCAACAAAAACGAATGACAAGCATATGTCCAAGCCACTGTGACAGGTGGCGCAGACGAAAAAGTTTTTTGAGTCTGACTTGAAGAAGTCATGAGCATGGATTATATCCAGGACGCATGGGAGAAGATCGTGCAGCAATACTGACTAAATTCAGTGTTTCGCCCATCACGCATTTTTCATTCGAATCTGCACACTCCTTGGCTAAAAGGTAAACAATATTTTCTTACTACCCCAGTTTCAAGATGAATTAATCATATCTCACGACGGTCGACATAGCGGTTCTTGACCGCATTGATGAGATGGCCTCTGACAAGGCCTCTGATTCTGAACGAAACAAACACGATACACGTGCAAGCACCGATTCATTTCAATTTCGCGGGTTGTGACTAACGCTGTCCGTGGCAGGTCTCGTTCATAGTCTCCAATGCTGGAGGCAGTATTCAACCAGTGTTCGGCGAAACATGCTCTACGCATAAGCAACTAGTAAACGGGTATCAATTTCAAACAGGCCGTGACCTCGTACGCAACCCACAAACACCTCGGTACTGTCCAATCGAATTGCAATTCCGCGTAAGCCGTGCTGTACCAACTTCGAGTCGGGTTCTGCCATCAGTCGCCTAGACAGATGCCCACAAATTCTTCGGCATTCACACCTCCTTCGCCGAGTACATCGAACTCTTCGATCATAGCCGCCATCTCCTCCTCCGGTATACCTTCTCCGAGATCACGAGCTACCCTCCGCAGATCCGCCAGCTCTATCCGACCTTTGTTGTCCGCGTCGAACAAACTAAATGCTCGCATGATCTCTTCTCGTGGGTCCCGTGCAAGCATTCGCTGTGCGGCTAGGTTGAGGAACGTGGCTCGCGAAAGTAAAAGTCGGCTTGGTCCAGAAAAGGTGGGTTTCTGCTGTTGCTGTGGGATTGGCGCCTTGGAAGAAGGTTGTCGAAGGCTGCTCGCAGGTACACCATGTGTCTGGACAATGTGGAGGAGTTCTGTTTTCGATATCTCGAAGCCAAGTGCCCTTACTGCAATTTTGAGCTCATGGTAGTCAATGTATGAATCCTTGTCAAGATCAAACAGAGTGAACTATGAAATGTCAAAACACCGAACGTCAGTCTCTGCATGTTATGATGTGCGCAATCGCTCCTCAAATAGGATATGGACTCACAGCCTCGTTCAACTCTTCCCTCTGCTCCTCGCTCAGTTGATCCAGCACTTGACGATCATCCACCTCCTGCTGTTCCCGCTCCGCCCGCTCCTTTTGCTCGCGCTGGAGCCGCTGTGCCTCTCGCTGCTGTGCTGACGCCGCCGTCGCGCCTCCCAATGCGCCGAATGCCCCAGCACTTTGCTGTGCGCCCGCGAAAGCCGGTTGCGAGCCGTATGGTGTTGCTTGAAATGTTTGGCCTTGTCCTGCGCCGCCCGTCCCACGCGTCAGGCCGGAGGTGTATGGCCGCGATGGGAATGCCATGGCGATCTTTGTGCGGTGTCGAGAACTGTTCGATTGTTGAATGTGGATAGAGACCGAATTTCACGCAGATTGTTGAAGCATCAATTCGTTGTATTCAAGCTCATCAAATAAATTATGTAGCACTGGTGGATATGTGTTTCGTGGTGCACGCGCCGACTTGCGACGCGTCGAGATTGGGTAATCCATGCCCAGGGAGGGACCTGTCGGGCTTATACCGACCCTAAGCCCTTGTCATACCTAGGTACGTACATAGATAGGTGATGTGGAAATGTCGTCGTAGATGTGCGATGGCGGCGAACAGAACCTGCTTCTCGGGCTGTGAGCACGACTTCTGACATCTTCAATGGCAATTTTATTGATCTACATATGGAGTATTGGAAGCTTCGGTTTTGAAGCCTCGCGGTTGCCAGAGGTCAGGTTCGGTGATTGAGGTTCTCTGTGCGGACTTCCGCTATTGTGCGAGTGGAGCGTTCTTCTTGTCTACTGCTTTTCACAGATGCTCATTCACGCTTACAGACTTTAGTCCCTCTCGCGCTGCCGAGCCAAACTTGGAACACAAGCACACAAGAGTCGTGCTCGCGATGAGTTTGAGACAATGAAGACCGAATGTTCGAATATCATTTCAAGTTTGCGATGCTGATATCATACTGCTCGTAAAACCCCCCAAAGCCCAAGTGATATGGACTTGCCCAAACCCTAACAAATCAAAGCTCCAGGGCTCCAGCTTAATTTCCGAACGCCAATGCTCTTGATGCCAATGTACAAATAGTCGCCCTATTCCTTTCCCTTATGACCATGTTAATATTTCTGTACCACCCCCGTCCTGATTGGTATTGAATCTGGATATCTCGTACCAGCGAGACTTGACTTGGGAAAGCCTTCCGATTTTGCCTGCATCTTCACGCGCTCCATCAAGTGCCCGGCTGGCAGGCTCGGCTCCTGTAGCCTCTTTACAAGCCGAACACGTTCGTCATCATCGAATGCATGTAGCTCGTAATGTTCTTTGATCAGTCTTTGCGACTCAGGCTTCAGGGCGCCGTATATTTTGTACCGACAGCCGTCAAGCGCGCATGTCCAGGTATCTTCCTGTCCGGGATCGTTGGCAGGATAGGTCATGTCATGTATCATCTTGTTAGCAGAGGTCCGACTGTCGGCGTTGCTATCCGTATTGTCAGGCGAGGAAGGTATGTCAATGCCTTCGTCCGAGAGGGCCCGACTGCTCTGCCTTTTCGGTGGGCGGTGCAAATCTCCTTCAATGAAATGCTTCCTCTTTCCTCCGCTCGGTGATTGTGCGTCATCGAGGATGCCACTGTGATCTACAGGAGCCTTCCCGCTTGCGCGAGGCTCGGTCTTGCCCGCCTTCGAAGGTTTGAGTCTGAGCACCGACTTGCCCTTCCTTCGAGGCACATCGGAGTCGCTGTCCGAGTCTTTCATAGGCGTCGCAGGATGCAGGCCATCCTCAATGGAATTTTCCGACTTCAACGTCTCGTTCAACGAGCGATGTGTACCTCTCTGCGGCCTCTCACGGCGCGATCTGCTGCTGCTGCTCGTCGTAGATGCCGTCTCGTCAGCTTTATTTTGCGCGTCTGTCCCTGTTGCCGGGTGACTTGACGTGGTAGGTGGTTTTATCCTTTGCCTGATCTCTGCATGTACTTCTGGGAACTTGCGTATTAGGTGGATATAAAGGGGGATCTTTGACCACGTTATGTCCTCCTTTCCGGTCACCATAAATGACAAGAGGGCCTCTTTGTGGTGGTATATGTGCTCTGCTGCGTCTGTGGAAGTAACAAAGCTTGATTTCGGATCTTTCGCATATTTCTCGAAAAACTCATCGGCGGTGTAGTGCGGTAAGGTTGTCATCGTCTTTCCTTTTCCTGATCTTCTCGGCTCACGGTATGCATCTGCGATGTAATAGAAGGTCTGGACGGCATCGATCATTCCTGCATAGGTTCGTTTGTAGGCTCGATTTGGCTGCAGTGTGAACCATCCTGCCTTTCCCGGCGCCCATAATGCGATGCTGCCATCCGGGTATTGACCGTATGAGAAGAATCGCACATTCTCAATCTGCATGCTTGTGCGCTTCTGATATGCGGGCCCTTTGTACAGCTGGAAGCGCTCGTCGGTGGGTGTGTCCAGCGTTCCCACTACCGTCACGGGATAATTCTGCGACGCCTCGAGAAGGCTGACAATGGCATCCGGGTGATCGGGCAGGTGGACCAGTGCGTTGCTGAGGTTGAACTCGGGCCATTCGTCGCTCTGATCTTCCAGCGCAGGGTCTCGTGCTTCAAGAATGTCGCTCTCCGGTGTGGGTGCAGCCATTATAGTCGAATAAGCATCTCAAAACCATGCATCGTATGGCTATCCAGGCTAACGATCGAGACCTTTTAGTCCTGCTTGTTAGGCCTGCTCATTCGAACGACAATCGTGGAGTGATATGGTGTGACGTATGAACGACTTTGCGGCCGAGGAACGCGTCGAAATGCGCAAGCTTCGCGTGCATTACGTAATGACGATACGAGAAATTCGCGTATGCCCGCGTTGCATCAAAACTTGCGTTATTCTTGTTGGTCATCGATCATACGACTCAAGCCCACGACAATCCACAGGTTGATTCTAGCGCGGCAACCGTTTCACGGAAGTTCACCAACCAATTTAATCACAACACTCTCGTCCATGGGTAGCCGGCAAATAGTCTGGCATTCTGTCACCAAGCCGATCCAATCCGCCCTCAAAGAATACCGCAAGCCACTTGCGAAGATGTCACAATCGACCACGGAACCCGCATCGGAGGGAATCTTCGGTACGAGGGATTCAACCAAGTCCTGAAAAATGTTGAGCATCTGACACCTGTCAGCGATCGCCAAACCCACTGGAATAAGCTCTGCGCAAGTCATTCGGGAGGTCCAGCGAAGCTTCAATCCTTCAGCTCTCTTTAAGCCGGGTCTAGACAGAGAATTCGAGCGTCGAAGCAGAGAGCCTGGCTTCGAGAAGAGAAAGCGCAGTGCTGCAAAGCGTGCAATGAATGTGAAGATCGGCCATGGTGGAACTTTGGACCCCTTAGCAACGGGTGTGCTCATCCTCGGAATTGGAAGCGGCACTAAGAAGCTAGGCCCCTTCATGACGGAGTGCAACAAACAATATGAAGCGGTCCTACTCTTCGGCGCAGCGACAGACACATACGATACTGAAGGCAAAGTACTGTCCCATAAACCATACGAACACGTCACACGGGAAGCTGTTGAGATTGCTCTTCAGAAATTCAAAGGGCAGATCATGCAAAAGCCTCCAATCTATTCGGCTCTACGTGTTCAAGGGAAGCGAATGTACGAGTATGCAAGAGAGGGAAAAGAGCTACCGATTGAGATCAAAGAGCGCCCAGTCAGTGTTCTCGACATTGAAGTGATCGAATGGATGGAAGGCGGAACGCATCCATGGCATTGGCCGGAGCAAGAAGCAGAGCTCGAGGACAAATTAGTCGCCAGAAAGGCTTTACATATCGAGGGCGATGTGTCTGCTTCGGAAGAGGCTTCATCTATTTCAGCGAAGAGGAAGCGGGAAGACACTGCTCCTGGGCCCGATGATGCTTCTCCCGAGCTATTGGATAAAAGAGTAAAGACGGAAGAACAAACACCAAGTGGTCAGCCAAGTCGTTCGACTGATGATCTACCCACGTCAAATGCAGAAGTCCAGACTGCAAACAAAGAGAATCCAGCATCGGCCATTGATGTCCCTGGTGGTGATTCCACTGCCCCGGAGACAGCTACTCGGCCGCCTTGTCCCGCACCGGCCTGTCGGATACGTATGGATGTCACGTCTGGATTCTACGTTCGAAGTTTATGTCACGATCTCGGGGCAGAAGTAGGATCACTTGGGATCATGGCGAGTCTGGTACGCACCCGACAGGGCCAATTCAAGCTCGGAACGAATGTTTTGCCCTTTGAGGATGTGAGCAAAGGTGAAGAGATCTGGGGACCAAAGGTGGAAAGCCTGTTGAAGCAATGGCAGGAGAATGAGAGTAAGGGTCGGAGTCGTGAGTAGGATAGCCCTCCTGACCACGCCTCGCCATCCCATCGCAGTGATGTGTCAATGCAACACTCAATTGCGGTCCCTGCTCTTAGGATGGAATATGCCACTTTGCTTTCCATAGCTCGACTCAATGCAAATGTATCACAGGGACAATTGTACTTCTTCTGGGCTGTATAGTAAAATCTGTAGATTGTCATGATGTTCGAGTCCGCCTAGAATCCTGACGAGCTCGACCATGACCATTCGGTGTGTCACATTAGCGACTTTATCTCGCCGCACCAGCACAGACCCGATGGCCTCTCAGCCGCCGCCAGCCGCGTTCGATGCTGTTGCTTGCCTCCGTGGACACACACATCTGCTTTTCTATCAAATCTCGCTCCGTCGACGATTCAGACATCTGATTATTGCCGCCATCTTACATCACTAGCATTCGAAGACTCGAAATTTTTGTTACAATGGCAATTTCGGCATTGTCGACATGGCCCTTAATTTTGTTCGGGGTCCTTGAGCCTGCCGCATTGTAAGAGATTCTTTCCAAATCCACTAGAATGACATCGAGGCATGCATGAGTCTGAATATTGACTTCATTTAGAATATACGCTTATATCACGGTCATCGCCGATCCATTCCGCTTCTTCGCTGATCAAGTCCCCCATCACTCTCTTACACAAGCGGATTTCAGCCCTCAAGCGTTGTCCATGACAATGCAGATCGTGAACATCTTCCTGCTCTTGGCTGCGATAGGTATCATATGCTGCTGGACCACGCATGTCTCCATCGTTCGTTGGTATCTCATTGCAGTCGCACTCGGGGATCTGGGCCATATCTACGCTACTGCTGTTGGAATGGGTCCGGCAGCTTTCTGGGATGTGAATGGATGGAATCATATCGTTTGGGGCAATGTCGGTGCGAGCATCTTCTTGCATGTGAACCGACTGGCGACTTTATTGGGCCTTTTTGGACCATTGAGGGACGTTCCCACCACATTGAAGCAAAAGAAATGATGATCATATCCTTGGCTCGGGCCTGGTGTCGACACAATGATATCGAAGCTAGTGGCTGTGACACAATTATTCGAAACAATGTGGGCATCAGCAGCGCGCAATTTCATCAGAGATGACACGATTTCAAGTTTTGCGTATATGTTCGATCTTCCAGAGCGTGCAGAAGGGCCTGGCAGCGATAGGAATGGAATGACGCTCTTGTCAGATTCCTCCAAGGTGCGGCTGTACACGCCGAAATTTTTGAATTGTGCCCGTTTTGGTGAGATGGACTTATCTGTACTTGAGAATCTGGAATGTTACATACTGCAGCCCAACAGAGATTCAAGTTGCGGAACGCTTCGAAATACCATTTCACCCGAAAAGTGTGCTTCAAGATGATGCGTAGTGTATGCGCAAATCGCGTTCCTGGCGACATGTGAAAGTGAAATCGAGGCATATGACAATGGCGGATGGGATAGCTCACCAAATTCACTCCTACAGCTCCAAATCTAACATGCTTCGCATAGTGGAATCAGTCACATGAGAAAGGCCAACGACACCATCTGAACACCAACAATGGCTTCAATTGACGCTGGATCGTATCCTCACCAACGCGAAAGTATCTACAGCATGGACTAACCTTTCATAACCACAACCAGATTGTGCTTCGCTCACCGAGTCTTGTCGATTGTGGAATATTACAAGCCTTGGTCGTAACTCTACATTCAACATGGCCTGCACAGATCCTGAAGGTCGTCTGCCATATGCCGGTGGACCAGTGCCCAGGTCTCTGCAGACCGGCGATTCGGATGAGTCAGGCTGTTATAGGTATTTGATGAAGGGCTCCGTCGACAGTTCTGGAAATGTGTGGGTAAATCCTCCGATCAGGGGCAGAGGCACAGGGAAATCCACGAGAAGGGACAGCGCTATCGTCATTGATGGCACTGTTCGAGATGCAAATGGCGGAGTTTGGTCTTCGGAGCAAGGCTGCATGCTTTGGGGCTTGGGCCGGAACCGGACCACTATATCACAAACAAAAAAGCAAGCGCAAACGACCGAGATTACAGAAATGAACTTCACTCCAACTCCAAGACAAAATTGGGCTCTTGCACCGGTGTTTACGCCAAAGTCTCACGATCAGAATAGAGCTGAGCAATCGTTGGCGCCTTTTGGCATGATAACACCTCCTGCCGAAACCCACATCCGGTCGATACTCTCAGCAGAGCACCTCTTTGCAATCAAGTGCACACAAGCACTGGTAAAAAGTGTAGGGAATGATGATTGCTTCCAGAGTCCCATGCTCGGGCCGGAGCTCGTTTCGCCAAAGCAAATTCAGCATTCGCCAAAGAAGATCCGGCATACGCCACGCCTGAATTTTGCATCACGAGACCATCACAATCAATACGATCACACGCGAATTTCTACTCACGTACAGGAGCTTCCATGTTCGCCGACAAAAGCCGAGAATATTGCCAAGAGCCAAAGGTCGCTACGAGAAGTCTTCGCTCACATTCAAAACAAAATCGAGCATTTCGTACGTACCCACGTCAAGATCTCGATCGCCGCGACTGACATACACGACAAAGGCTTCCTCGACTTCGTCAGGCGCTGTACTAAGTTCATGGGGAACGCAGAAGAGGCGTCGAAAATCCTATACGAGCACCCGGAATTTCATGGATCGCTGGTCTCCGGTCTCATCTGGCAGCTTGCCGCGGTCCTCATTTTTCACGAATCGCTAATGGACACGTTCAAATCCCAGCTCATCCTGCAATTCAAAGAAGCTTGGTTTGCTGAGGCCGAAGATCAACATAACCCATTTGCGGATCTCCACAAGACTGCTCTTGAGCGTGCTTCTATTGCCAGCCAGATCGTTATTGTTCCAGGCTTCTGGTCCACCTGGCGCTACGAAAAGGCTCGAGAACTTGCTCAACACTTTCAACGTGCCCTCTCGCCAGCCTGGCACACCGCACAAAGCGCTTCAGCGACGTGCGGCAGTGAAGCCTTTGTCGAACATCAAGTTGCGCAACGGTGCGCGGCACTCGAGACCATCGTCCGTTTGATGCTCGAAGTAGTAGTCCGGCTCCGACAGGACCCAAGAAAATATGAGCTGCAGTTTCCGCGTTACCTAGACGCCTTTGATAGCGAGTCGATGGTCTGTCCAAATGCTGCCGTAGGCCAGAAAGATGGCACGAAGGATGCATCGTCGGTAGTGGTGTTATTGACAAAGTCACCATGCTTGGTCATGACGGAGATGTCGAAGAAAGGACAGGGTGCGTCTGTCCGTAGAGTGGAGTATAAGGCCGAGCTCCATGTTGTCAAGGTGAAGGAAAAGTTGTGGCCGGAACCTGCCTCACGACGAGTATCGCGTTAGGAATGATTTTGCCAGACTTTCCCTGACGTTCGATCGGTGCAGGATATCGCTTGTGCACTGATTTGCTTGCCATGCGTACTTGGACCAAAGCTGCGCTCAGGATGTTGGAGAGTCCCCGGCAGGACGCGCTACAGGACAACAGTCTTCTTGCTGCCAAATATTTGTTGAAGCAAATTTTTGAGGAGAGGGTTATTGCTTGGCAGGCGAGCCTTGATCGACTCATTCGCTCGCTTGCTGCCAGATTTCGCGTTTGCACACAGGTCCCGTGAGAGTCGCATTTCCATCTTTCCGACGCAGTCTGCTTTACTTCTTACGCAGACGTCTTCGTGTATTGATTGAACAAATGACATACATAACGCACTGGTTCCTGCGTCACGAAGCAATCTCGAGTCGTGGGTGTCAAAGGTGATGTGGCCCAGCTTCATGACAACGATTCGTTTGCATCGCAAATCACACCAATGAGGCACTCGAAGCGGTCGGACATGCAATGTTCAACCTGCTTCTGAATATCCCGTCTGCTCGAACAATAACCTCACGCTTCACCTCTTACATCAATCGACCACGAAACTTTCATTCGATCATTCAAATGCAATCGAGTCTGCCGATGGCTTGGGACAGAAAACTAGGTCATCGGCTACGGACCAGCCCCTGAGCGGTGAAGCGGCCATCGCGGGTGATCTGTATGTATGATCTTTGTCCACTCCTATTTGTTTGATTGAAAAGGACCAGGGCGAACACAACATTTGCCACGAGACTGCCGTCGTTGTATACTGCGCGGAGCCTCGAGCCTGCAGCCGCCCGCCCAATAAGTCGGACGTGTGAGAGCCGAATGTGGGCGTTGGTCGAATTGCCGGGCGAACTGGACGCAAGCTGCAGAGCAATTCTGCCATTGCTCAATTGGTAGAAGATGACATCGGTCGATTAGCTCAACGATCCGCCTGAGCTGTCGCTACAAGCCACAACGAACTCGAGCATTCCCTCGGTACAACAGCGTCGCAGATCGAAATGGCCTTTCAAGGCTAGCCCAAGAGACCAACGACGATTCACGCACACTCGCAAAAACGTCAGGCTGAGCTGGACAGGTTTAAGTTTTGATGGCCGGGCCTTCCTCCGACCCGATGGGACGCTGTGCTGGAGGAAGTTGAGCTTCTCTCAGCAGAGATCTGGTTTTGCAGCCTTTCCGATTGCTCGGGATGACTCGGAGCAGATTCGCAATGTTACTTGACACGGACTCGCCAGAGCGAGAATGCCTGAATGAGAAACGCAATGATGATCGGAGAATGAGTGTGCGCTCTCTCTCTCGCAATTGTTCCAGAGTAATAATTGAAGGGTATCATTCGCTTATCCAAATACAAGATCATATATCCATCCATGTCCACGTCTCCAGGCTGTGGCATTTGCGCCCCCCACCCCTCCGAGCTCCAGCCGCATCCCTGAATACCCTGCAAGTTTCCGACTCAAATATGATGTAGTGTGAGAAGGGCAAGATTTGTCCCTGCTCAGAAGTCACGCACAGGCCGCTTCGCTCATCCTGCCAAAACGCCGGGAGTTATTGATGAGCCGTCAGGGGCGATTTTGATGTACGAAATTCCTGGGCTCCCGTCGAGTTGATAGTACACCAATGGTCCCGAGCCGATCGATGATATGTACGCGCCTTTGGCAGAGGGTTGGTTGTATACAGCGCGGAGCTTGGTGCCGACGGGCACCTGTCCAACGATTCGGTAGTTGGTGTTGAGGTAGATTGTGGATCCATCTGGTGGAGGATTGGCTGGGGTCGTTGTGGAATAGACTTGGACGACGCTGCCGTCGGTGGCTTGGTAGAAGATTGAAACTGTCGCGCCGGCTTGGTCTGTGCTGCAGGCAGAAATGCTGGAGCCAGCGGCGACTGGAGGGATGTTGTTTGTGAAGTTGAACTCTGTTACAGCGAAACGAAGCCACGTTAGTGGAGTTTACGACGCTCGCCCCTCAAGCCTTTCTACACTCTCGGATGACTGTATCGCACCGCGTCTGGCGCAAGCCTGGGAAACACTTACTATATCCTGAGCCCTGCCCCGTTGTCGTGTTGTACACGGTATAGAATTGGTTCAAGGCACCCGTGACGTTGTTGCGTGTGTAGATTTGCGACAGTGCACCGTAGGTGTTCACGCCGACACCACTGTCGGGATCCAAAACATTAGTTCCGGCGAACCCGGGCAGAGATCGGCCGTTCCAGGTACCGTTGCCGAAGATGGCGCCATTTAGACCGACCGACCTCATACCCAACTCTGAATCCGAAAACACTACTCGTAGGCCGGTGTATCCAAATGTGTAGGAATCAAGAGCGACAATGTTTCCGGCTCTTGGAACAGCATCTTCCACTATGCTCAGCGGAGTCGACCATGCTGATGTGGCTGTACGATTGGTCATCATGAGCCTGCCTGTTGTATCGAAGTAGAAAACAAGTCTCTATAGGTGAACCTCCAGGTCAATATTGTGGCTTCGATTATGTAAATGGCGACTATGGAGGCTTACCAAGAGACCAGCAGGGTCGGGATATGTTGCAGCAGTGATGGGCGTGCTGTCCAGGACGTTCGCAGCCGCGACAACTGTGTCCGAGCCTGATGATTCTGCAACCCATTGCGAATTCTGCCAGGATAGCTCACGGATTGCGCCTTTCTGACCCTGATAGTATGCATATGCATTTCCAGTGGAATCGCCAGCCTTGACTACCGCAAAGCCGCTCTTGCTGCGCGCGGTATAGGAACTTGCAGCGGTCGTCCCATTTGAGTTCGAGTTCGAGTTCGAGTTCGAGTTCGAGTTCGAATTCTGATCTCCACTCGAAGTGGTGGATGGTGTGCTATTCTGTGCCTTTGATCTGTTGCCCAGCGTCACGCCGAGACCTACGCCGAGCGCTGTGGCAATAACCGCACCGATCACGATTGCAACGATGATGCAAGTACGCTTTGTAAGACCACAGTATTTTCTAGTAGGTTGACCCTGTGGCCGTAATTCGCGCGCATGCGGATCGTCATTCGCCACAGAAGCATAGTGCGTCTCGATTTGGGATTTTGGTTCGTCCTCTGAAACCGGGTCAAGGGCGAAGGGTGGTGAACTGTATTCAACGACCTCTGGTCGTGTGAGTGAGGATGTCCGCTCTACAGGTTTGTAGTGTTCCAGGTCACTGTGCTGAGGAACCACCTCTAGGCCTTCGTAATCCTGCATGTTGACAGAGGAATACTGATACTGGGATTCGACCATGAGGAGGATTGGGTGAGAGTCGACTCTCTGACAGTAGGGAAGGCTGGAGTAAGTATAGCATCTTCTAATCCCTGACCGACCATCACCCAAACCGCCAGCAAGGAGCTAGAAGGATCGCATGGGCTTTTGCCGATCCTACCATTGCGAGGTGCGCACGCGAGCGACACAGGCCATTATTGGGCACATGGCAGGGAGGTACCGAGACTTGTGCACGGTTTGCTGTGCAGGAAGACACACCACTTTCCGAATCCCTGCGAGGCAGTGCTGCTTGCATTTGCGACTGGTTTGTCGCTATCGACCCTCGCTCTGCAGCTAATGCTTGGACGTTGGACGAGTGGACGTAGACTCGGCTGGCCTGTTCCGGTTGCACTAAATGGCTGTAATCCACCATGATACAAAACTCGCGGGATCCATCAATTTCGATGATTATGCTGGTCGACCGGTCACCATCAGTCCGAGAATGGGTGTCTGCGACTCCAGAGCCTTTCTGTCATCAGACGTATGCCCACTGGACGAACTCAATCCACTGCAACTTCACCATATATGGTATACCGCGAGTCGACAATGTCGTGTGCATGGTGTGACCGCAACACCCATGGCTATTTTCGGGAGATACCTCGTCTTGGGTACCTAAGTATGCATGGATGGTACATGCGAATATGTCCACTAGTGGATTGTAATAACATGCAGTGGGTGGTAGGGTGGCATGATATTTGATGATGAGGGAAAAGCGTCGCTCGAGCCCTGGCAGTGGCCAGCCGAAAGCTTCCAAGCGAACCTTGGGACGGAGGCTTGCCCGATTTCGGAACTTTGCTGCACCTCTCTCCTTCTCTCCCTCCCATCACTCTCCCGCGAAGATGCTCCACACGCGAAGGCATTTCATTCCACAACCTCAAACATTATCGCGATCATTCAATCATGAAGAGATCGAGCTTTGATACGAGTATACGTGACGGAGGAAGGCCCGCGATCATCTACAATCTCACTGCATGCTATCAGTCGTTCAACAACACAGCGGATCGAATTCGCCAGTGACAGTGACAGTCATATAGATACCGCTGTGGGAGTATGGAGACACAACGAACAGTAACAACCTTGGAAATTTAGAAATAGAGAGCTGCAATATCTGTCGTCGTACAGGGGCACATAGCCAAGACATCGGTGGAGGCTGAGAGCAGAAAGGGTTACATACATTAGGTACCTAGGTAGACACATGCCTGGACGCCCGTGTAGAGCCCCTCACCGGTCGTGCTTCCTCAGCCTTTGCTACAGTAGGGTGCTTTCCTTCGATGGTTGCGACATTCATTCACTCGTGGGCAATGTGTGATGGTGAGACGGATATCGGATGCGGCGATGTGTCAATGGACAAGCTTTCTATATAACCCACGGGCTCCTGGAGTCTATACAAAAGCATCCGAGATTATAATACATGCACAATCGCTAGGACCCCTGCCCGACTACGAGACCAGATGATTCAAGTCCAATTCTTGTTCATCAAAGTATCGAGTGCAAATCGAATTGAGCATCTTTTGAGGCATGTCGATCGCCGGGTGGACACACAGCATCTGCGTCGTCTCGGTAGTAGATCGCGGGACTTCGCTCGTTCGCGAACGCATGTTGTCTGTGGATACGATCGTAAAATATCGATAAGGTGGACGTCTAATCTAAACAGGACGTCGCAGTACAGAACTGCAGCAGAGATCGAATGCTGTGGACTGGACTGTATGTATCCACGGCCCGATACGAGCGCGCTTGACATCATCCGTCGGACGAACACCCCGCCATCGGTCTGTTGAGCATCGTCACATCCGGCCGCGCTGGATCATACTGGCAAATCACACCTGCAGAGTACATCAACCACGTATTGACATCTGTCGAAGTGATGTATCAACTTTGCAATCGTCGATACTCTTAACACCATCTAAGTGACGCTTCACCCGTTCCTGTACCAAATCTGCCCACAATGCCTTCCCCTCAGCGCCTCCGCCTAGCCTGCTCCCAATCCCGTACCCTCTCCACCCTTTCCGCAACTCTCGATGCCCTGGCCTCTACAACTCGAGCCGCCGCCGCCGCCGGCGTCGACCTGATTCTCTTCCCGGAGGCTTACCTCGGCGGGTATCCGCGGACCTGCTCGTTCGGCAGCACGATCGGCGCGCGGAGCGACGCGGGCCGGGAGCAGTTCCTCCGGTATTTCCGGGACGCGGTCGACCTCGGAGACACGCCGCGCGGCGCCGGCGAGGACTGGGTCAAGCGCAGACTACCGGTCCCCGCGGAGAAGGAGTACCGTGGTGACGGGACACGGGAGTTCCTCGAGCGGTTGGCGAGGGAGACGGGGGTGTTTCTCGTCACGGGGGTGGTGGAGAGGAGCGGAGGGTCGCTTTATTGTAGCGCGGTGTATGTCTGCCCGCGGCTGGGGTGTCTTGGGAAGCGGAGGAAGGTTATGCCCACAGGCTCAGAGCGCTTGGTGTGGGCGCAGGGTTCGGCATCGACCTTGCGGGCGGTCACGACTACGATCAAAGGCGTGACACTTACAATGGCGGCAGCGATCTGTTGGGAGAACCTCATGCCGCTGCTGCGTCATTCGCTCTACAGTCAGAACGTCAACCTGTGGCTGGCGCCGACGGCGGATGCGCGCGATACCTGGCTACCTCTTGTGCAGACCATTGGAAACGAAGGCCGCTGCTTCGTGATGAGTGCTATTTCGTGCGTGCGGAGGAAGAACCTCCCGGATTGGGCCCCGGATGGGACGACATATGATGTTGCATCAAAAGAACTCGCTCCGAAGACATCTGCTACGAATGCGACTACCTCCTCCAGCGACCGTCGACGCAGATCCACCGTTACTATTAAAGAAGGGGAACATGAGCTCGTCTTGCCTCGGGACGAGAGTGAAGTCCCTGCCACTTCAGACGATGTCGCAAAGCCAAGCGGAGCTGCCACAGTTGCCCAGAAATTGGGAAGCGCCATCGCTGATGATATCGATGGCGACGAGTTTGTTTGCCGTGGAGGCTCCTGTATCATCGGTCCTCGAGGTCAGATCCTGGCGGAACCCCTTTGGGAGGTCGAGGATGGGGGATTGATTGTGCAGGATGTCGATTTCGATGACTGTGATCGCGGCCGCCTGGATCTTGATGTTGCAGGAAGCTATAGCCGCTCTGATGCATTCAAACTCACGGTCGAAGGATTGAATATTGATCCGCCGGCTTAAGCTTGATCCGCGTGAACGCACACGTAGCGAGCGGGCTGAAATTGGCTTGAAGGTATGCTCTACCATCTCCCGAGAGCTTGGGTGTCCTGTGCAAGTAATCGGCAACAGCGCAGCATCACAGTTGTGCGTCCTGCAATTCAGACTCGATGCTCCACTCGCAAGGTGTAGATTAGAACTACACTCAATCACGACGAGGGCAGGCAACCTGACGAAGCCCTTAAGGCGTGGATTGGCTCATCCGCTGACGGAGCCCTGGTTGGTGATCTTGCCATCACGGTCGACTTGCAGCACCGAAAGCCCAGCCTTTCCAATCGCGTCCTGATAGTAGAGCACGGCACCTGCACCTCGGTCACTGTCAATGCTGTTGAGGGAGCCATCGCTGTACATGGCACGCAATTTGGTTCCCCGAGCTGCTTCGCCTAGGACTTGGAAATCGGTCAAACTAGCGGGCTGAGAATACGAGAGTGCTCGGACGAGGCTCCCGTTGGTGGTCTGATAGAAGATAAAATCTGTGCCAACGCCTGTGCCATCGTTGCATGCTGCGATATCTGATCCAGGCGCGATAGGTGGAGCGCTGTCAGGCATGGAGGCCACTATCAATTCCAAGTCAGCTTGGGTTCGAAAATATACGAGCAATCCGTCATTCTAGCTTGATATGCTCCTCTCAAGTTCGGACAAGTGGACGCATACCGACAGACCATTGCTCAAGGGCGCTGGTGTTTTTGTATCCGAACATCCATTGATCCAGACGGCCGGTATTTCTGTTGCGAACAAATGCATGAAGTTCTTTATTGTAGCTCGTGGTGCCGACGCCACTCAAGCCATCACTGCTGGGAGAAAGCGGCGACCTCGCTCTCCCATCCCAGAAGCTGTCCGGGAACGGGTCACCTTGAAAGCCAATCTCCCGGATATTGCCGTTCCTCGACCCATAATAGACTCTTACTGCACTGCGACCGAGATACGTGAGCGAGAATGTATCGAGTGCAAAACTGTTGGCTGCGGCAGTATCGTCTTGGAGCACAGCGTACGGAGTTGACCAGCTGCCGGTGGTTTTGTTGGTCATCATGACTTGGCCGGATGCGCTCAGGAAAAACACGATTCTCTAAGTGCCTCATTAGCACCCTGCTTTCGTGTAGCCTCGTTCAGCAAAAGGTCAAACTCACCCAGACTGTATTGGACATCGAGAGAGATGTTGCGGCTATGTGTGTTGTGCTCTTGGTGGAATTGCTCGGTACTACCAGGTCGGAGGTTGTTTGGGATGTCCAATTGCTGGGATTCCGCAGAAGTCGCTCGCGAATACTGCCATCTGGAGCTTGATAATAGCCAAAGACTCGGTTGTCGGGATCGTCATTGAGTGTCATGACATCGAATCCGCTCATGCTCTTCGCTTGTAGAGCAGATGGCCCTTCTGGTGCTGCTGTGTTCCCGTTGTTGTTGCTCGAATTGGAATCAGGCTGCTCACCTCTATGTCTGATTGTCAATTCTAAGCTGGACCGAAAAGTTTGCGCGCAACGACAAACCTGTCCGCGTGCTGACGACCGAATACGACACCGAGCACGACGCCGAGCACCACTGCTAGTACGATGCCGATCACAACCGCGACAATAGTGGCACGTCTCTTGCTGAGGCCGCAGTGTCGTGACTGCGGCTGCGATGGACTTGCACTAGGTATGTCATCTTTGTTTCCATCTCGGAACACTCTTGCGCGATCGTCGACAATCAAAGACGATTCCTCGGTTGGCCTGTTTTGTTTCGGAAATTGTGCACTGTAGACAGGCACAGGCGATGACCACGATGGCGGCCGGGAACTCCTTGGCGGGTGGTGTACATCAGCAGGCTCAAGATCACTGTATGCCGGCACAACTTCAGGTCCATCATGGAAAGGCATCGTCATGGTCGTCGATTGAGCTCGGAAAGTGAGGACGAATACCTCGGAAGTACAGCGCGTCTCACATCAGGAATGAAGAATGGTTGAAGTATATACATAAGTTCCAATCCAGCACGATTCCGAGACTACTGAAATCATTGACAAGAAGTGCCCTGACCGCAGGATTCGTCCATTGAATGAGATTATGTGTGTGGGTAGCATCCGGTGAACATGAGTTCCAAGGAAAGTATATTCACAAGCGGCCCCTCACTTATCCAGCACTACGCTGCTATGTGCATGCACGGTCGCGACAATAATCTCGAAAGGAGGTTTCATGTCCATGACTATGTCATGATGGTGGTCAGCTTAGGTGCCGGCCGGAAGACATCGTTGGCCCGCTGGCTGTGGAATATGCACTTGGACTTCGTTGCCAAGCTGGGCAAAGCCATAGTGTTGTCCATCGGCAATGCGAGTGACTCTTGGCCACGGCAGTGGCTTCTTGATTGACATACATGCCGTGCAGTGGTAGTGGTGATGAAGGACATGCAAGCAGGAGGTTGCAGGATTTCGCATCACATAGCGTGCTGTTTAGTTTATTCTTAGAAGTGCTCATGCGGGAGAGAGACGCTGCACAGCCCTAAAATACCACAAAGGCTGATAATCCTTCAGGGAGACAATCTCTATGATGGACTCACGAATAAATCAACGTATTGCTCGCACAGTCTAAGATCTTTGCATACTTCGAATGCCTACAGATCATGTCATTGATTGGAGGTTTGGATTGCAGGCTCTGCAGGCCATGTGCAAACGAATGTCGATAGACTGCGGCGCGTTGACTGTTGCAGAGATATCATTGTGGATATCAACGAGAACAATTGCAAACGACCAGCGTCCACGAAATACTACAGAACACAATTGCGGTGACGAGTACCTCATGTACTGTCGGCAGCTAATAGTGAAGACGTCCGGAAAGATGACTCGGCGATTCAAGGCGAGTTCTTCATGCGTGAGAGTTTGAGCATACATGCACGCCGAGACGCAGAAACCATGGTAGGTGGGCGATGGATACGGTCCACGGGTGGATGATATGCATGAATTGTTTGGCATAAAGTTGTGAGCGGAGGCACGTCCGCTGATGCCACAGGCGCAAGGGCAGTGCAGCATCACGTGACTGAGCATGTTTGCGCAGTATACTGTAGTAGCACCCGCTCACTTTGGTCTGCATGCCGCGGCATCATGACCTCATCAAATAGTTGCACGATTCACGGCGAGAACTTGTAATGATCTTCTTGCGGCGATTGATTCACGCTTGATGGGCTCCGGCATGGGACTCATGCATGTTTCGATAGATCGTCGTTCTATACCTGCTCGAGTCGAAGGTGGTGAGAGGATAGAGATTGAGATCTTGAGCTTCCGCCACCATGTCTTCGTGACGCCGTTAGAACCAAACCATGTGTAGAAGCAAATCAAGTATGCAGCATGCTTGATAAGCGGAGTAGACACTGATTAACTCCGAGCACATCTCCAACATCGTTCAGTGTTCCATCGCCTCCAACAACACCTATATTTTCGATCTGCAGTCTATTTTGGATCGAGCATCACCTCGTGTCGTCTCACGCTCGTCTCACAAGAACTGTTTCCGCTGTTAATCTCGGTTTCGGAAGGGTTCAGACTATCGCACGCGCCATTTCTCTCACGCGATCTGCATGCCGCGCGCGCCCACTTCCGCCACTTTGTGAATGTAGCCCATTGATCTGGAAGCGACTGTCAAACACACCGTGCATGGAGACGTCAAGTGAGGCAACAATTCCCCGCTCACACATCCCTTCCGCGAATGATCGGCGGCTACGATGAACACCAGCGAAGCGGTCTTTGAGGCCGAAGTCGATCTCAATGGTCAAAGGTCACATCAAAGGCGACAGCAACATGATTCGCAGATGGGGGCGCAAGGCTCACGGACGAGGCCTACCGCTGGGGATCTGAAATCAAGGGAAGAGTCGGACATTGCGGGTGAAGAGACGGCGCTCCTACGATCGAGTATGGAGGAACAGGATGCGCTACCTCTGCCGTCCGACGTCGACGACTTCGCCGGGTTTCCATGGTACAAACGACCGTCGATATGGTGGGTCATTGGACCATTCTTCCTACTGGCGTTGGCGTTCGGTGGGATCATCACGCCCAAGATGAACCTCATGCTGGATTTGGTCTGTCGAGAATATTTCGCCGAGCGCCAGAGGTTAGACCCAGGCTTCACGTTGATTCCAGTGGACTTCAACAATGGCGAGAATGAACAGTGCCGCATCCCTGAGGTTCAATCGCGAGTCGCGGCCCTGGCAACGTGGGGAAGCCTGATCACCGGTGTTCTGTCGGCCATCATCAGTCCCAAGCTCGGCTCCCTGTCCGATCGATACGGACGGAAACCGATCTTGATCCTCTCCAGCATGGGGACGATGCTCGGCGAGACGGTGACGATCGTCGCCGCCAATTTCCCGGAGACGTTTCCATCGTCATTGTTGCTGTTAGGCTACGCTTTTGATGGTCTACTCGGATCGTTCATCCTGGCCATGACCATATCCAATGCGTACATCACAGATTGCACGACCCCGCAAGCGCGGAGCATCGGGTTCGGATATCTTCACGCCTGTCTGTTCGCGGGGGTAGCGTTGTCGCCCATTCTCGCTGGAATCCTCGTCAAGGTGACCGGTCAGATCATCACGGTGTTCTACATTGCCATCGCGGTGCACATTGCCTTTATCCTCTACATGGCCTTCATTGTCCCCGAGTCTCTATCGAAGAGACGGCAGGAGGATGCGCAGAAGAGGCACGTTTTGGACCACATCCTCGTCGGTCCCGAATGGGATGTGATCAACAGCATCCGGGCGATGAACATCCTCGAGCCGCTCAAGATCCTCTATCCCACTGGACCGGGCACGACGTCGGCGCTGCGATCGAACCTTGTGTTGCTCGCTTCGGTCGACACGATCGTATTCGGCGTGGCGATGGGTGTCCTGCAGGTCTTGATCCTCTACCTGAACTACCAGTTCGGCTGGACGAGCTACGACTCCGGCGTGTTCATCTCGATCGTGAACACGTCCCGCGTGCTGGGCCTGGTCGTCGTCCTGCCGCTGATCACGCACTTCTTCCGGAACAAGAAGGTCCTCCGGCACGACAAGGGCAGCGACGAGTTCGACCTCGGCCTGATCCGCCTCGCCATCTTCTTCGACACCGTCGGCTTCCTCGGATACACCCTGGCCCGGACGGGGCCCCTCTTCACCCTCGCCGGCGTCGCGGCGTCGCTGGGCGGCATCGGGTCGCCGACGCTGCAGTCGGCCCTGACCAAGCACGTCCCGGCCGAGCGGACGGGGCAGCTGCTCGGCGCCCTGGGGCTGCTGCACGCCTTGGCGCGGATCGTGTCGCCGACGGTCTTCGGCATCATCTACGCGTCGACGGTGGGCAAGTTCACCCAGACGGTCTTCCTGTGTCTCTGCGCGACCTTTGGTTTGGCGTTCGTACTGAGTTGGTTCATCCGTCCTCATGGTAAGCTTTCCCCCTTTCCCCCCTTCGTTTTTTGTTTCTTCCGCGACATCCGTCTCCCTTGCTCCTCCATTTCGTTACCAAAAATTCCGGGAGGGCAAAATCCCGGCTCCATCCCCTCCCCAGGACCGAATCCCACTGACTCTCCCCTCCGCAGTCTACTACGAGGACCAAAAGCTGTCGGACGACGCAGCCGACGACGACGATGCCGGCGGAGTCGCCACCGGGGCAGGACCGGCAATCGCCACCGCCAGTTCGCTGACCGCCGTGACGGTCGGCGGGAGATGATGATGACGGAGAGCGGGATCCCGCCCCTCTGTCTCTCCTCTCCCGTAGAGAGATCCTCCGATGAGAGGAGAGAGGGGGGAGAGAGAAAGAAAGACGATTGCACACACACACACACACACACACACACACACACACACATATATATATATATATAGCTCTCTTTCTCTCTTCATCCAAATGCACAATGTGACAGGTACCACTAGAGAATTTATTTATTTAATTAAGGTCTTTTTTGGGAGCTCTCTTTGTTTCGCTTCGCTTCGCTTCGCTTCGAGCCGGGGAAATGGATCAAAAGCAGAAAGCAGAGTAGGGAAAGCGAGGAGAGAAAGCAACAAAACAATAAAGAGAAAAGTTGAAAAAGAAATTGTTGTCTCGTAGGGGGGGGGGGTATCATCATCATCATCGTCGTCGTCGTCGTCGTCATAATCGCAAAAACGGGAAGAGAAAAAAAAGTAGAGAGGAAAAAAAAAGAGAGACCCAAAATCCAAGCAGTCATCCAAAATCCGTCATCCCGTCCCTTCCTCCCCTCCTTCCTTCGCTTCCCTTCGCTTCCCTTCATTCCGTCCTTCCCCTCCATCCCATCCCATTCCCTTTCCCTCTCCCACCGTCGGATTTCAACGCGAGACGTAGTCCTTCAGACCCTGCGCCAACGACATGACGGTGTCGCCCAGCGTCGGGCGGCGATCCATCTCGGCCGGTCGCGGAGGACGATGATGGCTGTGCTGGTGGTGGTGGTGGGCGCGGTCGCCGCCGTTGTCCGATCGGCGACGGTGGTGGGGGGATGAGGGATCCCCCGTGAGATGGTCCGGTCGGTACCGATCGTTCGAGCGCCGTGGGGAGGAGGAAGAGGACGGGTGGTAGTAGTCGTCGTCGCCTCCTCTCCCTTCGTCTTCCCGTGCGCGGGGCGAGGGGGGATAGGCGCCATAGGCGTGTGAGGAGGAATTGCGGATCGGGGAGGAGGTGGAGCGGTGGCGCGCGTGGGAGGAGGACGAGGGACGGCGGTGTTGTTGTTGTTGGGAGCGCGGTGGGAGCCTCTGGGAGGATTTCCCTTCGTCGTCGTCGTCATCGTCGACGGCGCAGGAGGAGGACGAGCCGGCGTTGTTGGCGGCCGCGGTGCGCTGGAGCGTCCGGCGGTCGAAGTGCACGTGCTTCTCGTCGCCCGAGGAGGAGCCGGACGAGTCGTTCCGGGGTCGGCCGTGGGAGGAGCGATGACTGCGCTGCGAGGCGTGGCTCGCCCGGCGGGTGCGGTCGTCGTTGCCGCCGCTGCTGCTGAGGTGCCGCGTGGAGGAGGGCCCCCGTTCGGCCGGGTAGGGCAGCGTGGTGCCCGGGACGACGCCGGCGAGGAGCACGGCGGGTCGACCGTCGGGGGCGCCGGCGGAGAGTGGGGACGGTTGGTAGGGAGCGCCGGGCTCGGGCATCGGGATGGGCGGAGAGGACGCCGATGGGGATGGTTGTCGTTGGTGGTGATGATGGCTGTCGGGCGTGTATCTCGGGGCGGAGGAGTTGGAGCCGGAGCGCGACCGGCCTGACGGTGATGGGAGCGGGAGGGAAGACATGATGGCTACCGCGGAATCGATGGTCTTGAATGTTTCGTCTCCCGGCGAAAAGCTTTTCTTCAATCCGGTTGAGCTTTGTTCGTCGTGAGGCGAGGAGACGGTGGGAGTGCTGATGTATGTATAGATGATATTGATGTGAAATGTTCGTCCACGGAAGGGAGGTCTTGCCCTCGGGAGTGAGGAGGGATTCGATGTGGTGTGGTTGTGGTTTGTGTTTTGCTGTGGGTGGAGTGATGAATAGTACCTAGCAGTAGTGCTGTGTGCATGTCATGTCACTGATGAATGATGAAGGAAGAGGAACACCTTTTGGCGGTGATCCAGTAAGTACCGTGACGATGACAAGAGATGCATACACGCCTCTTGCAGATCATCGGGGCCGCCCTGACTAGATGTGATGATATCTATGTGCTGTAATATACATCAGAGAGGGAGGGAGCCTTGGTGTGCCCTCTGCTGCTGCCACTGCTTCCTGTTACCGTAATCATCGACATCACATCACACACATCCCACGAGAAGATTCCCTCACGCTCACGCACCCGCAACTTGGTGACGGACTGATCAACTGACTAATGACTGACCGACCGACCGACCGACTGACGGCATCCGCGCTACTTCTTCTATCTGGATCTAGTGATTAGGTAGGTTCAGGTGTATGGTGATCACTGCATTTCATCACGATGGGCGGATGATCCACGGATGTCACGACCAGACGACCAGACGACCAGACGACGACGACGACGACCACCACCACCACCACCACCACGACCAAACATCGTGATCTACACTATGGGAGAGAGAAGATAGGTAGAGAAGAGAAGAGGAGAGAAGAGGAGAGGACTTTCACCCTTTCCATCCCTGTCGTATGGAATTCAGTGTGTTTGTCACATGATTCCCCTACAGCAGTGACCATGAGCGCCTGTCTGACGGACGATGAGAGAGATGTTGTGACGGGTATCCCTCGTCTGCCCACTGATCGTCTGTCTGCCCACTATATACTACTACCGTCGCTGCTCTATGCTACTGTCGCTGCTATATACTACCACTGTCGCTGCTTCACATACGGAGGCCTCCAGCTCCTCTCGCTTCTCCCTCTTGGCTCCTCCCTCTTGCCTTGCCCTCTCTCCCCCATTCACGTGCTCATGAAGAAAAACTCAACAACCCAACCCCGGCTGACGAGGTATCTCTCACAGTCCCAGGTAATATGTGTATGGACTGTGAGATCGTGATACCGAAATACTGGGAACTGTCACATCAGTCCGACGTCGCGCGTGATTTATTTCTTGATGATAATAATGATAATAATAATAATAATAATACTGTAGCCATGACTTCACGAACGACCACCTCCTCCTCCGACCGCGACGGCGACGCCTATGGCAATGCACTCACTGCTCATCATCGATGCTCCATATCATCATCATCATCATCCTCCCGCAGAAAGAACATCATGTCGACCCTTGTGCCCACCATCTCCTCTTCCTCGAAACAACCGATGAGTAATCCGGTCATCGCCGGGTGTGTTGTCGGATCGCCCAGGTGGTTGTGTGTAGGCCTGGAGGCAAAAGATTCCGACGACCGGGTTGACGTCATTCGCCCATTCATTCATTCCCCTTCCACCTCCGCCTCCCTCCCGACAACGTTTCCCGCACACACTGCGCCTCCCCAGCACAACCCAACAACCGACGGACCCAACACACTGATGACCGACACAGCCCTATGATAGTTGATAGTCGTATCGAGGCGGAGCAGACACACACACACACACACACGCATGGGGTGTGACAGTGTGAATCATTCTGCTCACCTTTAGTATATTTATTATATATTCATATACTGTGTGTACATCTCTCCAGCTTGATCGCATCCGTGTGGCAGGTGGTGTTCTTCATATATATCATTATTTTCATGCAGTGAGCTCTTTTGATTGATACTTCATTGATGAGAGCACGCGACCATGAGAGGAATCCCTTGGCCTTGGGGTGTGCAGAGAGGATTTCCCACCTGCATACAGTATTGTTGCAGTATTATTGCAGTATTATTGCAGTACAATTACAGTACAATTACAGTACAATTACACCTGTCGTAGCATATATTTCTTTCTTTAGTGGTGGTTCGATGACATCAGAAGGGGAATGTCTGTTCGGCGTCACCTCCCCCGCCCCTGTCGTCGTTGTCCAGTCGTGGTAATATGTAAGAAGAACAACAACGACAACACCACCACTGGGCAGTGTCGGCGATATCCTGACACTCCAGCAGCCGTCCGCTTCATTCCCCTCCCTCCCTCACTCTGCATCGAAGGCGACGGGTTCATAGTGTGGGCAGATACAATCCGTGATGACAGATGGTATGGGAACGTGTGCCGCCTTGGTACTGTAGACTGCAATCACATAGTGGATGGATGGATGGATGTGGCGCAGTCATCTGTCCACAGCAGCAGCAGTAGTAGTAGTAATAGTGGTCATAACAACAACGAACGAACGACGACGACGACGACGAGAACAACCACATCTCCTTCTATTCCTTCCTATCTCTCCAGCTATTTCTATTTCCTTGGTAGCGGGGCGAAAGGCGGCTGTGCTGTTGTTGGATTTCGTTCGCCATCCACTCCTCCTCCTCCTCCTCCTCCGTGGTGCGCAGTCTCATCCACACACACACACACACACACTACATACACCCCCGAACATCATTTTATCCTCCTGTCACCACCTCTCCCCTCCTCCTCCCCCTTCTACTTCTCCTGTCGTCACCATCACCACGCCCCGATACTCTGCGTACATCCCATCCTTCATCCCTTCCAAGGTTCACTCACGGATTCATTTCCCTTGGCGGGATCATCATGTCCTACTATCCTCAGGGTCAGCCGCCCTACCAGCAACAGCAGCAACAACAACAACAACCATGTACGTGCCACCCGTCCGCATCTCAGCCCGCCCGCCCGCGTCATCGCTCGTGGCGTAATTGTTCAGCGTCGCCTCTCCTCGAGGATATATGTCCGAGTCGAACCATCTTTGATCCCATAACTGATAAGAGACATTTCCCCAGATCCACCACAAGGCTATCACAACCAAGGACCACCTCCGCCCCAGCAGATGAATCACTCGGCCTACCCGCCTCCGAACCAGCCGTATGGCCAGCAGCCTGGTTACGGTCAACCTCAAGGCTACGGTCAACAGCCCGGCTACGGCCAACCTCAAGGCTACGGCCAACCTCCCCCAGGCCCATACGGCCCTCCACAAGGTCAATACGGTCCACCTCAGGGGCAATACGGTGCTCCTCCACCACCCTCCCATCACGGCGCACCTCCGCCCTCCCATCACGGCGCACCTCCCCCCGGTCCATATGGCCCACCCGGCGGCCCTCCCTACGCCGCCGCGCCACCGACCTCGGCGTCGCCCGGCTACATCCCCGGCCAACAGTCCCACGCGGACATGTCCCGCGCCGCCGATGACCTCCGCGCCGCCATGAAGGGCTTCGGCACCGACGAGCTCACCCTCATCCGCGTCCTCGCCCCGATGGGACCCCTCGAGATCGCCTCGGTCAAGGCCGCCTACCAGGGCCGGCACCGCCGCGACCTGATGAAGGACGTCCACGGCGAGACCTCCAACCACCTCCGCGAGACCCTCGAGGCCGTCCTCCGCGGGCCCCTCGACCAGGACTGCCACACCCTCCACTCCGCCGTCAAGGGCCTCGGCACCAAGGAGTCCGCCATGAACGAGGTCCTCCTCGCCCGCTCCAACGCCGACATGCACGCCATCAAGGCCCGCTACCAGCAGCTCTACGGCCGGAGCCTGGAGGCCGACGTCCGCGGCGACCTCTCGATGAAGACCGAGCGCCTCTTCGACATGGTCATGGCGGCCCGCCGCGCCGAGGACACCGCGCCCGTGCTGCCCCACGACACCGACCGCGACGTCCGCGACATCTACGCCGCCACCGAGGCCCGCGCCGGCGCCGACCAGATGACCGTGTGCGCCATCCTCACCGCCCGCAGCGCCGGCCAGCTCCGCGCCGTCGCCGCCGCCTACCGCGCCCGCTACCAGCGGCCCCTGGCCGAGGTCCTGCGCAAGGAGTTCTCCGGCCACATGGAGGACGCGCTGCTGCACATCCTCTCCGCCGCCGAGGATCCGGCCGCCCACGACGCCCACCTGATGGAGGCCGCCATGAAGGGCCTGGGCACCAAGGACGCCATGCTCCTCCGCCGCGTCGTCGTCGTCCACTGGGACCGGGACCGCCTGGGCCAGTGCAAGGGCGCCTACCGCCACCACTACGGCCGCGACCTGGTGCAGCGCGTGCGGGACGAGACGAGCGGGGACTACCAGAAGCTGCTGGTCGCGTGCCTGGGCGAGCGGGTGTGAGGGAAACCTTTTTCTTCCAGGATCCCCTCTCCCCTTTCTTTTGTTTTTCCCCCTCTTTCTTTCTTTCTTGTCTTCGTCTTGGGATTTGTA